CCGAAGGCGTTGTGTGGTGGCAGCTCGCGGTTTATGCATCAGCGAAACGCGAACTTCATGTGCCAGTGCACCGTGCTCAAGGTGGACGGCATGAAAATTTGAATGAACAATGCCTAAGACGTGCTGTGTGACAGGTTGCAGCTCCGGATACCGAAGCAACAAAGAAAAGGCGTCGCTCTTCTGTTTTCCAAGTAGCGCTGAACTCCGAGAGAAATGGATGCGAGCTATACGGCGGTTGGAAGCTGGCGGTTTCCGCTTCGAAAGTAAGAACGTTCGGGTGTGCGAAAAGCATTTTGATGCTAGCGTCGTTGTGAGAACCGACGAGCACATCGTGAACGGGGTGGTCGTGTCGCTTCAGCGAGAGAGACCGAGGCTTCGCTGAAGGTTGTACACTTTTTTTTTTTTGAGATGTAGATTACATTTCTTCACTCGAGAAAAAAAACAAAGCCTCGCGGACAACTGTGCGCAGTTCATGCGCTGCAAGTGGTGGGCGGAAGCCACAGTGTTAAGCATAATTAATGGCTGTGTATGTGAGCACGCCTTCCCATTTGTATATAGTGTTGTATATCTTGTATACATTACACTGTAATATTTTCGTACTATTCATATTTATCTGCATATAGTGTAAATAGTGTATATTCAAATACAGTTTATTTTAGGCAGTGAGCTAAGGCAGAGTGCAACTGTTAATGAAACGAAATACACATTGTACAGCAGAGTCACAGATTGTGTAACATTGCTCAGAACAGCTGCAACAGTTTCTAGTGCTTTTCTTCTCCAAAGTGTTGTTCTCAGTGTATTTTGTGTCAATAAATGTTTTCCAACTTTCTCCCCATTACATGCACCATATGTGAATCTCCCATTCATAAGTACACACCTGACTACTAGGCGGCGTATCATTAGCACCAAATTTAAGATTTATTGCATGCCTTAAATCATAACCACCCTTCCCCCCTCCCACCCAAAAAAAAAAACAAATGTGTGATGAGGTACCTCGGTAGTGGCAGAGGCGGCCAAGCGGCTAGCACTGGCATCAAAAGGAACTTCCAGATTAGGCTGCTGTACTTCCGTTCCCGGAGAAATCATGGGTTGTCGGCCGGTAAATAATAATGCCCTAAACAGTAAACACAAGGAAACGTCAAGCGGCGGGTGTCCCGTGTAAACTGCGTGGAAAGAAGTGATCAATCAAATGTTGGGCACGTTTAGAGCGGCCGCGAAAGCCCTCGGCATCGAAAGTCCCCGCGTCAAAAAAGCGATCGGCGCTCACAAACGTGTGTCCAAAACAACTGCGCATTTGGGTATAAACTCAATTGAAAGGTCTGGAATAAAACTTCTGGCTCAACCATTCAGTTCATTTGAATACTTGGGTAGTAGCGCGCGAGAGGTGAGCCGGATATAAACCAATGTGATTGCTCCTGTACTACCCAGTCGTGTTTCATTTCGTTCACCTTCCTCCCCCTATTAGCGGCCCCACCAGAATATAAAGCTCACCTACCGCATAAACATAATCGCCCTTTGGCCGAGCGCGAATACAAACATGTTGTCGAGCAGATCAAGCAGTAGCTGCTCGCATCAAGAGCATGGAGCATAAGCATCGTCTTTCAACACTTGCGAGCTATAGCTCGCAAGTACCGCTTTGAGGCATCGTAAGTATGCATATAATTGGGCTATGAGACAATTATTGACACAATGCATTATCGCGCGGTGTGAGAACACTTTTAATGCGCTGCTGTTTGTAAGGTGGGCCCGCACTTCCAAGTAAACTACGCGTGCGTTCCATAGTAAACAGCTCTCATTCGTCGTCGACACTGGATCCCGTTTCAACTTATTTATCTGGTGGCATTGATGCGTTCAGAGACGTTTAAAAAAAGGTAACAGGAAGAACAGCACGCACATAATCGCGTCGAAACGTCGGCCGCAGTGCGCATACAAGCCCAGCAGTGGCGGCGGCTTGTGGCCCCCATACGACGGGTGGCGCCTCTAGCGACAGATTTTGTCCCTATATCAACCTTCTGGCGGAGTTTCGTGACCAGAAAAGCATTGAAGGACTCTGATAATACTTACGACTGCCAAATTAACAAAAAATCCAGCTGTATATTTATTTAAACAGTTTTCAGCAGAGTGGTATTTCTCAGACATCGCAAGAAAAGAACGTTAGATTATCTAACCAAATTTACTCGCCCACCTTGACGCAAACACTTGCTGCGCAGGTTTTTTTATTTAATTATCGCCCCGCCACGGTGGTCTAGTGGCTAAGGTACTCGGCTGCTGACCCGCAGATCGTGGGATCAAATCCCGGCTGCTGCGGCTGTATTTCCGATGGAGGCGGAAATGTTGTAGGCCCGTGTATACTCAGATTTGGGTGCACGTTAAAGAACCCCAGGTGGTCGAAATTTCCGGAGCCCTCCACTACGGCGTCTCTCATAATCATATAGTGGTTTTGGGACGTTAAACCCCACAAATCAATCAATCAATCAGTAGTGAAGCCAGCGTTTGCCCTCCAAATATCTCCGAAACATGCTATTTTCTGATTGTGCCCACTTAGACATCAAGTGGCTCTGATTTTTTAGTCTAAAAGCTACGTTAATTTTACAATAAAGGTTAGTTGTTTCCCAAGAAAAAAAAATCCGCAGTGACTAGTATCGGTGATTTCATATCCAATAAAAATTGCCTTGAATTCGAGGCTTACTACAAGAAACTAGTAACACAAGAACGCACTTTGAGCACTATCTCACCCGAAAAGATGACACCACGGGGTAAAACTCGTTGGGCATGCGAGAAAAATGCTCCTTTTCTTCTTTTAGAGGGAGTGCTCTCATATAGTTGAGTACGAAGTACTAAAAATCGGTAAACATTTTTTCTAACCCCCCTCCCCCTATACGCCAACAGCTGATCATGCCCTTAGTAAGATAACTACGGCAGCCACCATCTTACGGCTGACGCGGAATTCACTCGTGGGCACGAATTTGCACTCCAGGAGTTTTTTTTTTTTTTTTTAAACCCCCTTGGACTGCACCAACCAAAGCCACCTTTATATTTTCGATAAAGCTGGCGTGGCGTAAGCACCCTGGACAGACTGCGCATCACTTATCCTTGTCAGTCGAGTTTCCAACCTGGGCGTCTCTTAACCCTGTCAACACGCCGTACTCGTTCAGGCCTCAAAGCCTGAACAGGTAATCGACCTACGACTACGTTCGGCGCTCTCCCACAACCGAGGAAGTGCTACGACGTTCATCACGATTGTGGTGATGTTTAGTGGCATATCGGCGCTATTTATAGCTCTCGAGTGAGATGTTGTTGGATGGCGTACTGCTGTGTCTTAATCCACGTATTTGACCGAACCAATAACTTATAAGACAGCTAATGATCCGTGTGATCCTCTTCTACCGTATTGGCCGTGCTCTCGTACTGTGTGCTCGGTATACTGGATACTCAAGCCTGAAAAATGATATGAGCTGGCGTTCAATGGAGAAATATTTACTCACTACTATTGCACGGACAGTTTTCTATAACGGGCTCTAACAAATATAGAACAAACTGTAGGAGGAATTTGCGGGTGAGGAGGACGGTACGAAAGAGGGCAAAGGGTTAGGCGTGGCATAATTTTATGTGTGGTACAGTACAGCAAGGGAGCGGGGAAGCGATGCGAGAGGAGGGAAAGGAAGAGTGTAAAGCCAGCAAGCTCAGCTGTTTCCGCAGTCTTCGAACCACCAGTGCGTAGCTTTACCTTTTCTTCTTTTTTTTCCCCCACCATGCCACCGTGCATGCGCTCTTACCCTAGCGGAAAACACGCGAAACACCTCTCGATCTTGGAGGCTTTCGTTACGGCGATACCATTTGTCTCGACTTCTACCAAAATCCAACCGAAGTAGCAGAGGGCAGCCCAGAAAAATGTAAAAGACGGAATGAAGGGTCAGCCCCACTTTTGCGACGTTTTTAGCGCGTCACGCTATCTGATATGGCGATGGCGCTTTTCGGCCATATAATGCTTACGACTGCCAAATTAACGAAAAATCCTGCTGTATATTCATTCAAACAGCTTCTGCAGAGTGGTATTTCTCAGACATCGCAAGAAAAGCACGTCAGATTATCTAACCAAATTTACTCGCCCACCTTGACCCAAACACTTTGCTGCGCTGATTTTTAAAATTATATATTGCTTAACATAAACTCTGGTGACGGAGGGCACATGTGTCGAAATTGGCTTATGTTTATTTTTCAACGAAACGCTTAGTGTTTCTTTACGTCATCCACCAGTGGTGCAGCCAGAAATTTTCTTTGGGGAGCGGGGGCTTCAACTATACTTTATGTATGTTCGATCTCGTGTTTCCATGTATATATATAACAAGCTTTTAAATGTTAACATTTTGTTTTAACTCTCGATATGTCGCTCACATTCGGACGCAACGCGGTCGATTCAAACGATCCCCGGATTTTGAAGTGCTGCAACTGCGCGTCACACAAAAGAGCGAAAACGGCGTTCGCAGGCAATCAAAGCAAGGCGGCGTTGTACGTGTCGTCCTAGGCGTGCACAGGGGGGGGGGGTGTTATGGATGCCCCCACCATGTAATAGGTGTCACAAGACTTCACGCCTATGCATAGCTCTATCTCCGTCAGTTAGTGACCATGGTTTTGTCCGCAAGCAAATGTGGCATGCTGCATTGCGCGTGCAGTGTCGCATAACTCGAACATTGTGGAAGCGATACGGACATGAAGTGAGGAGAGATTGGCCCTCGATAAGCCATAACCCAGCCCTCATAAGATCGGCTAAATGTTGCTCAAAATTGACTAGTGCTTTCTGGTTGTTATTCTGAATATTGGGTATCGTTGCCGATGCATGGCGTGAGTGCTTCGTACAAACCAACGTTTATCTCGCTTTGCAGAATCCATTTTTTTCTTTGTTGTTTTTTTTAGTTCCTGAGACCGTATGGACTGAAACACCCTTACGACACCTACAGCGTTTCAGTTCAGTGAATGGTGCTTGTTCTTGTTCGGTGCAGTTCCGCAATGCGGTGGAAGATGTGAAGAGACCCTCGGACACGGACGCTTTCCTACTGCGCTGGCTACGAGGTAAGTTTTGCGAACGAAAAATGTCGAAGGGGCTAAGCGTATCTAACTGTTGTCTATAGAACCGATTTAGTCGTATAATGAGGTGTACGATCATGGTTGGTCTGGTCTTAGAGAAGCAACGGCTGCAGCTGCCAATAAGACTATACAGTAATAAACAGGTGAACGAACGTCTTTTTGTGTGTCTTCCGGGTCATTAAATTTATGTTGATGAAGAGGTCTGCCAGCAGCTATAATAAGTCGTGAATATCAGTGGCTATTATTTTGTTCAATAATATGAGCTTTGTGCGAAGGAGAAGAGATAGACGGGAGGGGGGGGGAGTCTTATTTATAGTGTTTAGCGCGGTAGTAGGTAGCCGTACTGGCACTTCACGAACTGCCAACCTATGGAATGTAGGCGATTACAGAAATTATCACCACCCAAGCACTCCGTACAAACGATTAACCGACGAAAGCTGACACGTGCGGCCCCGGTGTTTAGCAGTGGGTTCGACCCGACGTGGCAATGAAGCCGTTTACAATAATTTGTTACATGTTCGAGCTTCTTCACGAGGTTACACACACGTTTGGCTTGGGTTTACCACTGTGTTTATTTCACATGCCGCACATTGTTCCTCGTCATCAGCAGCCTGACTACTCCCACTGTAGTACAAACCCTTCTCCCATGACTGGCGGAACATGGGAGAGGCCTTTATCCAGTAGTGGACGTAGTCGGGCTGATTTTGATGATGATGATGATGATGATGATGATGATGATGATGATGATGATGACAGTGTACCTCGCAAAATCAGGGTCATTGAGGAATGTAATCAGTCGTTAAATGCGTTTCGCAATGCAGTGTTTGTTCGCGATGCAGGGCTTAATCACAGCGGTTGTCCTCGAACCCCAGTCGGTGCCAAATGACGCAGCCGAAGCCAATGTGCCCAACTCCCGCCGAAAGCGGCCGCGTTCGCCCCGGCGGACGCGCTTCCGCAATCACCACATTAGGGAGTTTTAGAAATACCGTTTGCAAGCGCTGCGGGCATAGCGGGCACCATATGAGATTTGGAATAGCGTTTGCCCTGCTGCGATCCGCAACGCACGATCGCAGCGACACCGTAGCCTCGAAACCAGCGCTTGCGGGCCACATGCGGGCCGCCATTACCGCACGCAATTTCGGATTTTTCTCGTGCGGTCCGCGAACGCCGACTCGCGTTACGACGCATGCGCAGTGGCAGCGACCGCACCGCAAGGGCTCGCGGTGCGCTATTCTAAAGCTCCCAATTGACGCCGCGACGCCGCGTTGTTGCAAGCGTTCGACATCGCCAGCTAACTGAGCGGCGTGTTTTGCAGAAGCTGCCCACCACTTGCGCTTGCAATGCCGTTCACGATTTAGCACGGCTTGAAAGCCTGCCGGATCATCGATGCGCAGTTTCCGCCAGCATTCGGCCTTCAGGGCCTGTTTTTGTTTCCGGATGGCACCATCGGCCTGGCGAATGCGAGTTCTCTTACGCCTTCACTGTCGGCGCTCTTCTAGAGTTGTCCGTGACATCCCCATGTGGAAGGTTTCAGGATAAGCTGAGTACACTCTACCACGGCTGCGAAGGAACGGCCGACGTCACTCACAACGCAACCAATGACGCGCGAGCTTCTGTGCGATGCTGCGAAAGACGCAACTGATAACTCAGCCAATGGAAACCACTCGTAACGTAAAACCATCCGGAACCGTGGTTGGTTTTACGTTTCTTCTAGCCATACACAGCTTTCACTGTAGCTTGAATGTAAATGTTGGTAGTTCATTTAAAGATACTTCGAATTTGAAGGTATATGTTAGACTTACGAGTAGACATTATCAGGCGCGCAAAAAAAGTTATTGAGAAAAATATTAACATACTTGCGTTATCTGTGATCTTGCTTAAACTGTGCAAAGACCTCAATTCTCAATATCGAACACGCATGTGCCGCGCCTAACCCATAGCCCGGGATTTTGATGTGGACAAAGCGGAGCGGATGTACCGTCATGTGAGTACCAGACCGATTTACTTGACCAAGCGCGGTTGACTACAAAGGAAAGCATCGGCCTGATGTGCCACAATACTATGCCAAAGCATGGCACCCTGGTATCATGCTTTGGACATTGCTCCACCGGAGACAAGTCTGTACTTTTCTAGAACTATTGGCTAAATGCTGAGGCTTTTCCTTGTTCGAACATCGTTATTCGCTTGTAATATCCATATTTCTTTTGATGCTTTTTTTGTCGAATTGAGGGGTAGCTAACCGGACGTGCGTCTGGATAACCTTCCCGCATAATTTTTTTTCTTTCCCTTTGTATTTCTCTCTATATCTACTTGAAGAAACGCAAGCGGAACTATGGACAAATCTGCATAGCTGCATCTATTAGCATTATTTGCTATTTGTAACGCGAAGCCACGATTTACCTCCCAAGTTTCTTTCACGGAGGGACGTTAGATGCATGTGAAACCACTCTTTTCAGAAAACTTCTGAAACGATTACGAATGACATCTGCTACATCCACTAATTACGACAACTACAATTAAACTACATCAACGTAGATAAGAATCTCGATTCTGTAGCAATAGAGGAGAGCCATAACAAAAAATAGGGTGGCTTCCGTTGCCCACCCAACTTCGTTGTTTACCAAGATTTCTCGCGCGTACGTAACTAAAGACGGCTTCTGCGATAGTGCGAACTTGATGTATCTACGCACGACCGCCTTCAGGTCCGACCTCTTTGGTATACGGCGTCGGGACCTGCTTTTGCTTGACAGGCCAGCTGAGTGAAATATCTAATCAGTCTAAGAGACTTGGAAACCGGACTACATGCGTGAAACTGAAGCTTGGGTTTTCCTGGAAGCAACGCGTTTACTAGACGATGCCGCGTCGTCCGGGAGTCTATGGTGACGTCCGCTCTCCAAGGTGACGTCTCTTTGTGACATAGATAAAAAAATAATTGATAACGATAAAATGGGACAAACTCGCTTTGTGGGCATTCGGGACTCTGCATAGACAATATTACGAATGGCGCTGCCATAAAAGGCTGTTGACTATTGTGTTTTGTATCTTTAACAACTAAACGAACAGTGTTACAGTAGACCCATATTCTAGAAAATTCTTGGGCTAGCGCATGGTCTTATTAATTCCCGTCGCAAAATACAAAAAAAATAATACATTGGCTTAACAGCGCAACACGACGGCACCCAGATGTCTTACGTAAAACAGTTTATGGCAATGACTTGTATGTTATTAACAACTATATCACTATTTATCACTTGTTCGCGAACTATGCAAGTTGCGCAGAAACGGATTGACATAATCCTGATTCTCGCTCTTTCCCTTTCTGCTCTTGTTTGTATTTTTTGTTCTTTTTTGATGCCACCAATAGGACCTTAAATGGAGGAAGGAGAACGGCATCGACGACATGTTACGAAGCTATGCGGCAGCCGAGGTACGTCCGGCCAATTCGTCTTGCCCTTTATATGTTAGCTTGTTCAGTGGCTGAAAGGCTACATTCTTTACGGAAAGAAGAAAATCAAAGAATGAATTACAAGACGCGGAAACAAGACGTGAAAACGATCACTGACACATGCACACATTCAGTACTGAAATTAATCTGAATAGCAGCGCTTTTGGGCAGGCGGTGCTATTGGAGCAAAAGTAAACCCCATACGAAACGTCAAAACGTCGAAAAAGGTTAGATAAGACGATAGAGAAGACTCACATGTGAGTCAAACATTGCTTTATAGCAAAGCATAGGGTGCTTTGAAAATGCTATGTTATGAACGACACTTTGTTGCACTCACAAAAATATTGGGTGATATTTAGTTTAAGTTCATCAAACAGCCCGTCGAAAGCAATAGAACGTCGATAGAAGAATGTAATTATCTTTTTATAGTTTTTGTAGTTACATAGATGACGCCTGTATGTTTTAAGTGCTCTAAATAAACGACATTTCAAAAAAAATGTTTTTGGCGTGGAGGTACAGACTTCTAATCTCAGTGGATATATCTTTTAATTCACCTAAATTTGCCGGCATGTTAGGGTGAAGCTCACACCCTAAAACAAAGCAACGCCCTTACGTTTGATTAAATTAAACTTTATCTTTGAACTCAAACAAAATTCGTGCAAACAAGTTCCACAGTGGCCTGATCATTCCATCACATGCGTTTTGACGCAGGCATCAGCCTCCGACAAAACGTAAATGCCGACTTAACGTCCTCAGCCTTGTAGTTTTTGGCTGTCGTTGCGTGCAGTGCAACTTTTATTGTGCCATGTCATCTTATTTTGATTCTAACATTCTCAATCTATAGCCGCTTGTTCGTTGTAGTATAGTGTGTGCCGCAGCGTGTGCAGTGTGTCTCCGTCATGCCATTATGGTCATAACAGTCACACATCGTTGATCTCTTTGCGATTGCGCATTTGGCTCGAGTAACAGGTTTAGGAAGTGGGGGTCTCAGGTTTTAGAGAGGTTATTGCGTGCAGTGGAGGTTATTTTAAACGTGTTTCGAAAAACGTTCATTTCGATGTAGTGCGTAACGAAAAATTGGACGCAATATCTGTATAACACGGACCGTCATGAACACACACCGTAATGAGGACCGTAATGTCCACGGGATGTCCGAAATACGTGCTACTATGGAACAGCACACACACACAAACACACATATCTCAATTTACGGCGCTTTCGTAACTCACAGATCTCGGGGTGGCTTCCTGCGCAAAAATCACGGCGCCGGCGAGCGTATGTGACTGCGATAGTCATTCTATACTCTGGTAACACCCGAAAGTGGGCGAGCCTGCAATAGAAAATGACAGTGGCGTTGAATTAGGTTAAAGGGCCCGCAGAGTCAAGAGAAAGCTTCCATATTTCTGGCACAGTTGTTCGTCTTTTCATTATTGCTCAGTAAATGTTTAGAATATTTATACCAGCCCTCAAAGGGCCGCATTTGTATTTGTATGCACCCTTTTTTAACGACCACTCATCTCTTGATCATGGGCCTGTCAGTGATTAGGCGTTTCTGATACGGCACTCTGATCTTTTATTGAGCCCACTTCTCATTTCACGTTGCCAGGATATAGAACGCATGACTGTCGTTGTTGCATGCAGAAACTCAAGTCTTGCGTTGCTAAGCACGGGGAGGAAGGTCCACTACCCGACATGGAGGAAGGGAACAATTAGAAGGGAGCATTTTGCGCACAATGTGATATAAGAAAATGAAAGTACTAGACTAAGGCTGCTCATGCCAGGTCTCGCTGGCCCCTACCCCCTTTTGCCGGTAGGGGAAGGTAACCTGAGTTCTCTTACATCAAAGCACAAGGAGAAACATTTAAAATGAGTACGTATGTGTAATGGGTATTTTACTATGTTAACACCGAAAAGTGGACAGGCCTGCAATATAAAATGAGAGTGGCCTTGAATTAAGTTAAAGGGCCCGCATAGTCAGTGAAATATTGCACTTTCCTGGCACAGGTGTTTTTCTTGTCATTCTTGCTCAGTAAATATTTAGAACAAATACGCAGGAGCCGCTTGGACATCGTTGAAGGTTTCTAGATATATCATAAGAACTTTCAGTGCAGGTTGTTTTATATGCATTCTGTCAAGTAGTATGGTGGCTACTGCTCTCCCATAGTTGAGTACATCGTACTCTAAATCGTTAACAACTTTTTTCTGAACACTCATGGCTTACTGATCTCCCATTGCTTAGTACAAAGTACTCAAAGTCGTTAAACACTTCTTTCTTTCTAAACACGGGTGTCAGATAAATCATTTTTGTGGCCTCATGAAGTGCAAGGCTCGCGCTTTATGCTCTACCATAATAGAATACCAAGTACTCAAAGTTGTTAACAACCTTTTATAAATACGTAATAGGACAGCTTGTCACTCTCCGATAGCAGAGTACACCCTACTCTAAGTAGTTGAACATTTGTTCTAAACTGTTTCTTTTTATATTTAAGGACATTTCACAGCTGAGACGGCTCTGTGTCAATAGATTGGTGCAATGTTTTTTTTTTTTTTTGAAGACCTGCTTATGTGTATACTTTCATGGTCTCTCGATAAAACTATTGGCTGTGCTATAAAGCTCGAAACCATGGAAGTACGGAATGCCTAAGAAATCACATTCTGACCCAGCCATCTTGTCTGTCTCTCCGTCACGTTTAAGACGGTCACCGGCATAAATAAATAAATGAAAGCGAATGAAACCGTTGATGGTACTTGATGGTTGTGTTTGAATTCAGATCCGTCAAGAAGTAATAATTATGGTACTTGCTTACACTACAGGCCCATTGATCGATTGGAATGAGCATTTATTCAGTTTTTAGGCGAATTTAATCATACGCTTTACATCGGCAAGCTGCTAAATGACAGACGCTTGCTACGGGGCACCGAAAGATTAAGCTTCAGAAATTTTATGAGGTCAGTCGCTGTAAATGATCGAAAATATGAATAATATGATGATTGACACAGAGATTGTCAGCGCGTAAGTGATAGATACAGTGAGGAAAGAAAATAGAATAATTAGATTGCAGCATCTTTGGAAAATAATGTATACTCGTTGCTAGAATGTAGCTAAGAATGTCTATTGTTTGCTACTGAGGACACCGTAGCAAAATTCATATATATGGGTTGTCTTCAACGCTGTCCTCATTTTATTGCTTTTACTATTTTCTCGCGGGTGACATCAGGACGATAATTTAGAATACTATGTTAATAATAATAATTGTTGGGGTTTAACGTTCCGATACCAACATATGCTTATGAGAGACGCTGTAGTGGAGGGCTCCGGAAATTTCGAATACCTAGAAATTTTCAACGTGCACCTATATATATGCACGTGGGCCTCAACTATTTTCGCCTCTATCAAAAATGTGGTTGCCGTGGCCGGTATTCAATCCCGTGACCTGCGGGTCAGCAGCCGAGTGCCTCAGCCACTAGACCACTGTGGCGGGTATATTATGTTAGTATGCACACGTAGCAGCATTAACATCATTCGAATCTGCATGGTGTATTGTTAATTATCCGAACCTGCAAGCAGAGCGAAAGCAAACGCTGTACACGTTGGAAACGGGCACGACAACCAACGTGCGCAGTTTCGTCACTAACAGCCTTCATCTTATACTTTCACAGATGGTGAAGAAAAACTATCCTGGCGGCATCTTATATCCGTGCAAGGATGGCAGACCATTATGGGTGGTTCCAGCTGGAGTTGATTTCCCAGGTACATTCTGTTTCTTCGTTTGCCCAGTAACGCTGTATTTTAGCCAAAGTAATGGATAGAGTTGGGGGGGGGGGGCACTTCCTTGGAATTTCTACCTTGAAGTAACTCATTGGAAGCCAAAATTATTGGCCGAAAATGCCCAAATTTAATATGTTACTCATTACACGAGAAAATATATTTTCTTGCTCTAATTTCATGTCTGCCAAGTCGGACTTGACGTCTTCGTCCGACAGTTGCCTTGCTTACGTCAGTGTTCTGTGCAAATATGCGATAACGACGCCACCACACATTCACCACAAGGAACGTGCTTTTTTTATGTAGTATAACAATGTTTGTGAACTGTAAGTTATACAACTTTATTTGAGGTAACGCTTAATAAATGTTGAAATACGAGTACGTATTTGCGCGGTTGCTTTACAATGAGGTCGGCATATAGTTCACGATAGGCCTTTCAGTCAACTACTGGACACTTGGTTCACAGCGTTTCTATGTGAGACTTCGCGGATACGGGCTTCGGGAATACGCCCACGCTCATCTCTATAGTGCTTAAGAGACGTTCGTGTGATGGCTGGCCATTGGTCAGCATGCAGATCTCATTACCAGTGCCACGCGAACGCTTCACAGATACATCGGAGGTTGTTTTAGAGCTAATGGCCATTTGTACTTCCCGGAGTAACTTCTTGACTAGATACTATGAATGCTTCCACACAATTATGTTCACTTCACTGCTTCTGTATGGGATGTCATCACCTATGTTCCAGCGCTTATTACGTCACTGACGCCGGAAGTCGTGCAGCGCCACTGTACATATCTCATGGAGTACACGGAGTTCCTCAAGCGGTCCGCTTCAAAAGAAGTGAGTGAATGAAAAAAAAAAAAACTTGCAGTGCAGCGATAACGACCAAAGCAGCTGAGAAATACAGCTTTTGCATTATGACTGCTTTGAAACTCTGGAAACAGACTGCTGTTTCTGTTACCAATGGACCCATTGCATTACGCCATGAACATAAATTGCAATTTTTTAAACCGTATATATATACTTGAAAGCTTAATGCGGAAAGGTATACTATATGATGTTACTCATTGTTTTTACGATGTTTACGTGAATTTTTCAGTCTCAGGAAGCATTCATGAATTATTTGTTGTTCCCTCACTATTACTACAATAGAATTGTTCGTATTCGTCGTCTGTGTTACTCTGTGTTCACTCATGTGTTGATAGAAGGACTGTATAGTTGGGCTAACTTCAGAAGTTCTCCTCAGCAAATTGATCGCAAATTTCAAGTGGATGTGTAAAGCTTGAACCTGATTTCTTTTTGGGTTGGTAGACAATATTAGTTCATATTGTGATGTTATTTGTTACTGAGAGAGAGAGAGAAAGGGAAAGAGAGCGGTGGAAAGCTCCTCAATGAACAACTGGGAGTTATTAGAGAGCTACATAATCACACCAATTTTTGTATGGACATTTTCTTTTCATTTTTTGTACAATATGACAGGCACTTAAAGTTTTACCTTGAACCGCCGTACATGCTTTCTTACCCAAATTTAACATGCTGATTATTAATATAAGTTCTCTTTACATCGGGTTGAGCAATACATGTGGCTACGTTGCACGGATATCTTAATGACATAACGTCACTGCATCGTTTGTTTTTTTTTTGTGCCGTAATAAAAACCAGAGAGGGCTAGTTAGATCAAGTCTAAGATTACTGCGTTACAGTATTATGCACTGCCACTTTGCAGGTGGGAAGGGAGATACACTCCCATCACATGGTGATAGACTTGGAGAAATTCAGCCTTCGTAACCTCTACTGTTGGCAAGGTATGTCGCCCGATCACGGGACAGTAGCAAAAACAAGCTTATCTGGGCATAAGTGTACCGTGACGTACGTATAGATTGTGTATATAGTTCCGAACATGCGTGTAAACTTCGTGGTATAGCTGCATAGACAGCATGTTGCTGATGAACTTGGTATGTACCGATCGCAATAAGGGGACAAGTGCTCATAGTCTCTGTCGTTTATAGATTCAAAAACAATGTTCTACGAAAGAAAAAAAACGAATAGCCACTCACTGCAATAGATAACAACGTAAAAAGGGGTAGCCGTCACCAAGTAACGATGATTAGTACTTCGTTTATATTTTATTTCAGTAAAAAAAAAGACGTAACTTGCCACAGAAGTCGCGCAATAGCAGCTGGCTCTTTCTGAATTCGTAATCTTGCTTCGACTAGAGCTCTAGAGAAATGGACGCGAGAAGTTTTAGTTTGCGTTCCACACACTTTGTGGTCTGAATATACGTCGCCTAAGCCAACGTCGACTAGATAGCCAATGACTACTAGATAGAGATAGCCAGTCAATCTAATGAAATGGCTGAATTTAGTTAGTCCTTAGTACTCGTAATTTTATATATGCACATTGTAAAGTGCACTGCAATGAAAGTTACTTGAAAAAACATTAACTGCGGATGGCCGTAAAAAAAAGACGTTAATTTTACGTCTAAACTGCGATATTCTCCGAATGGACGCGTGTATATATATACAGTACAGATTGGCCTGACGGGCCCCGACCCCGTTTCTTCTTTGTTCCTCGGCAGCGCAGCTGTCAAAACTCTTACCAATATACTGCAGACCATGGAGGGCCATTATCCGGAGTGCCTGGAGAAGTGCGTCATCATAAATGGTAACAAATTCACCACGAATCTTGCTATTACACCTTGGCACTTTCGAACTTCTTACATTATATGAGGGCAAATCATTGGATGGTTATGATGCGTTATGTGAGTGAGTGAGTGTATCTGTTAGTGAGTATATATATATATATATATATATATATATATATATATATATATATATTGTAACGAGGGCAGTGGGCATGGAGCTCGAATATAGAAAAGGAAGAAGACTTGCTGTGATCGCAGGCTTGCGTTCAGTTAGCCCTTGCGCTCAATAAAGCTTTCGTTCGCCGAGTCAACTCCTGCTGGTTCAACACCCCGTTTCAAGTGGTGGAGGTGCTGGGTACATCTGGTCCTCACCCTGGAGCTTCGTAGCCGCACACTCCAACCACCTTCTGCGATGACTGATCCGGGACCGTCTCAGGCCGCCACTCCAGCTCTCGCACCCATACCTGTCTTCTGCGCTGGCGCCCTCCGGCAGCGCGACCCCCCCATATTTGGTGGCACAGAGGACCAAGATGTGGACAACTGGATTGCCGAGTATGAACTGGTGAGCGCGTACAATAAGTGGAACGCAGCTGATAAGCTCACAAATGTGAATTTTTACCTGACCGACGTGGCGAAACTATGGTACAGAAATCATCGAAGTGATTTCAGTACGTGGTCGGAATTGGCAAAAACCCTCTCGGAAGTCTTTGGACGTCCTGCTGTCCACCGCCTTCGTGCTGAACAGCGCTTGCGTGGCAGAGTACAGAGAACAGATGAGACTTTCACGAGCTACATCGAAGATGTGCTCTTCCTCTGCCAGCTCATTAACCCGACTCTGGATGAGGCAGGCAAGATAAAAACATAATGAAAGGAATCGACGATGGTGCATTCCAAATGCTTGCTGCGAAGTGTCCCCAGACAGTCGCCGAGGTGATTCAGCTCTGCCAAAGTTATGATGAGCTGCGTAGGCAACGTGCTTCCACACGTTGCGCTGCTCAAGACACCGCGGACCTTTCATCCCTCGACTATCGCCATGACACTGCCGACCACTCTGCTTTAATGCCACTCATAAAGCAATTCATACGCGAGGAGGTCGCCAGGCAGCTATCTATAATCACCAGAACTACCGAGCCGATGGCACCCTTATCGCCTTCGCTTCGTCAGGTCATTGAATCGCAAGTTGCCGAAGCATTGCCGCCAGCTCCGGCTCCACCATCTGTTACCGCACCACTAACGTATGCAGCCGCTGTTGCTCGGCCACGCGCTCCATCGTCTCCGGCTATCTACGAAGCAACTCGCCACGTTTATTCGTCGACGCCACCCGCCCACCCGTTGACTGTCCCGTCTCCGGCTGTATACGAAACAACTCGGAACGTTTATATGAAGCCGCCGCCTGCACGACCGTTTCCGGTACCTTATTCGGCGACAAGTGCCCCTACCGTCAGCCAATGGCGCACTCCGGATAATCGGCCAATATGTTTTTCATGTGGCATCCCAGGCCACATAGCTCGTCACTGCCGCCGTCGCAGCTTCCCTTCTCATGACATTGCAGGGGCCTCACACTACATGCCCATTCAGCCGAGATATCCCGTTCCTGCCGATCCACCTCTAGACGTACGTACCGGTCGCCGACCATCCGGCTCAAGCCGTTCGCCTTCTCCTCGTCGCAGATCCATTTCTCCAATGTTACGTCGCAACAGCCCACCGCGAGGGGAAAACTGACGGGCGCAGTTCCGGAGGCAAGAACTGCGTTGGCAGCGAAAATTTCAAGACCTAACTGCTGTCCCCCGAACGAAATCGAACTCTATATTGATGGCATAGAGGTGCACGGACTTGTTGACACTGGAGCTGCCGTATCTGTAATTAGCGAGAAACTGTGCCGAAACTTGAAGAAAGTGACCACGCCACTTACCCACCTATCTTTGCAGACAGCTACGTCCCATCATATTCAGCCTTCAGCTGTGTGCACTGCACGAGTCGTCATTCAAGGTGCGATGTACGTCGTCTCATTTGTAGTTTTATTCCATTCTTCGCATGACGTTATCCTTGGATGGGACTTTCTTTCGTCAAATTCTGCTTTGGTCGACTGCGCTCGTTCCGAACTCGCATTATCTGTGCCGTGCTATGACCCCGACGATGGCGCTTCGTGTAGAGTGTTTGCTGCTTCTGACGTTGACATTGCGCCTTTCTCAGCTGTTGTTGTCTCGGTGTCGTGTGCCTCCCCCCCCCCCCCCGAAATCGCCTGTGTTGTTTATGCCATCGGTCCCATCTGCGTGCCGTCGAAATATCATGCTTCCGTTTGCCGTCGTCATTTTTCGCAATGGTCACGCTGCCATTTATGTGTGCAATCCCTCAGACAGCCCGTCATCCTTACTACGTGGAGAATGCCTGGGAAGCTACGAACCTTGCGAGTGCATTCTTCCGGCTACTATACCCGATTCAACGGTTTCACTCCCAATTTGTGCTGTCACTCCTACCAACGCGCCTAATGATGCTCTGGACGTATTCTCGGATGCCATCGACTCTGAGCTCGCACCAACTATGCGCGAAGAGATTATAAATCTTCTTCTCCGCTTTCGTTCTTCATTCGATCGTGACCAGTCAGGCCTAAGCCGAACCTCTGCGGTCGTTCACCGTATTGACACCGGTCAACAAGCCCCACTAAGGCAGCGTCCGTACCGTGTGTCATCTGCTGAACGCCGTGTCATCGACGAACAAGTGGACGACATGTTGAAACGTGGCATCATCGAGCCCTCCAACAGTCCCTGGGCTTCACCGGTTGTTCTCGTCAAGAAAAAAAGACGGATCCATCCGGTTCTGCGTTGACTACCGCCGACTCAACAAGATAACGCGCAAAGACGTATACCCTCTGCCGCGCATCGATGATGCTTTGGACTGCCTACAAGGAGCAGAGTTCTTTTCTTCGTTAGATTTACGCTCCGGCTACTGGCAGGTGCCCATGGCAGAGGGTGACCGCCCGAAGACAGCCTTTGTAACACCGGATGGACTGTATGAATTCACCGTTATGCCCTTTGGCCTCTGCAATGCGCCTGCCACTTTCGAAAGAATGATGGATACCGTCTTGCGAGGTATGAAATGGAAAACGTGCCTCTGTTATTTGGACGACATTGTGGTATTTTCAAGCGACTTTGCGACCCACCTCAGCCGCCTTGAGCAAGTTCTTACGTGCCTTTCAACGGCGAGACTTCAACTTAACTTGAAGAAATGCCACTTCGGCGCTCGCAAGCTTGTAATTCTCGGCCATGTGGTTTCTAAGGACGGCATTCTCCAGGACCCTACGAAACTTAATGCAGTCGCGGCGTTCCCAAAGCCAACCACCGTCAAAGAGCTTCGAAGCTTCATCGGCCTATGTTCTTACTTCCGGCGCTACGTCCGCAATTTCGCCTCCATTATCGCCCCCTTGACCAATCTTCTTGCCGGAAGGTCTGATTTGTCAGCGTGGTCGCAGGCGTTTGATGATGCATTTCAGGAACTCCGACGGCTTCTCACCACGCCTCCCATACTCCGACATTTCGATCCATCTGCTCCAACGGAGCTTCATACAGACGCTAGTGGTGTCGGGCTAGGTGCCATACTGGCCCAACGCAAGGATGGCTTTGACGAGTACGTCGTTGCCTATGCCAGCCGCACCCTCAGTAAAGCCGAGAAGAATTACAGTGTAACTGAAAAGGAGTGCCTTGCCATTATTTGGGCAATTGGAAAATTTCGGCCTTATTTATATGGACGTTCGTTTGATATTGTGACAGACCACCATGCGCTTTGCTGGTTATCTTCACTAAAAGATCCTAATGGTCGGCTCGCTCGTTGGGCATTGCGGTTACAGGAGTTCGACATCCGTGTTGTCTACCGTTCTGGCCGTAAGCATTCCGACGCCGATGCCCTGTCACGTTCGCCATTGGCTTTAGAACCTGTCGGCTCGCCTATCTCCACCAGTGCTGCCTTGGCCATCAGCATTTCGGACATGCCTTCCGGGCAACGCAAAGATGCTTGGATTTCTTCTCTTTTGGACTTGCTCTCAAACCGGACGCCCGCTCCAGTTTCCAGGACGCTTCGCCGTCAAGCAGGACACTTCGCTATTCGGGATAACCTGCTTTACCGCCGAAACTACAGTTCGATGGGTCGTAAGTGGTTGCTCGTCATTCCCCGACATCTGCGCTCTGACATCTGTGCCACGTTCCACGATGATCCGCAATGTGGCCACGCTGGTGTGTTAAAAACATACACTCGCTTGCAGCTGCGGTACTACTGGCGCGGTATGTACCGTTTCGTTCGCCGTTACGTAAGGTCTTGCCTTACGTGCCAGCGACGCAAAATGCCCACTCAGCATGCCACAGGTCCCTTGCAGCCGTTGCCATGTCCAGCACGAGCTTTCGATCGTGTCGGAATCGACCTTTACGGTCCGCTTCCCTATACTTCGAGTAGCAACCGCTGGGTCATTGTCGCTATCGACCACCTAACGCGGTACGCTGAAACAGCTGCGTTACCTTCTGCTACCGCAAAAGACGTTGCGTGTTTTATACTGCAAAACCTGTTTTTAAGGCATGGAGCACCTCGAGAGTTACTAAGCGACCGCGGCCGCGTTTTTCTCTCCGATGCTATCAAAGCGTTGTTGAGCGAGTGTCGCATCATACACCGCACTACCACAGCCTATCATCCGCAAACTAATGGGATGACAGAGCGTTTTAATCGTACACTTGGGGATATGCTGGCCAAGTACGCTTCATCCGACCAGTCAAATTGGGATAGCATACTGCCTTTTGTGACATATGCTTACAACACTGCAACGCAAAGCACCACTGGATTTTCGCCTTTCTTTCTTCTTTATGGACGCGAGCCATCATCAACAATGGATACTATTCTTCCTTATCGACCGGACCCTTCAGAGATGACTACCGTTTCTCGAGCAGCAGCAAACGCTGAAGAATGTCGGAAGCTTGCTCGTGCTTCACGTCACATGACCAGACGCGCCAAAAACATCGCCACGACGCATCAGCCACGCCTATGAGCTTTGCACCGAACTCACTGGTGTGGTTATGGATTTCTTCTACTCCTCCAGGACTCTCCCACAAGCTTTCGTCCAGGTACCATGGCCCTTATCGAGTTATACGCCAAACATCCCCTGTCAACTACCTGGTCGAGCCGCTGGATGCATCTCCGGACAAGCGCCGTCGGGGACAAGAAATTGTACACATTTCTCGGCTCAAGCCATACCATGACCCTTCTGGGTACACCTGTCCTTAGGTCGCCAGGATGGCTCCCTCATGGGCCGGGGGTGATTGTAACGAGGGCAGTGGGCATGGAGCTCGAATATAGAAAAGGAAGAAGACTTGCTGTGATCGCAGGCTTGCGTTCAGTTAGCCCTTGCGCTCAATAAAGCTTTCGTTCGCCGAGTCAACTCCTGCTGGTTCAACACCCCGTTTCAATATATATATATATATATATATATATATATATATATATATATATATATATATATATATATATATATATATATATATATATATATATATATATATATATATGTGTGTGTGTGTGTGTGTGTGTGTGTGTGTGTGTGTGTGTGTGTGTGTGTGTGTGTGTGTGTGTGTGTGTGTGTGTGTGTGTTTGAGTGAGTGCGACTTTATTATGATGCGCAGAGCTATAACTGTTCAGTTCCAAGTCATATTTTTTTGAAAGTCTGATACGCCTCATCAAAACGGGAGAAATTACCGTCGGCCAGTGAAATAGCCAGGAGTCGACGTGCCAGGCTCATGCCCCCGCCTTCCGAAATATATTTTTCGCTGTTGCATACAAAGCGGAAAAGGGCCATTTCGAAGAGGTCCCCTCCTCCCCCCGAAATAAAAAAAAGATGCCCCCTTTTCTTGAAAGACATTCTGCCTATGCCCCTTCCGCGCGCATTAAAGCGAGAGAATAAAAAAAACGATCACTGATTAAGTCACTGTACGCCGGCGCAGATCAGTAGCTAAAGTTCTCAACTGTAGGCCCGAAAGTAGCGGGTCCGAGATCCCGGCCGCGGTGGTCACATCTCCGTGGAAGCGAAATGCTAGAGGCTTATGTACTGTGCGATGTTTATGCGTGTTAAAAAAAGACCAGATGGTCAAATTTTCTGGGAAATTTCTGTCATAATGAAATCATCGTTTTGGGACGTACAAACCCGAATACTAAATTTTGTATACGTCACCATGTGAAGTCATAATCACATCATTAGCCGCCATAATTTTTGACGACGTGATTATGGCGTGATGACGCCACCAGGCGAAGCCGTCACTTAGCCAAAGGAGGGCCAATTTAGGGGGGTCATTGAAAAACCACGGGAAGTGCAGAGAGCTTCGAGCGCATCCGATTCTGATCTCGGAGGCAAGGCTGAAAGACGTTTAGTTCGTGAAAACTTCTAAAGGGTGGGATGAAGGTGAGGGTGGACCATAGTTGGCCGTGAAGAACTATAATGGCTTTCACTTTCCTGTCAGCTTGGGTGATTGCAAAAAAGACCGTGCGATTATGTATTCCTTCTAAAAAATTACCAGTGCTACTACCATCTTGCTTCGGTGAGGGTGTTTCAATGCGAGTAATAAACAAAAATAAATCACAAATAACTTGGCTCATTTAAGTCTCATACCCCGGCTGTGCTCCTATACCATCTAGCGGCCGTGCTCCTACGAACCATAACAGGTTATATTTTTAGTCACTGCTGTGTCGGATCCCACCGCTGCCACCAGTTGTAAGAGATGGGAAGGAGGATCGCTGATGGCATCCCACCGCTGCCACCAGTTGTTGCGGATCCCACCGCTGCCACCAGTTGTAAGAGATGGGAAGGAGGACAACTGGTGGCACCGGTGGGATGCCATCAGCGATCCTCCTTCCCATCTCTTACAACTGGTGGCAGCGGTGGGATCCGCAACAGCGCAACACTGCGAAAGCGATACAGAAAACACTATGCTGATTGGGCCCCTGATGCTTGTGTGGGTTTGGTGTGGCGAGTCAAGTAAACCAGTTGACTATATCACTTCATGAATCACGCCTTAACCTTTGTACACTTTACTGCGTAAGTTTAGCCGGAAATGTACGACGTCTTCTACAAAGTGTTGCAGGGGAGACAGACACAAAAGAAACTCACCTCTTTGCCAGTTTTCTGTGTTGTGTACCGATGAATAACAGGCAAGTACAGTCGAACAGTCTGTGCTTGCTGGGTATTCACGCAAAAAAAATCAACGCACAAAACAAAGTGTTAGGAAGTCAAAATGGCTCCAGCCAAGTTCGTAGCCATTTGAACTTCCTAAATATTCTACCCAGCCGTAAAGATTTCCATCAAAATGTTTACATTTAAAACAACGTTTCGAGAACACGTGCAGCCATCGTGCGTAAAATGGTGTGTCTTGATGATTTCTGGGCTACGGTCTTGAATTATTTACCCGGTGCGTGTATGGTATGCCTGACTCACTTATTTACAATCATTTCTTTTTTTATTTTTTCGACGCAGCGCCAAACTTCTTTCCCGTGGTGTGGAAGATGGTGCGGCCGTTCTTGACGCAGGCGACGACTGACAAAGTTCAAGTCTATGGCAAAAGTGAGTGCACTGCTGGCCGATAACTCTGAACAAGAGTGGAACGTACTGCTTACATCCTGGTCACACGTGGCATCATGCGTGGTGTTTACAAATTGACGATATATACACGTTCAAATATACAGGACCTCGACAAGTGTTTTAGTACTGCGCAGGTGAACATTCCTGTACGAACTGAGAAACGTAATTCACATTTAGTGGCCTTCTATAAATCTCTCGACCTAGCGAAGTAAGGTTGGCCACTGTAGAACCGCGGAAGGCATTGAGACGCGGATTTGACGCTACCAGTGACACTGGGACACAGAGGCAGATAAAGTCGTTCAAGCCAATGTCCCCACATCCTTCATATAATTTAAGTAATACTATTAAATAAACGCTATAGTGTCACGCACACATTAAAGATCAAAGTTGAGACTGCACGCTTACTGTGTCACATTTTATTCATCGCTGTCACTTCTTCTGGGTGCCGGTCACTACTGCGTCAGTTTCGTCCGACGAGATCTGGTTATTTTAAATAACGGGTCTGTTAATGTTTAATACAGGAACTTCGGCTTTCCAAACTGCTCACGTCCAACATGTAAAACTAGCGAATGTTACGTTTGTAAGTGCTGATTAGAGAAAACAGAGAGTGAGAGAGAGAAAGGCTTCAGCGATAAAAGTTGCATACTAGCTTAAAAGGGCCTGCAACGATTTTACAAGTAACCATCGAATGGTTCCTTTAATGATATTTATTGCCTAACGAATCAACCTCTCCAAAAATATTTAGAATTTGTCAAGTACGTGCGGATCGATATATATTTCTCGCACAATAAATGCTTTATTCTCTCGCACCGACGAGAGAGCTGGAAGCTAGGCAAGGATAAGGTCTCTCGAGGGACAACTTAGGGAACGAGGGATGGCATGGGCAAAAAAGAAGTTACGTCGAGCTTGCATGATGACCTTCATTTTTTTCTTTTTTCTTCCAACGCGCGGCTTACGTTCAGTGTGATTGCGAGTGCAAGCGCGGGCACGGGGCGGCCACAGCTAACGGGGCTCAAATCAGCCAATGGCCATGCAATTGGGTATATGACGTCATTTGTAGAGAGGAGAGAATAATATCTAGCTCACTTTGCGAATTATTTGTAATTTTAGGCCACGTGCTTCGCTACAAGCTTTGGCTCGCGTGTTCTCAGAAGCTCGACTACCGATCTGCAGCATTTCCTCACAGTGCTGAAAAAGTGTTGCAGGGTCGCTTGAATAAGTGTGAACACGTGTGTTTTCACCACGACAGCTGGTTGGAAGGAGCACATACTGAGCCTCGTAGACGCTGCCCACCTACCGGTTCACTGGGGTGGAGACATGGTGGGACCAGATGGCGATCCACGATGCACGCACAAGGTCAGTCACCGCGGATTTAACACACCACCTCAAAATGCTTCGCAAGAGCAGGTTTAGTAAACAAGTAGCTAAGAAATTATTGGCCTTCCTGGTTAAACTACAGGTCATTCAGAGGCAAATATTAAGGTGCTAAGAGTATATGCCTCATGATACCTGGTGTGATGTCATATCATCATATGATTGTCACGGACGTAACTAAAACAACATTTACCACTTGGTTTCTCTGATGGCAAAAATGGATTCCGGATGACTCCGATTCGCTCCATGTAAAAATGGGGGCTTTGTCAGCCGCAATAAGAGAAACATTCAGGAACTTTGTCACCACTAATAAGTGCACGCTTTCGGCATTAAGCAGTGCCAAAGATATTCCACAAATATCTGTGTCTTAGAACTGTGGTGTGCTGAATAACCATAATACAGGAGAAAAAAGCACGGTACAACAAAGCAGGGCATTATTGTGTCGCGAATCTCTCGGTCACATTACTTGCGGCAGAGTTAGCCTTCCTGGAAGCACGTCATTGAGACAATCTTTCTTTGCTCATACGCGTGTTCTTCTGACTACGCTCATATAAGTGTGTGTTGTTTTAATAAATTCTTAGTTTGTGCAGTGTTTCGTCTTTCTCCGAGTCTCCTGTTTTATCGTTTTTCTTCGTTCCACCGTTCTAAGATGAATACCAACATGCCCAGCAGTCCACCTTTCAAAAGCTATCTGTGTTTAGAACAAGTGGTTAACGATTTAGAATACTTGGTGCTCCACTATGGGAGAGCATAACGCCGTCCCGCCTGAAACTCCTGGACCCTTGTACGGAAGCTTCTTCAAAGGTTGCTGTCATCCACCTGACAGTTGCTCGTAGCTACAGCTTTGTGACCTGTGCTCCCCTGTGATCGTCCCTGCTTTCTTCCGGTCAAAATCTCGCAGGTAGACGACAGCTTACGCTTTCAAAAAAGAATGACTAGTGGGCCACCACACTGGTATTTGTCTGTTTTTATTCTTTAATAAATAAGCGCATTTACATTAAGCAAGTGGTCAAGCTAGTCACCCAACACGTGGTTCTTGATTAGACGATGCTCCTGTGCAGCACATATGCATTGCTGCAGTCTTAAGCTGAAACAGTTCGATAATCGTCCGACCATTTGCTCACAGGTGAACTTTGGTGGCGTGTTCGAGGAAGGTAAAACGCATCCGGCTTGCTCCGTGTTCGACGAGAAGGGCGCCCAGCGACACACCATCGCTCGACGCGATAGGTGGGAGCTACCGGTGGATGTGGACAGGGCTGGCTTGCGGCTCAGCTGGCGGTTCCAGGTCACAACGGGAGACGTGGCTTTCGGTCTGCGCATGCGCAACGGGGAGCGTCTGCTGCCCCTGAGACGCCTGCAGGCCTGCAGTTACTTGCCACAGGAGGGAAGCTGGGACTGCGGCACGCCTGGCACGTGTACGAATCTTCGTAGATTGTCTTCGAACGTGGCTCCCGTTGCACGCGTGCCCGTGGTTTTGTTATAGCAAACGAAGACGCACAGAGTAGTGTGGCAGGAGTATAGCGTAACGGCAACATTCAGTTGAAGGGATGTGCCCAAGTAAGGAAATTCTCAATTAACTAAAATGAAAACAATGGGCCGAAAGCGGCAGCTTCTTCTGAAGACTATTTTTTATAGCAGCAAGTTGGACAGACACAGGCAACATTGCAGCAGTATAGAAGCTTCAGCTCGTGCCTTGTGTAGGGCTTACGATACGACTGCAATGCTGAGAATTTTTATTCACTACATAACAAGCATTGGATGAAGCTTGGTAAGCGAGAAGGGCCACATAATAGAATTTTGGTGCCTGCTTCTCAAAAAACTGTCAGGCCTGCATGGAACGCGCCGCGCTGTAATAATGAAATCTGAAGAGTGGCCTTTTAGAGCCCTTTTTTTACACTCTTTGGGTTGCTTCTGCAAGCACACTTCACTGTAAGCACTGCTTCTGCAAGCAGGGTACCCACGACGCCATAAATAATCATAATTTTGCGTTATACAGTAGGCAGGCATTGCTATCTTTCGTCATTATTCGGAGAATCATGGCAACCACTACACTATTGTAAGAAATTTGTGCAAATATTTTGTGCAGTGGTTCACGGGAATGAAGAATTATGTCTGAGGTGGGTATGAGTCACAGTTTAATAGGCGATCAAGAACAAGCTTTTTAATGGGTTGGAGCATTGAATGACCCACTCGTTACGTTGTTCGCATTGTGTGACGCCTAGCCGTTTCTTTACTGTTCTAAAACAATGTATTACCAATACTAAAAGCTGGTGCACACCGGCGACTAGCAGTGCTCGCGCGACCATTTGCGACTGGTCGCAGACAGTCGCGACTAGCAAAAGCAACTACTTTTGCTAGTCGCTTCCTGACCGATTTTTTACGTCGCTTGACTGCAGTCGCAAAGCTGCTGGAACCAATCAGCGTTGCTCAATTTTTGTTTTCTTGTTTTTTTTCGACGATGTGCGAGAACGGACGAAAACAATGAATGCGGCATGCTTGGTTCGCTGCGTTCACTCAGCTGGCGGCGATCAACTGATCGGCGCCGGTCTCCAGAGTTTTCGCTGATAACGAGATTCGGACGTGACTCTCCAGTTTTGCGACTTCCGGTCGCTCGCATGCAGCCTCTGCAGGTGTGAACATCAGTCCCTTTTTAGTAACCAGTCGCGAATAGTCGCGCGACCGCTGCAAGTCGCCAGTGTGCACCAGCCGTGAGGCGATTCTTTTCCCGGCATCAAGCCTGTCTAAGGCCAGTTTCCAAACGGCGTGGCTCAGTGGTAGAATGCTTGGCTGGCACTCAAGGGACCCGTGTTCGAAGTGCATTGTGATTCTTGTGTATTTTCTTAGTATTTTTTTCTTTCTCATTTCGTGCGACAGTGGTTACAGACATCGGCGGTGGCGGACAACTACGGCACCACACGCGACCTTGTGATATTTTGCTGTAAAAAGAATGTCTGTGAACATGAATGAATGAATGAATGAATGAATTAATGAATGAATGAAGACAATAATGCCGCGAACCATGCATTGGGTTTGTTTATTTGTGTTTTGCTTTTTCGGTCTGGCTGCGCCGGCCTGTGCTATCACTGTGTTCACGGCGTTTCCAACAAACGCTATCGAACAGCGCTTCGAGCGCTTCGAACAAACAGCGTTTCAAACAAACGCGATCACAGCGTTCTCGATACAATTCGACAATTCGAGAAACGCTCGCGCCGAGGGATATAAATTCCCGCGCAGCCGATGCCGCGACATTCGATCGCCGACGCTCACTAGCGTGCACGTCGCTTTGCCGACCGCTGCTTCGCCGCCTGTGTATTCTTTCAGTTGTTAGGGGAGCACAAGCTCCCCTAACAACCTCACCATCGTCATGGTTGTCCGCCCGGTATATCTCCACTGAATTGAGGACGACACAGCGAGCAATGGAAAGAAAAATGGTATAGTGCAACCTTAAGAGACAAGAAGAGAGCTGAGTGGATTAGGGAACAAACGGGGGTTAAGGATATCATAGCTGAAATCAAGAAGAAGAAATGGACATGGGCCGGGCATGTAGCGCGTAGACATGATAACCGCTGGTCGTTAAGGGTGACTAACTGGATTCCCAGGGAAGGCAAGCGGGTTAGGGGGAGACAGAAGGTTAGGTGAGCAGGTGAGTTTAAGAAGTTTGCGGGTATAAATTGGCAGCAGCAAGCACAGGACCGGATTAACTGGCGGAACATGGGAGAGGCCTTTGTCCTGCAGTGGGCATAGTAAGGCTGATGATGATGATGATTATGATGATGACAATGCTCGGTTACTGCAGCGTCCAGTTACTAATACCTTGCGCGTGATCACTGAGTCAATGGTGCATCTGCGTATTCGCAAAATTTCTTCTATACAGACATCTAATCACCCATCAACCTCGGCTACATTTTGTTTTCTTGGCATCCTAGCTTTTATTTGGACAGACGATCGTTTCTCAGCGCTGAAAACGTTTTATAGTGTTTATTCCTGTCCCTCTTATCTATGTCGTAGACTGCGCACATGATCGGGTTAATCTCTCCATGTTTGTTCCACTTTCTCTCTTTTTTTTCTCACTCTCTCAGTCGAGTCCACACATGTGCGGTAGCCCACTCTTCGCACTCTGTGCATTGATACGGTGGCTAGCATAGCATTGAGCAAGGCTTTTTTTTTTTCGCTGGGTACGTTGAAGCTTTTCGGACCTCCATAGCGGACCTCTGAGTGCCAGCGCACGTACATATCTGCCCCTACGCAGCTGCTCGGGGGGCGTCATACGCTAATTGTGCTCTCAATTTCGCAAGCGCTCTCGTCTCCGGAAGCGACCGTATCTCGGTTCAGGGCACGGAGTTGAACTGGAGCGTTGTTTGCGATCGGGTGAGAACAGCAGCTTGCCATCTCGGCTTGCCATTCGCACAGGTCGCGCTCGACGTCAAAGGTGTGACGAACTCTGCGTGGTACTTAAATTATGGAAACGAAATCTTACCGTTTCTTTAGCGTGTGCTAAGGAGAGGAAGGACGAAAGTCAGTTCTCTCGTGGGGTAATATAATTTAATGATCCTGAATAATCTTCTCACATGGGTTGCATTGTTACTTCCTAGAACTATTTTTTTTTTCGGTCATCTGTAAACGTCATCATTGCTTGTGAAATCTCAGACTTCGTCACCTAGGTGTCTTTTCAGATTTAGTTGGTCATATCTCACTTTGACACTTTATTGAATGTTCGTTCACACTTGATTCGCTTGCATAACTGTACTCCATTAATTTCAATTTGATTCAGCTTTAATTAATTTTAGTTAACATGACGTTCACCTTTAATGCACCTTAATCTGCCTTGTTTGGCCTTTAATGTATACCTTGATTCACACTTTGTTCACTTCGAATCGCTTCACATGAATTTATTACATAAAGTGTAGCGGCTAATTGTTGCCGAGCTTGTTGGTGGAGTTAAATAGAGCGGCAAGCATGGGGTCACATACATTCTTTCAGTTTCTTGTCTTTAGAACTTTTTAAGGCGCACTGAATGCCTCATGAACGGCGAAAGTCAACCATCTTCCAACGTCGGCGTCCCCCGTTGGCGGCGTCAACACGAGTGATGCATGAAGTCACCATCGTGTGATGACGTCATTACATGACGTTATCGGGACGCCACAGACGGTTGAAATAGGTGACGTAATGATATGACATCAAAGGCTTGGTCAAAGGCTTGGTCAAAGGCTTGGTCAAAGGCATGGAGGCAGCGCAAAAACCGAGTGAGGTGCAGATAGCTTTCCCAGTATGGTGGGCATGAAGGAAAGAAAAACCAACAAAGAAGGAAATGACGTCACGCAGCCCGCCTTGGCAAGACAACCCGTATTGAAGCCTGCCGTGTCTGTCTAATGCGTCACCTTTTCCCGGCAAGATCACGCAAGCAACGAGACTTGCCGAGACTTCGCGGTATGGCGCCAGATAGCTTTTAATCGAAGCGGGCTGCGCAGACCGGGCAGCTCACACAGGAGGTTCAGAAACGGCACACCGCCGAGACTACTAAAACGTACCGCACGACCTGACGTTTTGATCACGTGTTTGGCCGATACGACGTGCTTCACTCGTGTGACGTATTTGTTTGTTTGTTTCCCTGGGATAGTGGCTCATACCCACTCAGGGGGATTGGCCAAGAAAGTGTAGTGGAGTTTTTCTGTGATAATTTTAACTATGTGTAATGAATTTGTATTATAATATGTTCCCTACTTCTTCTTTCATTTCTTTAGCAGGCGCGTAGCTGTATATTTTTTTTTTGGGGGGGGGGTGGGGGGGCATCTTTTTTATTTCGAGGAGGGAACCCCCTTAAAATTGTCATTTTTTTGCTGTATATGCTATGCCAATTTTTTGGGAGGGTGGGGGAGGCAGGGGAGGCACGGGCCCAGTGTGCCACCCCCTGCCTACGCCCCTGATGCGCGATTGTGGGGCAGAATCAAGACATCGAGCTATGAGAAAAAGTAGGCGACGTTCATATTCAACTCGTCTTATGTGAATACACAGGGAACCATATCCCATTTCTTTTTTAATCTTTTTTTTTTGGTGGCTTGAGCGGCCTGACTGTACCGCTCTTTTGCGCCAGCCAGAACGTAGCTTAACCGCTGCATGCCCGATGCTTCTCGTACCATCAGTATTCCAACGTTCGCTTTGTTAACAATCACGTGCACATTGTATAGTAGACAACGCAATTTATGGAAGGAAGAATTGACAACCACGTCTTAAGTAGCATGAGACCTCGAAGAAATCCGTACGGATTTCTGAGTAGTGAAAACCCCTGAGTTAAAGAAAATTTCGTCATGGTCACGGGATTAAACCCGGGACCAACGCGACCGTTCCGGGACGATCCCTCGGTCCGGGACGAAGTTTTCTTTAACTAAAAGGATTTAACTAAAAAGAATTGTGTGAATTGGTTTTGGTGGCTTCGGGCTACAATAGAGGTGGTTCACAATCATCGCATTCGTAACCTTTCCACCACGTTGCGGGATTACACAGAACATGTTTGCAGAGACGTAATTTATGTACCCTTTCTTTCAAGCCTTTGCGGTTTCACGCAATGAGCCAATACAATGCTGTCGTATGAATATTTTTTTTTGTTTTTCTGCAGATGTGCTTGAATTCGACAACAGCTACAGCTGGCTGACTGACAAGACAATAGCCGTCGTGGTTACCGTGCAGACACCGGATGAATATTCCTGACCACTCATCGCCAGCTACAACTTGTCTATAACTACGTATATACTCGCGGGGATGACCTTAAAATTCTGGACATGCTCCCCGCATAAATCCGTGGAGGATTTACAATCGGAGGGCTGTGATCCGTGCTCTACAGCAGGAGTTGCACTGCCTCACGATAAAAATGAGCGCCAGCGTGGCCGCGCGGTCGTCACGTGACAGAAAAAAAGATTCATGACGACTGGAATAGGCTCGCAGCTTGAAACTTTTGCTACTTTGTTTATGTGAATTTAGCGCCAAAAGGGAAATAAAGGTTATATGTTTCCTGCTGAAGTAACGTACCTTAGACTGAGAACCAACGTATGGAATAAAAACATATTGCTCGAGACGTGCAGGTTTCATCGTAGAACTTGTGACACAAGGTGGGTTGGCAGAGTCAAATAGCAATCTCGGATCAATCTATGTTGGTGTTTTAGTTTAGTCAAAACTTGGTCAACCGGCTCGAGCCACCAAAATACGTAAACATTTATCCTTCTGTGCCTACGGCCTCCTAACGACCCACGGGATGGCTTATGCTCTCCCATAGTAAAGTACCTCGTACTCTAAATCGTTGATTGATTTGATTTGTGGGGTTTAACGTCCCAAACCCACGATATGATTATGAGAGACGCCGTAGTGGAAGGCTCCGGAAATTTTGACCACCTGGGGTTCTTTAACGTGCACCCAAATCTGAGTACTCTGAATCGTTGACAACTTTTTCTAAACACGCAGTTGGGGGGCTCTCCCACAGTAGGGCACATAGTAATCTAAATCGTCAACTTTTGTTGTCTACACAGTAATTAGTAAATTAACTCGTGTATTCAGAAATGTTCCTTGACTTGCCACCGCTTCAAGGCAGCTCGTTTGAAACAAGTTAGTGCTGCATTGAAGGCGGTGGCAAGTCAACGAGCGTTTCGCATAGAGAGGTTAGTCGTCGAACATTTCGCGAAATGAGTTGTGACGAATGACGAAGCACCCTTGAATCGTCGTGGCGAACGAAGGCCACATTGATTGCACCTATCTGTTTGCGTACGCCTTGGTACCAATTCAGTCATGCGTGGTATAAATGTAGGATGAACACGAAATGCATGCCATGTGTGGGCATCATTGCAAGCCGCAGTAGTCGTTTAATCGCTTTTTATATCACCATGTACGTACACTGTCGTCCTTTATGAAAGGGAACACGCGAACGCGTGGCCTGCGCTCTGCGGCCGCTGCCTACGACACCATCAACCGACAGCAAAAAAAAAAAAAGATCTTCGCTTTCAGCGTCATCTGTTGCCAAAAAAAAATAATAACGAGTTATGGCTGGTAGACTAGTGCTGGTAGATTCCACTCTCTCTCTCTCTCGGCTCACGCCTGCGGTGCGTAGTCCACTGCCAACATATCAAAACGTTGTTCGCGAACGCAGCGCAAGCTGCAGTATTCGCCCGATATCGCTCGCCGCACGAGCGATCAGGCAACTTAATCTAACATAGCTTGGCTACCGGCCATAACTAGTTATCTTGCTTGGACATAGGTGACGCTAAAAGCAAACGTGCTTTCTTCACTTGTCGGTTGATGGTGCTGTAGGCTGCCGCCGCAGAGCGCAGTCCACAAGTTCGCGTGTTTCCTTTCATAAAGATTGATTGATATGTGGGGTTTAACGTCCCAAAACCACTATATGATTATGAGAGACGCCGTAGTGGAGGGCTCCGGAAATTTAGACCACCTGGGGTTCTTTAACGTGCACTCAAATCTGAGCACACGGGCCTACAACATTTCCGCCTCCATCGGTAATGCAGCCGCCGCAGCCGGGATTTCCTTTCATAAAGAACGACAGTGTACATCCCATGACGTGCACGTGTGACAAAGGTGAATGATAGGTCACAGCAAGATGGTTTAACGCGTAGATTTCCCACGATTCGGTCCCAGCTCCGGCGGTCGCACTTCGGTGGAGGTGAAGTCCTACACGCCCGTGCACTTTGCGATGTTTGCAGGGCACGTTAAATGACACCAGGTGGTCGAAATTTTCGAAGAGCTCCACTGCAATATCACTCATAACCATATCGTGGTTTTAGCGCGTGAAACCACCGATGTTATAGTGCCGCGTGTGGTCTTTATTTCACTTGCGCCGTGTTTTGCTTTCGCATACTAAGGCTGTGAGTAATTATCAGCGAGAACCACGCCTGCAGTGTTCAAGAGGCTTCAGAACTGTAGTACATCATTTTGCTAAGATGCCCCGCCGCGGTGGTCTAGTGGCTAAGGTACTCGGCTGCTGACCCGCAGGGCGCAGGTTCGAATCCCGGCTGCGGCGGCTGCATTTCCGATGGAGGCGGAAATGTTGTAGGCCCGTGTGCTCAGATTTGGGTGCACTTTAAAGAACCCCAGGTGGTCTAAATTTCCGGAGCCCTCCACTACGGCGTCTCTCATAATCATATAGTGGTTTTGGAACGTTAAACCCCACATATCAATCAATCAATCTTTTTGCTAAGATGACGTGCATGACACTGACGCGTACACTCAAACTTATTCCGGAACTTGCGCGCCCACCGATGATAAGGCTGGAAAGTTGGACGCGTGGTGATCGGTTGAACGATGATCAGTTGATCGACGGCCGACGCTCTCTCTGTTCGCCGCTGTTAGAGCCAGTGTGTATCGCTGTAATGTGGCTTTCAATTTACCGGTCACAAGTACGGTCGAATGCTTTCATCTTCGACATACAGTTTGATGTTTTCGTCAACGTCACGACTCCACGACAACATTATCATCAAGTCGTGCACGTTGTTAAAGATGACGAAGGAGGAAGTTGCAGGTGATGGCATCCGGATGGAGGAACTGAACGCAGACAAGAGGATACGAGAAACATAACAGAGGTTTATGACATTATTTACACTTATTTACAGAAAAGAAGGGATAGTGGTTTAACAAACCACGAGCGTGGTGGTTGAACACTGCATAGTTCAGAGCCAGGTTCAGAGAGCGCAATGTCCAGCACTCTCCGCGTCGTTTTATGCCCTGTCGGGCTCCTCCTCTCAGAGTCGAACACCAATCACGCACACACAGGTGAGGGAGGCGAGCATACAAGGTCCACGTGAACACTGCACGGTGGTGGCGCCAGCAGGGCTGGTCCTCGTCGTGGGTGTGCCGTTAGACGAGCGTTCCCACGATCCTGGCCGCATACTTCAAAGGGCCCACTGCACAGCTCGCCCAATTAGCGGGGCGATCTGCGTGCGCTGTCCGTCGCGGTCTCTTTCAGAAAGACGCCGTCTTTGTTGGCCTCTCGCGAACGGCTAATGGCGTCTTGGCGACACGGCGTCTTGGTCCTCCGGCTAGCACGTACAGTGCCTGACGAGCATAGGCAGTCGGCCGGTCGCCTTGGTGATTGGGGATCAAAAGGGAGCACCGCTCCTCTGTCAGCTCCGGCGCCGGCCACGACAGCTTTGCCGTCGCCCGATGAGTCGCCGAGTCCATTATTCACCGCTTCTGCTTGAAGCGACGACAAAAGGTCCGCTTTTGAAGGACGTGAACTCGCCTCTGCCCGCCGCCTGGTCTGGAATAATCACTCAAATACTTGACAGCGTCGGTAAGACTGGGCGCCGAAGGGATTGAGAGATGAATCCCCAGGCCAAACCTAACAACGTCACCTCATCGTGGTAGTCTAGTCGTCATAGCGTTCCATTGAACCCGGGTGGTCGAAAATTGCGGAACCCTCCACTACGGCGTCTCTCCTTATCATATTGCCACAAGGCAGTAGTGGGATTGGGGCATAAAGCAGTAGAGGGTCCCTGCCTGAAAGAAAAGACTACGAAGTGGATAGAGACTGGTCCCAGCCCGCCATTGTGCCAGGCATTGTCGTCGCGTGTAATCGTCGTGATTATCTGCAAATATACGTTTCCTTGTGAGAATATCGTGGTTATGGGACGTTAAACCCCATATAATAATATCAGGACGGGCATGTCATTTACCACCACGACATCATTCAGACCAGTGACGTCACACATACGTCGTGACGCCGTCATGATTGTTTAATTGACGTTTCATCTACCAAAATGTGCATACCTGCATGAGAAACACGTGGTAATAAATTACCTGTCTTGTCATTTATCGGTTGACATGTCATGTATTTCTGAAAGTAGAGACATAGGTCGAAGAAGGCCGATTCTCCCCTTATCTTGAAATTATGAAAGCATCGACTGAGGCAACACACGAGGCCGTTTTGACAATGTTATTTATTCCCATGAAGTCACACACACAATTCTTTTCGCTACGTCCCGTCAAGATACCTCTTCCGGCGCTACGACATTCGCTACGTAAGCCAAGGTCTTGCCATACGTGTTGTCAAACTCGAGCATGTCTGCGCGAAAAATCAGATGGTAAAAACATATAAACGATCTATATATGCATTCAGTGCGCACTCTAAGCTGTACGTATTAACATTCTGTTTTAGAGATTTTGCGCCGTGGCATCGGATGTGTCCGTATAGGCCACTGGCTCATAGAGTTAGCGATTAAACAATTGAGTTTGGCACGTGTCTAAGCTGCGTCTAATTGCGTGTGATAAAATAAATAAATATAAAAAAACGCGCACACCTGTATTGAACATGGCAAATTTGTTTTCTCAAGAAACTTCAACTAGCTCCACTTTGCAGACACTGATGAAACAGAGAAGCAGGTGGCCCTGCCTTGATCACGATATCCCGTTCCTGTGTTTTGCAAGACATTCAGATTTGGGGTATCACTGTTCTTTACTAAACGCTTCGTCAAGCTTTGAGGTGGTTGAAAAGCCTCCACCGCTTGTAACTTCCAGTGTCGCGTGACAGTGACATGGCTATGATAACACGCATGATTTTTTTTCTTAGTTTCCACTTGTGTGCAGTGGGATTTTCCAAATTTCTGTGGCACATGCCATTTTGTTGCGCTAACCAGTGCCTTCATCTTTAGTGGACCAGTGTTGAGTGGTCGTATCTACCCTTGTTTATGTGGCGCGTACTCGTTTGCGATGCCCACAAGTGTTACAACGCATGTCGGACACGAACGCCTCGATTGGGCACAGCTTCGCTGGTAAACATGTACTCGTACTTGCCAAACAACTGCGCCTGTAGGCCATCTTAAAATGTACAAGTGCTATAGATTGCGTCAAGTGTCGCACAGCCCACAAAAATTGAACAAGAACTAAAAGGAATATATCGAACCTTGATGGCCTAAAGAGCGTGCGGGAAACATATTGTGTACAGCTTACAACAGAGCGCTCCTGCATATGAAACAAGGACCACCACAAGCGAGTGATCAAGAGTTTAGTATATATCATCAGTTCTGTTGAAACTTTCACCTCATGCACGTCCTTCCAGTGAATATTTAGTTCACTAAGATTAATTGTACGACTAGCATTTGATGTGATTTTTGTTGTTTAAAAAAGCAGCATGAGTAAGGTTGAATTGTGCGTCCGCCGAGCTTTTCTTCGCTCACCCTTTCCACTCGCTCAGAGATAGCAGACGTCGGATCGTGCTCGGTCATCTGTTTCGGTTTCCATGCCAAGCATGAAGATCGGAAAGATAAGGAACGGGAGCTATGTGCGGCATGCAAGGGACGGCAAACGCAGTAAACCAACCAAGCATTCATTGAAGGTGCTTCAGCTGGGGCGTTGCATGCCTAGTAAGGCTGTAGGGTGTTCTAGTACAGTTCTCGGAAGTCTTCTTGGGGTTTCCAAATGACAACAGGTAAGCTCGAACATGTTACTTTGATTTGAGCACGTTGGTATTTTGCACAATCTGGCCACTTCTGTCCCATCCGTTCCGAGTGAATTTGCTTGAGAGCAGTGTCTCTGATTGATTGATTTGTGGGGTTTAACGTCCCAAAACCACCATATGATTATGAGAGACGCCGTAGTGGAGGGCTCCGGAAATTTTGACCACCTGGGGTTCTTTAACGTGCACCCGAGAGCAGTGTCTCTACTAGACCCGTTCACCAGGAATGTGGCCGACCTTCTGCAGGCGATTTGATTGATTGATGTGTGGGGTTTAATATCCCAAAACCACCATATTATTATGAGAGACGCCATAGTGGAGGGCTCCGGAAATTTAGACCACATGGTGTTCTTTAACGTGCACCCAAATCTGAGCACACGGGCTGTTATGCTAGCGAGTCCTCGTCAAACGACCGTGCCTCTGAAAAAGGCAATCTGGGTCAAGGCCAGCCCGCAGTCTGCCTGGCGCGATCACCTCGACGGCGTGAACACGCGCGGCGCTCCTCTGGCCCACGTGCAGTGAGTCAGTTGCGCACGTGACAGCGAGCCGGCGTCCTCGTGTCAGGTGGTCTGACGCATGGCGCGGCGGCGCCATTGGCGGAATCTGCCCGGACGACCAGCGGCGCTTCTGATTGGACTTTTTGGTTGGACCCGGTGCAAATAAAAGAAGCCCTGCGGCGCGTCGCGATCGGCGGTCCTATGTGAGAGGCGTCCCCGTGTCGGAGTGCCGACATGTGTGTGAGTCAGCGGTCTTAGGCGAAAGGCTGAACTATGTGTTAGAGAGAAGAGCTCGGCTCTTCGAGTCTCTGTCGGCCCCAGTGCCGAAATTGTAACGCCTCTGTATATATGCTGTACATAAACCTTGTTTGACTCACCGTCGTCTCGTCCGCTCGTCTGATCAGCTCTGCGCAGAAGCAGTCGCGAGCTGAGAAACATACGCTACCAAACGGCTGGTGACCTTCCCGGCGGAGTCGGAAGCAGTGGCGCCTTCGGGGCCGTGTCGGCGTCGCCGTCTTTCGCAACAGTGGTGGCTTCGGCGGGATCGGTCCGTCGTTCGCAACAGTGGTGGCTTCGGCGGGATCGGTCCGCCGTTTCGCAACAGTGGTGGCTGCGGCGGGATAGGCCCGTCGTTTCTCAACAGTGGTTGGCAGCTGCGGGATTGGCCGGCGTCAGCGACATCGATGCGGTGAGTGCCTGATGTTTTCCCCTCAGTTCACCAGACTACTCTAGCTCAGGTTGTAGTAGTTTAGAGAAAGGGCTGTGTGAAGCATTGAAGTGAGCTTTGATCGTTTCAAGCCAAGTTGAAGTGCTTTGAAACCAAAGTTAATGCGGAGGTGGTAAACACGGGAGTGTGAAAAATTGCTTGCGCGTCTTGCTAGTAGGCTTATAGTGGGTACGGCAAGTAGATTCTTAACAGGGGCAAACAGCAAGAGGCTAGTGTGAACGATGGAGAACCTTAAAGTGAAGGAACTCATCGAAATTTGTGAGGAACTCGGCATTACTTTGGGCCGTGCGAAACGAAAGCAAGCGATCCTTGAGATCATGAAGGATGAGGGAGTGTCGGCTGAGGAAGTCGATGAGGCCTGGGCGGATATCAAAGCACGCCGTGAGGAGGCTGAAAGGCGAGAAGTAGAAGCTCGCGAACGTGAAGAAGTTGAAAGGCGCGAACGTCGCGAGCGCGAGGAGGCCGAGAGACAAGAGCGCCTAGAGTTGAAACGATTAGAATTGGCAATCCTACAGTGTTCGCAGGCGCCTAGCGCAGCTTCTCCGACGATGCAGGTCAGCGGTATTAGAATTCGGGATCAACTGCCACCGTTCGTAGTAGGCGAGGACATGGCGAAGTATCTCGTCAAGTTTGAACACGTCTGTGAGCGAAATGCTTTGGAGCAGTCTCTTTGGGCGCGGAACCTGCTAGCTCTTCTTCCCGGCGAAGTGTCCGACGCGATAACTTGCTTGTCGAGGGAAGCGTTTGAGAGCTATGACGAGGTTAAGGAAGTGCTCTTGAGACGTTATAAGTTGTCACCCGAGGCTTTCAGACAAAGGTTCCGGTATGCTGAAAAGGGGAATGAGTCACACGTTGACTTCGTGTTTCGTCTTAAAGCCGATTTAATTGAATGGCTCAAGGGCGAAGGTGTTTATGACGACCGCGATAAAGTGGTGGAATGCGTTGCATTGGAGCAATTCTACCGCTGCATCGAGGAGGATGTCAAACTTTGGCTGCAGGACAGACTTGGGGACGTACAGTTAAACAAGGCAGCTGAGTTAGCTGAGGAGTATTATACTCGCCGAAAGTTGCATAGCAGGGCAGCGCGCGTTGAAAAGGATGAAAGGAAAGAGGGCTTTTCAAGGAAACCTGATCAACGGAAACCCGCTCCGCACCGTAATTTCAAGAAGGACCCGTCTCTTACGAAGGACAGTGTAGGGGAAGGGCAAACAGAAGCGGAGAAATCGAGTGAGGTTTCTACCACACAGGCATTAGAACCGGAAAACAAACGGAAGCCGCTAATCTGCTACAACTGTAAAAAGGAAGGGCACATCGCGAGAAACTGTCAGGAAAAGTTTGCCTTCGCAACGATCCGAGAATCAGAAAAAAACATTCGGTTGTTGGAGCCGTATCTCCAAGAAATTAGGGTGAATAAGAAAACGTGCCGAGCACTTAGAGACTCAGCGGCAACCATGGACGTTGTCCATCCTTCATTGGTATCTCCGGATGACTTCACAGGAGAATGCGCGTGGATCAGGCAGGTCGCCGAGGAGCAGAGTGTTCGCTTACCAATCGCCAAGGTTGTCATTAAAGGCCCGTTCGGTGAGCTTCGCACCGAAGCGGCTGTGTCTGCCGCGCTAAATGATCGTTTTTCTTATCTTTTCTCCAACAACTCGGAGCAGCTTCTCAAAGAGCAGGGCAAATCGTTCTTCCCCAACCTAGCGTGCATGGCTCTCACGCGATCGCAAGCGCGAAAGCTTTCGCGGAAGCTTGACTTGGTTCCATGCGGTGAACTCTCAAGTGACCTTGTCGGCGGGTCGACGGAACCCCAGAAAGGAAAGTTTCCGCATGAGTCATGTGAGCAGTCACGCGAGCGGCCCGTCGCCGAACCTAGCTGCGCGGTTTCCGGAGAAAGGGGAGACGACATGGCGCCATTGAATCAGAGCGAGAGGGCTGCAACGCTCTCGCCTGTAGTGGAAAGCCAAATTGAAGCGCTAGTGGAAAGCCAAATTGAAGCGCTAGTGGAAAGCCAAATTGAAGCGCTAGTGGAAAGCCAAATTGAAGCGCTAGTGGAAAGCCAAATTGAAGCGCGAGTGGAAAGCCAGAAAAACGCGGCGAAAGTGCTGTCGAAGGAGCACTACGAGAAATCGGGGAAGAAGCGCGCTTTTGAAGTTGATAATCAGGTAATGCGGCTGCAGCCACCCAAAAGGAACAAGCTTGAGGTTGATTGGGAAGGGCCCGCCAAAGTATTATCGAAGCCTTGCGATACAAATTATGAGGTGCAAGTAGGAAGGCGGCAGAACAAAATTTACAACTTGATGAAACCCAATGTTCAACATCAAGCGGTCGTAAATCAGCTGTTGAAGGTTTCAGAGGAAGAGGAAGCAGAAAATTTGAGTTCTAGTGAGGTGATCGAGGGGGGATCGAAAGTAATCCGGGAGCAGATAAACCTAGAGCCTAGCTTAAGTGAAGGAGGACCTGAGAAGGAGGACCTGAAAAAGATTGGTTCCGAGTTTGAAGACGTGTTTTCGGACCGCCCCGGAAACACGAGGGTGATCGAACACGATATCGAGCTAAGCGGTGAGGAGTCAATCCGTAGCAAGCCGTATCGTTGTTCCCATGTGCAACGTCGAAAGTGTGAGCCGCTCTTGGTGCCGCATAGGTATCGTCGCCTAAAAGTGGCCGGTTACTGAGGTGGAGCATGTTGCTCCACAGCGCAACTTTGACGTTCGCTAAAGAAAAAAAAAAGGGAAAGGTAAACGCTAATGCAGGTGCATTGAGCAGTGCGTTCCAGCTAGTAACTTCTCAACCTTTCGGTTTCTCGCTGGCGATTCGGGGCAAAATTTTGACCTCATCACGACCTGGGCTGAGCGCTCTCGTTCAGAGTGATCTCAAGGGGCCAACTTTATGTGGTATTCTAATTCGTTACGTTGTTGTACGTGGAAAAAAAATTTAGTTGTCATTTTAAGAGTCTTGTGTCCCACATGTGCCTCTTGATGTAGAGGGAACAAAATTCCGATAGACACGTAGATAGGTATATGTTGTACTATACTTTGTCTGGTGTTCTGTCGGGTGACCGAAGGCACTTGCGTGTGTCGTGTGTTGTCTGTTGTCGATCCGTTCTTGGCAAGTTGCAGAACCATCGACAAGTGCTGAAACCGAAGATGGTCAGAAGAGACGAGTGAAGCTGGTCAGCAAGTTGTGGCGACAAGCCAGTGGGGCTGGGATCCGTCGTCAAAATGGGATGTGTTCCCGGAACAGTCTGGAGCTGTAGTCTCCCCATGGCCCTGGAGGCGAACCTGGAGGGACCTGGCGAACGAGCGCACCTGACATCCGAGCCCCGTGGAAGCAGCTCGTCTTTCCGGTGCATTGTCTGGCGGCGGGGGTGCTGTTATGCCAGCGAGTCCTCGTCAAACGACCGTGCCTCTGAAAAAGGCAATCTGGGTCAAGGCCAGCCCGCAGTCTGCCTGGCGCGATCACCTCGACGGCGTGAACACGCGCGGCGCTCCTCTGGCCCACGTGCAGTGAGTCAGTTGCGCACGTGACAGCGAGCCGGCGTCCTCGTGTCAGGTGGTCTGACGCATGGCGCGGCGGCGCCATTGGCGGAATCTGCCCGGACGACCAGCGGCGCTTCTGATTGGACTTTTTGGTTGGACCCGGTGCAAATAAAAGAAGCCCTGCGGCGCGTCGCGATCGGCGGTCCTATGTGAGAGGCGTCCCCGTGTCGGAGTGCCGACATGTGTGTGAGTCAGCGGTCTTAGGCGAAAGGCTGAACTATGTGTTAGAGAGAAGAGCTCGGCTCTTCGAGTCTCTGTCGGCCCCAGTGCCGAAATTGTAACGCCTCTGTATATATGCTGTACATAAACCTTGTTTGACTCACCGTCGTCTCGTCCGCTCGTCTGATCAGCTCTGCGCAGAAGCAGTCGCGAGCTGAGAAACATACGCTACCAAACGGCTGGTGACCTTCCCGGCGGAGTCGGAAGCAGTGGCGCCTTCGGGGCCGTGTCGGCGTCGCCGTCTTTCGCAACAGTGGTGGCTTCGGCGGGATCGGTCCGTCGTTCGCAACAGTGGTGGCTTCGGCGGGATCGGTCCGCCGTTTCGCAACATGGCCTACGACATTTCCGCCTCCATCGGAAATGCGGCCGCCGCAGCCTGGATTCGATCCCGTGACCAGCGGGTAAGCAGCCGAGTACCTTATAGCCAATAGACCGCCGCGGCAAGGTCTTCTGCGGGCGAGTTGGTGACATAGTTTAAATTAGCTTCTTGAGAGCGCGTTGCGGACACAGTTCTCTGCATAGATTTACGCTTGAAGGAGACTTCCAAAGGCTGGAAGGGGTCGTTTATTAGGTTCAGGGGGAGCTCAGGAGCAGTCGACTAGTTAGGGATCCACCCAATCCCTAGCTGATTATTTCTACGGCTTATTTTGGACTGAAATAATCTTTCACAGTCCAATTTTCACACGCACACAAGCATATTTGTCCATACACCGCTGTTTTTCGCCGAAAACCGTCAATTTTTGGGTGACCATGTCATGACTCCTTTAAAAAACAAATAGTTATGAAAATTTGTTATTGAAGTCTTCCAATGCGGAATTCGACGTATCACTGTAGACCACTGCTATATGAGGTTACAAATTGTAACGATCGAGTCGGTACTCGCTCAAACGTTGTGTGAGGTTGCTTGCGTTAAAAAAAAACGCCCAAGTCTATAATGAATGCGGTACATTCATGTTCTGGAAAAAAATTACGTGCCAACCGTACGCGATAGACTTACCTACATCGGTCTATATATTAGTAAATTTCCTAGAACGTGTAAACATTGATTCGACAATGGGGATAGCGTGGCCTGGATTGTGCGAAACATCAGACGTATTTTAGATGCTCTAATAACGGTCGAGTACGCTGATTCCACCTCTTACGTGTTCCTGGTGCATTGCACTGCCCACTTCTCTCCCGCGGGATGTAGCTGCAGACTTTGAGGCGTTGTACGGGAACGAGAGATCTTCCGCTTAACGTGCGCAGACCGAGGGCTACGTCGCCGGCCTTGAAGAGCCAGATGATCAGTGCGCCTGGCTTAACCACGTTGACCGAAAGCTCCCAGCGTTCCCGGTGACCGATCGTCTGGAGCGGGGCGTCTTTCTCGTCGAACACAGATTACGTCTCGGCCTCTTCGAACCGACCACCATAGTTCACCTACGGGAAAGTTCAAACGGTTAAATACATGAAGTTTCGTACAAATACACTATATATATGGGACTCTGGCGCTGGTGTCTATGGTTGCGTGGCGATTCAGCGAACATAGGAATGATGGGTAGTGCATAGATTTGTCTACTCTTCGCACTTTCGGCTCGGTTTGACTTCGCGTGGCTTGGAGATGCTTTGTCACGAAAAAAAAAAAATCGGGAAACGTGTAGCAGTTACGCTTCCCCACAACAACCTTTTAGCCTCACCAATTGAAATCGGGTCGCGAAGTTCGAAAGGGTCCGTTCGTAACAAAACCAAAGGACTGCAGTAAACGAATTCACTAGTTGGGTTGAAGCCCGCAAGCACGAAGACGAGGCAAATTCAAGTACTACCCGCCATTTCTATGGTTGCTCGACGATCGCAGAGCCAGAGTTCCCTCTAGTTAATTTTAGGAAACTCTGTGGGTAAATATACTGACAGTCATTCATGTTCGCTAGCAACCACCGACCCCCTATTCAACACATGCCGAGAGCTCTCAAAGGTATCTGATCTAGCCGGCTGTAATCAACAAATCTACTCTTCAAGGGCAGGGGCAGTGAAGAAATTAGAAAAAAAAGCAGGGGGGTGGCGGTGATAAAAACATTAATCATAAATTGTTGTCATTTTTAAGAAAGCTTGGGACTACTCATATGTTATACAGTGCCGCGTGTGTTTATTTTGATGTGTTCGGATTTCACCCCAACGATCTTTAGCAACTGAAATACTGAAAAAAAATGGCTGCGTTCCATCAAGGAAGATGCTCTTATCTGTACTGTGTTTAAATTTGCTTCCCCGATGGTACGTGCCTTTTTTGTGTTTAAGTAAGCATGTACCAACTAGCCCAACAAAAAGTTTTATAAATTTACTCTTAGGAACGCTTGGAATGCAAGCGTATTACTTTCCTCTTCTTTGTTCTCTACTGCTTTCCTCATCTTTCCCCCTTGCCCCGCTGCGGTGCTCTAGTGGCTAAGGTACTCGGCTGCCGACCCGCAGGTCGCGGGATCGAATCCTAGCTGCGGCGGCTGCTTTCCGATGGAGGCGGAAATGGTGTAGGCCCGTGTGCTCAGATTTTGGTGCACGTTAAAGAACCCCAGGTGGTCGGAATTTCCGGAGCCCACCGCTACAGCGTCTCTCATAATCATATGGTGGTTTTGGGACGTCCAACTCCACAAATCAATCAGAATAGTATCGCCTGCTCGGGAGCTTACGCGAGCACTTGAGATAAGGCTCGAATGTGAGAAGGCACGTCACACGTGAGCCATGAGCGCCATCTGGCAGTTTTCTTGGAAAACAAAGCGTGCGGCTCTGAGACGGGTGTGCGCGCCCATCTCAGAGGTGATAAGGTGTAGAACGCAAGGCGACGGGTAGGTGCCACCACCGTCTCGTCTTATCAAAGCGTTGGAAACACTCGCCTTTTCGTGCAAGCGTTGCATGGTCAGCGTAAGGTGATAAACGCTACGGTCCTTAGATATACTTATGTATGCATTTCTAGTAAAAGACGCACATGCAGAATATGTACGGGTTGTTATGGTGCCCCAGATTTGCGCAATAATTGCTTTTTAATCGGCTATCACACAAGTATGAACGCTCAACCTTGAGCAACATTGGTGGGTGCTGCGGATGGGGTCAGCCGTTTGAGGTGTCGGCTGATGCCGTTTCAAGTAACCGGTGCCGTTAAGTGTGGACAGACATGTACAGACAGACAGACATACAGACAGACAGACAGACAGACAGACAGACAGACAGACAGACAGACTAAAATTTTTGTGTCGAAGGTACCCAAGAAAGACTATCATCTTTAAAAAAGAATGCTTGATACCAGCCAGTCAAGTCTGTGGAGCTGATGAGCATACTTATTGGTCAAATACATACATACATACATACATACATACATACATACATACATACATACATACATACATACATACATACATACATACATACATACATACATACGTGTGTGTGTGTGGTAGCAATATGTGTGGACCATGGTATACGAACCACTGACCTAGGATCTCTAGGCTGTTCAACGGAAAAAAACCTTATCGATAACAGAGTAGATATTTGTCCTTGCTGATAGCACTCAATGCACATTATCGTCAACAGCACAAATATTTCGCTGCCGTAACCAACCTTGTGCCTGCACCTAGGGTCGCCGTTGGGTCCCACCATGTTTCCGCCCCAGCAGGCCGGTAGTGAGTCCGCGTCAGCGATCTCCAGGAGGCGCTTTTTCCAATCGTCTGTCAGGGAGGGAATAGTATTTATTGTTTAGTTAGATACAGGCAACCTAATTGCGTACTGCCGCAGAATGGCATCTAAAAATTTTACCTAAGCTTTCCATGCGCCTGCATATGACAGTGTGTATTTTTTGAGCGCGTTTATATGCTTCTAAGGAACAGCTACATCGGTAACCCTTTTCAGATCAGCGTCTGATGGCTCCGAGGCATTCGTATTTTCCGTCGACTGCAGCGTTATCTTTCGGAATCTGAACCTTTTTTGTGCATAAGTTCTCACCATCCTGCGAAAATGTCGTCGATTCTTCAACATTTGAATGTGAACTGAGCTGATCAGGTGAAACCGAAAAGCTTTCCTGCTGTAGTTTCTTACGTCATCACTGTGCATGCTAGAGGGATTTACAAGGATTGAAAAACCCCGCCACGGTGGTCTAGTGGCTAAGGTACTCGGCTGCTGACGCGCAGGTCGTGGAATCGAATCCCGGCTGCAGCGGATGCATTTTCGATGGAGGTGAAAATGCTGCAGGCCAGTGTGCTCAGATTCGGGTGCACGTTAAAGAACCCCAGGTGGTCAAAATTTCTGGAGCCCTGCACTAGGGCGCCACTCATAATCATATGGTGTTTTTGGGACGTTAAACCCAAGGAGGATACATAAAACTTGCTGGAGTGGAAGGGACGCTGTGCGAGTGAAGCCAGCCGCCGCCATCTTGCCAGTGGCAAAAAGCGTGCTCAGCGCCCTCGCGAGCTGCTGATTTCGTCCGTTCTTGTTTCACCTTGTCGGCTTGTAAAGACAAATGGTTTACAATGGTTGCCTCTTGCGTCATTTACGGATGTGCCAACAGGTTGAAAAAAGGTTGTGACCTCACATTCCACCTGTACGTACACGAAAACGTCTTTGACATAGCCATTCCGCGCTCGTTACTAAAGGGAGCTATAGCTGACGCGATCTAAGCATGCAAAACATAACAGTCCGTATTTGTTTTACAGATTTACTAAAAATCCCGTAACGCGGAGCCTCTGGGAGTGGGCCGTTCGCCGTGAGAAGTAGAATGCGAAAGACTGAGATCACTTCGCTCTGTGCACTTCGCGCCAGAGTGCTTTGACCACCTCTTTGACATTGAAGGGAAACATGTGAAATGGGGTTATGAAGTGGCATTGAAGGCACTTCAACGAGAAGAAGGGTTGTGGCTCGGAAACAAACTTACGAAAGTCCACGTCCAATGGGAAAAGCAAGAAAATGAGGGTGTGATATGCTGTACAACTGAACGAGTGCCTCAGTTGCCGACGCTTTGGACTTCTGCGAACAAAAGCTAAAGCTGCCGCAATTCAAGGGTGCCAGCACAAGATCTACGTTTATTAGAACTTTTGATGGCTTGTTTGACATCTTAAACTCCAGGAACCCGCTTGCAAGGTCGTACAAAGCGCCCCTTCGGCAAGGGAACGAAGCATTCTGGAAATCGTTTTTTTTTTTTGTGGAGACTCGAACGTACATAAACGGGCTGAGATATCCGGCAGTGACAGAAGGACTGAAAAAAAATGGATTCATTGGTTTTTGGATATGCATGGCAAGCACGGAAAGAATGTTTGACAGACTTGTCAGCCAGGGTCAGCTGAAATACTTACTGACACACAAACTCAGTCCAGACTATGCCGAAAACTTTTTTGAATCAATACGTGGATGAGGCGGCCATAACAACAACCCAACAGCTTCGCAGTTTATGGCTCTATTGGTTCAGACGGAAGTCACGTCTTCAAGTTCTGGACACTGCTCCCAACATGTTCTCTCCGTATTGAGTGCAACGACTCCTGCAGCCATGGTACATCCAAAAAGCAATCTCACTGACATGCGCTAGGCCCCAGTCCTGCAGCTCGATGACCACGACAATACGCATCGCATTGACTAGCCCGAAAGCTTTTCTGCTTTTGTCAATTCCGTGGTGCCATACATAGCAGGCTTCATTGTTCGAAAGGTCGAACTGCAACTACCTATGAAGAGTGCATAGCAGCCATGCACTCAGATGAGCTGACACCTTTAATTAAATGTAAGAGGCGAGGTGGTCTTTTTTTACCGTCGCGAGATGTCATTAGCCCCTGTAAAGAAGTCGAGGACTGAGGTGGCTACAGGCTGAATGTGATTCCATCACAACGGTGAAGTCTAGAGCAAGACACCTCATCCTGAAAAATCTATGAGCTTCCTCCGAGAAAAACTGGTTCCATAAACTAGAGCAGCACGTCCTAGACTTTGATACGCTTGATAATCAGGTTTACAGTTTGTGCAGGCAAATCGCTGAACAATACGTAAAAGTGAGGATACAACACATGACGAAGGAAAAAAAAACCGAGAATCGGTCAAAAGTAAGGTGGGACCACTTTTGACAAGGGCAATAATTTTCAACCACCAGTAGGGCACCTATGTTTTCGATTATGTGTTTGCTTTAGGCATCGCGATTTGATGCATATGCACTTTAATTGAGTTCTCTACATGCCACTTGGCTGCGTACAGGTCGCAATAAACATTTACAACCAGAGTTACTTGTTTTCGTTGCTTTATAAACACACGAGTCACTTCACCCGCAGCGCGGTGAAGCATTAAATTTGAAGCGCTCGGCTCTTTTCTGCCACTGGCAACATGGCCGCCGCATGCTCGGCGCGGCTTCACTCTCTCCCGTAGCGGCGCATAGGCGGCTTCCACTCCAGCAAGTTTTATGTATCCTCCTTGGTTAAACCTCACATATTAGTCCACCAATCAATCAATCAATCAATCAATCAATAAACCAATCAATCAATAAATCAATCAATAAATCAATCAATAAATCAATCAATAAATCAATCAATCAATCGATCGATCGATTTAGAATTGAAAAACGATGCTGGCGTAGTTTCTGCGGCACATTTTCTCCTCACACAACTGTTCCGAACATGTGGTTTATAATTCGAGCATTGAACGGTTCTGTAACACAGACTTTCCCATTTCTTGCCCTCGCTTTGGCTGTGGACACACGGTAGATAATAGTGCTTGACGAATTTTGTGCGTTCCTTTGTGGACTTTGCTTTTCATCAGATAGTGCGGGATTTATTATCTGTTTCAATCTCAAAGCAGAAAATTAATGCTTGTTATTGGGGGCATCATCCTCAGAAAGACTCCGCATTCAAATCAAGAGAGCTGCAATGTTCAATTGCTTCATGCCGCCAAAAGTCTGCAGCACGACCTGATGGCATGTCTTAGAATGCGACAAGGGACCTCGGGCCGAGAGCCACAAAAGCTCTTTTAGACATCTACGATAATATATGGACAGAATAAATTGTACCGCCCCCTCGGAAAGTAGCTCGAGTTATTCCAATTCTAAAACCCGGAAAGACGCTCTTGCGCCTTGATTCTTTTCGTCCAGTTAGCTTGACAAGCTGCTTATGAAAGTAATGAACAAGATGATTGACGCGCGGCTTCAGTGGTGGTGCAACGAAACGGATGTGTTGTCCAACAACTTAACCGGTTTTCGAAAAACAGATGCACCAATGGATGCTATACTGGATATAGTAACATATGTGAAACACCAACACGCCTGTGCTAACGGGACTATTCCAGTATTTTTGGACATAAAGAGGACATTCGATCCCGTCAATCACGTGTTGGAACTTGGAATTTCCGGCATGGTCCTTGCGATGGCTTTTTCAGTTTTTATCTGGTCACAAAATATTTGTCCATACGGGTGAAGGAAAGAGTACCGAACATGGTTTCAAGCAGGGAGTGCAACAGGGAAGTGTGCCTAGTCTCTATTCAACTGCGTTATGGCCGATTTAGTAGAAGACTGCCACCTAGTTTACGTTTATCGCTGTATGCGGATGTGTGCATTTGGATATTTGGAAATAATGTTCGATTCATTCAGAGGAAATTAGAAGACATAATTACCGTCCACAATTTTTTATAGAGTTGGATAGCACTGTCACATGCGAAGACAGCTGTCTCACCCTTCACCCGTAAGAAGTTCAAAAATTTCAATCTTAGTCAGGAAGGGCAGCCTTTAGAGTTTTTGACACAACATCTATTTCTTGAAATAATCCTTGATCGGCAGCTATCCTGGACACCACACATTAAAAAAAAAAAAAAACTGGAAAGCGATGTTAGTTCAGTAGTGAATGTACCTGGAGGAATTGCTGGCACTTCGTGGGGTGGATCAGTATAGTCACTACTAACTGTTTGCAATTCTCTTATAAGACAAATAATTGCATACTCTGTTTCAATTTTTCAAGTCACGGCGTTTCAGCCACGTCGGAAAAAAGACTAAAGGAATTTCAGCCAGGGGATTACGGATATGTTTAGGACTTCGAGTTCCCTTGTAATAGCAGAGACTCATTCATGGCAGAAAGAAAATCTGTGGTCTAGAACGCGTCACCATGAGCACAGACAACGCACAACAATGGACAAACCCATCAGCGTCACCGAACGTCATGGCGTATAGAGGGTTCGCTTCGTCATCACCCTCATCGTAAGTACGGGCAAAGGAGAACACACAAAGGGCAAGCCTAGACTCTAATATCCTTCGCTCTCCTAAAGTACACAGGCGCAAGAAAGAACAGGACGTGCAGATGAGCGCTAACTTTCTTTACTCTATAGCGCTCGTCTGGTCTTCCTATACGAGCGCTGTTTACCAGCGCTTTAGAATAGGCAAGTGCTAACTTCGTCTTGTACATAGCTCTCATCTGGTCTTCCTGTTGTTTCGTCTGCCACTGTATTTTGCAGTACTTGTTCAATATGTGTATCCCCTTCTGCTTGCATGATTAGCCACTGCTAACTTGAGTGAACTCAGCATGACTTATTAGTACACTTAAAGCCAGCCCATATTGTAACAATATTGGGGATATACTCTAAGAAGCAATGGCCAAATTCCCTGAGAGCCACACAATACCATATAGGTCCAATGCAGCCAGTAGCGTAAGCCATAAATTCTGTGTCACCCAGAACATCAATCAGCAACACACGAGTGGGCCCTTACCTTTACCGTAGACTTCGAACTTGTCAGCCGTTCTGTCGGACAATATCATTCGCGCATATTTCCACAGAATAGAATAGAAACTTGGTGCTGCAATGACCAATCATAAAGCCATTGAAATTATAAACAAATCAGCAGTTGAGAATACCGCCGCATGTCATACACAGACACGAAAGGTACGGTCAGGTCGTGGAAGATCGTGCAAGATACTGCGAAGACGTACCGTTGATGACTATGACCTTCTCAAGGCACTCCGGGTAGTTGTCTTCCACCATCCTAACTAAGGCGGCTGCAGTCTTGAACACTGCAAAAGAGGAATTCGAGCGTCAGATAGTTTGTGCACCAAGCAAAACTCTGCTATCGTGAGCGGATGACGTCTCGGGCGCCAATTCGTTAATAGCTAAGTCGGGACAAGCGGTTTTTACGCCAGACATGTGCCCCACCACTGAGCATTGAGGTGACCCGCGTGTGAAGGTTATTTCAAAAAGACGTAAAAAGACTTCCGACTTCGAATCTAAGCCACAGTCGTTGCTGTCCGATACTTCGTACCCTTACTGTTGGAAAAATACTTGTCGCTTCGTCTGTCAATTTTCTTCGTACGTTACATGCGCGTAAACATTTTTGAACCTGAATTAACGTAGCTGCACCTCCATTCATTTCTAATAATGATAATTGTGAGGGTTTTACGCCCTAAAACCACGATATGAACATGAGTGAGAGCACCGGAAATTCGAACCATCTGGTTTTTATTGTGCAGTTAAATCTATATGTACGGAGTATTTCACATCCATTGAAGTGCGGCTACGAAGTCCGAGATTTGAACCCGCAACTTTTACGTCAGTAGTCGTACACAAAAACCCCTATACCCTGAATACCTCGACAGGGTCTGCAATCCCTTCAGGAACCCCGTTTTTCTATAGTACGCTATTTAGGCCCTGGACGCATTCATAACAGTTTTCACAATCCAGTGGAAACCTCTGCATACTCTAGGGTACAGTACACTCATATTGCTTCAAAGCTGATCTACTGCGCAGACACAAGAGACATGAAAGAAAACAAAATCGACGAGGTACCATCTTTCATGTCTCTCGCTCCTGTACGCTGGTTTAGTTATGCTGTCATACCAACTCACCCTACTTAATTGCCCTTTCGTAGCATTTCTTACCGTGCCAGGAGTAGATATGACCACGGACCACTTTATCCAAGTCAGCCACCGCATAGTGGGTGTGAATTTCTCGCCCCACCTGATGATAGAACGGAAGCATTGGCACGTATAGACATGGAAGTCTAAATGATATAGCTGTGCATCACATCCATGCAGAGTGCATGACTCGGTGTCTTAATAGGAGCTAGCAAAGAACTCTTTACGCTGCTTTACGAGCAAGCCTCCTGCGAAATTTTGATTGATTTAGTCTATATAAAGTTCATCGGCATCTGTAAATCAATGTTCGAAGTAACCCGGCAAGCTTATGCGGTATGAAGGGCATTTGGAGACCGCCTTATTTAGACAGCAAATGCAGACGAGACTCATTTTGATGACATAGTGAGCCTCATTTTTTCTTCGTGAATGTATCTCCCTTTGACGGAAATATTCATGGTCATTTGTCCTTGGAAGTTTTCGTCCAACCATGATGTTTTCAATCGATCAATCAATCAATCAATCAATCAATCAATCAATCACCTTTTGGGAGGAGTTCCTGCAGACTGATGCCATGTACTCCAGTAGGTAGATGCCATGGCGCTTGATAACCTCAGGATTCAGTGCCTTCAACATTGCTGCAAAACACACATATACACGCAAACTCATGATAGTGTGCGCATTGTAGTCTGCCGTAACGTGGTGTCTTAATAAGCCCTTTCCTAGACGTAACAATATCTATTACGACGAACAAGGGGAGGGGGTTATAGTGTGAGGCGATATGTTGAGCAGGTCGATCGACGGTCTGCTGACTCGCTGTGAAGTGGTACCAACTTTATAATCTTCCAAGTAAGGCCCATGTTTGAAGGTGTTGCCATTGTAAGCTACTTAAAATAAAAACGATGCTACATATGTACGCTCCAGTAAAAGTGTGATATTCTTTTCGGAAAGTTACGATTTCCACTCTCACTCGGAACCCTCGACTCTCCGACGAGAGTGCAACAATGTTCAAGCAGAACTCAGGTTGCCTCTGCCTCTTTAAATATATTTATATACGCGTCAAGTAAGAACTCCAAAAGAGTCAAAGAACTCTTTCTTTGTCTGCCTGCCTCCTTAAGGGACGTCATTTTGGTTAATACAATTGAGTGTGTGCTTGTACAGCAATATTTATTTTACTACAGCTCTCATTGAAAGCTTTGTCTACTATCGCTGTTCTTTTTTTTTTTTTTAGTCGGCCATGTCACTACCTGCCCATGCTTGACTTCGGAAAAGTTCGGCGCCAAGGTAAACACACTAACCTATAGCTCTTGAATTTTCCGCAGAAACTCCATCGTCAACTCTCCGCTTGAGAAATGTTCAGGCCCGCGCTTCTGTATGTATATCCAATGCAGAAGGAAGACTCACCGTTGACGTTTACTCCGCATGGCATTATCCACATGGGGCGTCCGTCTTTGCAAGGGTTCAAAAAATAACCGGGAAAGTTCTCTTTCAGTATCTGTGGAAAGGAGGAATGACAGCTGACTGACTATCACTGCGCGCTGGGCAGAAAGTTTATCAGTACATCGAAGAACTGCATAGCTCGTTCGATCGATTTCAGTTTGACTTTGTCACTTGGCCGTAGCCGTGACCATCATTGAAAAAAACAAAAAAACTAATATATATATATATATATATATATATATATATATATATATATATATATATATATATATATATATATATATATATATATATATATATATATATATTGCGTTCGATGCTCTATCAACTTAACTATCACGTCGCGGCTATCCCCCCAGTTTATATGTGAATTTAAACGTGGGAGTGTCAGTGAGCGCCACCTGTAGCCGTGGTGGCGAGTGTGGCACACTCTTTTTAAGAGCCTGTATGGCGTCAGGTAGCACGTGAACTTATTACGAGCTGGCAGCTGACCATTAGTCCCTCGTATAGAGCCTAACGGCACCAAGTCTGCCAGTACGGGACCCTCGGTAATGAATAAGGGAAAGAAGTGTATACCTAAGGGCTAGTTTTTCCATCTTTTGATACAATATTAATGAGATATAACAGACAATAATGCCAAGGAATGTATAGAGGAAGTTACTAGAACCAATGCAGTGTAAATAAGCAATGTAAATATATATATGGCGCTGGTATGTCTGTGTGATGCCAAGAATTCCTTCTTGAGTGGATTCGTTGAGTCACTGATAAAATCGGTTATATTTTGCTAACTTATATACTTGGCTATATCGTTATCCAGTGCAAGACATGTTTAGTGATGGTGAATTAGTGGTGTGCGAGCCCCGTAATTGATAACGCGACTACTACTTAGAGATATAGAACGTCACGGGGGCGTCGCGAGTAAATTGTTTTTCGTGTTTGCGTGTTGTCTTCATAGGCTACCTTAGTAGATTTCTTGGTACTGCAGCAGAGTTACCCACTAACCCAGTTAACTTTATTTTCGACTAAAGCTTTCCTCCGATTAGGTTAATAACCGCACTAATATGTCAGCGCACTGTAGATCGGGCATGCACGCGCGCTGTAAGCATGCAAAGCCTCTTTTAGCGATTTTTTTTTTTTTGCGGGAGGCGTTCGAGATATGCCAAGCCGTCACGATGGCCTAGATTACCCATGAACTCCTAATTTACTCCACATATGCAAGACACGAATACGGGCTTCTTGTAAGGAAGTTATTCGGTTTACTGAGCTGTTCAATTCCCACGTACAGTGGAAGCGGAACGGCTCGGTGCTCTCCCATAGTTGAGTATCAAGTACCCGAAGTCGTTAAACATTTTTTTCTAAACTCAATTAATAAGGAGCGTACTTCAGGTATTTCGTAGGTGTGCAGAATGTCGTCCGCGCCGTTCTCCTTTCGCCACTGGAGGTGCTGCGTTTACAAGAAACAAAACAACAAAATGAGACCTCTGTAAAACCACTTTAACGGCCAACTCTTAGCGAAATCGCTCTGATTCACGTTCTGGTGGTAATCGGTAGAAGACAATAGGATGTTTCTTATTTCGTGTCATGGTTTGAAGAACAATAATCGCGAAAAACGACATAGCCCCGCCGCGGTGGTCTAGTGGCTAAGGTACTCGGCTACTGACCCGCAGGTCGCGGGTTCAAATCCCGGCTGCGGCGGCTGCATTTCCGATGGAGGCGGAAATGTCGTAGACCCTTGTGCTCAGATTTGGGTGCACGTTAAAGAACCCCAGGTGGTCCAAATTTCCGGAGTCCTCCACTACGGCGTCTCTCATAATCAATAGGTGGTTTTTGGACGTTAAACCCCACAAATCAATCAAATCAATCAAAAAACGACATGTCATGAAACTTGAGCTTTATCTTCAAGACGAAGACGTGGAAACGCGATGGGGCCCGGTGGTGCACATAGTGTTTCTAATAACTGTTTATTGAAAATGTAGCAGCCGCAAATGTTACAACCGGCTGCGCTAGGATTTCCTTGGTATTCTTTGTTATCGGACCCGCACTTAGCCTTTGGATACAGGTCTGACAACTGCTAGTTGTCTGTGAAATGAAGTGAATTCATTGTTTTTAACTTAGATGCGAGAAAAGGAACGTTAAAGCGCATTTGGCTGTTTCAAAATATCCTAGAATGTTCGCTCTCGGACAACGCTGATGTTTCGCTCAAAACCAGTTATTTCGATGCCGACGCCTTCACCAACACCCAGAATTTTTGGAATACGAGCTCGTTAACACTATACCGAAAAAATAGAAAGAGAAAATTCGGAGGCGACCGTAATCACTGACTGAGGTGTCTACACTCGTACGTTAGTGCGGATGCAAACTATAGACCTGTGCGCCGCACCAAAATTGCCGGCGGTGGTGTGCTGCAGGGGGGAAGGGCGAGGCGGGGGTTAGGATTAAGGTTTGAAGCTTGTTCCTTGCATAAAAAAAAACCTTTTTGCTGAAAGTGCGAGGCACTCAGCGTGATAACATGTCTATGTTATTTATTTACCAATACTTCTCTCTGTTTTAGAGACATAGCAGGTGTAAATACAAATGTCGAGCAACTTGAAAAAATGCAATTGATCAAAGTACATGCTTACGCAATCCTTTTTTTTTTCAATGGCTAAGCACCAAGTATGAGCAGGTAACCATAAAAATATTTACAAAAATGCACGCTCTGCACAAAAGAAAAAAAAGAGAACGAGAAGAATTCATGAATTGATGTAACCACGCACAATATTATGAGAATCAAATCACCGGGAACGGTGTGCCAAGATGCAACGAAGGTAACGGGGTGCTATAGAGCACTCGAACCTGTGTGAACTGTTTTCTTTATGCAGGAGGATAACACGATTGCAACCGCCCCGATGTTCGAGAGGTGCTGCCGCGATAAAACGTGCGCATGCTAAATCGGGGAAGAAAACAATTTTTAACTGAGATTTCTGGTATATGGGCCATTCGAGAGTATTTTCCCTAATAACGTCACGTGAATCAGCGTTCTGGCGTCACGAATAGCGCTGAAAGAACGAGAAACGCCCAAGAAAGAATAGCACGCCGGATTGTATATTTTCAGAAGCTGTTTTAGGGCCCTTATATGGACGGGGCATGCAAACGCCGACACAAGAGAGCAGTCACGACAGCGCAAACACTGCTCTGAAAGTTTTTAAAGCTGCAGAATGGTAGGTGAAGTTATGTATTTTTTTTTTGCCCAGATTCCCGATCGGGTTAAAATAAAACCAATGGCGACGCACCGCAATTATTTCGAGGCGGCGGCGGCGACGTGGTCTCTCTCGGAACTTCGGCTGTGGCGCGAACGACGTGGGCAAAAACGGGTGGCGGAGCAGTGCGGTGGCGCGCAGCTCGAGTTCGAACCCAGCTCCACAAGGAGCATTCTTTCGGCTTTATTGAGAAAGAGAGAGAGAAGAAACTTTATTCAAGTGTCCCTGCTGAGGTCAAAGGTAGCGGGGGGCCGGGAGACGGGCCCCTCTGTAACCCCCTTCCTCAGGCGGCGGCCAGGCCTTGAATCCCATGCCTTGAATCGCCACGCTCAACGTAGGCGCCCGTACCTACCGCTACATCCGCAACTTTTTTAAAGGACAGGACAGCCACACTCTCGGTCAACGATTTGCCTGCACCTTCCATCACTCTCGGTGGGAAAGGGACACCACAGGGGTCGGTCCTCTCTCCATTCCTTTTCAACCTGGCCATGCTTCACCTTCCACCACTTCTAGAAGATATCCCTCACCTCCACCACAGCATATACGGGGACGATATCACCTTGTGGATTGCCAGAGGTAGTGACGGAGGGATACGAGATGCACTTCGATTGGCGATTGATAGAATCACAACTTACGCTGAACAACGAGGATTGTCCTGCTCGCCCCAAAAGCCAGAGTTACTCGTCTATCGACCTAGATCTCCCTACAACAGATACCTTCCCACGATAAATCTGCATGTGCAACATCACCCTATACGAACAGTCCCTACCATTCGGCTTTATTGAGTTATTCTTTCATGGCGATGATGGTCTTATTAGACAGAGGGACGGATCATTTTTTTTTCTCGTTCTGTCCGCACAACAATGCTTACGTGTACGGCCATGATGGATCAGTGGCTATATAAGGAGCTTGGCTGCTCACCCCAAGGTCACGGGTTTGATACGGGCGGCCACATTTCTGTGTAATTGAGAAGGCCCGTGAAGACCACTTCTGTGAAGCAGACGTGAGCAGCCGGTTTCTGCTGTGTGGGGCGACGCCTTGCGGCATTTACAGGCCCATGTGGGGTCAATATGACTATTAGGCTGCGCATGCTCCTGACACATCATATCATAGACCGAAACTGCCTCAAGGTGTCGCTCCGCTCGGTAAAAACCAGCTGCTGGCGCGCTGTACAAATACGTGGACGTGCATGGCTGTACTGTGCGATGTCAGTGCAGTTTAAAGAACACCAGATTAAAAAAAAAAACTTGAGGATACCTCAACCACAGCGTCTTTCTTAATCATATCAAGGTTTTGTGACGTAAAACCCCAAATATTATTATTATTTTTAAGAAATGCTTACGCACCAAGAAGTAAAGGTTGCGGCCTATTGACGGAAACGCAATTCGCTGCAAAGTTTGTGTGTATGAACTGTAATAAATTGTCCCAGATATGCTGGCCAACGTTGGTGACGCCATGTGACCTGACACGCCACATGAGAGTCCAGAACTGCCTAAAAGTGTCGGCCCGCTCAGCAACGACACCCTGCAACTGTGCGAACGATTGGCGCGTCGATAACTAATCCAAACGTTCGCACAGTTTCCAGGGTCTAATTTACCGATCAACACTGCACGTGTCCTCACCAATCATTACTCGCGGCGCGCAAGCACTGTAGTCATACTCACGTCACAATACATTTTCTTCGCCTTGGTGACATCGAAGTCTCGCGCTGGTTTCGGGACCCACACATGCGAAGGAAGCATTGTATAAGGTGTGATGCGTGCCGTTTCCCCTAGCATCACTAACTATTTGTTCTTTCAACTGGGAGATGAAATTGAAAATGTATTAACGTTCCTACCTCTGCAAGAGCTTTATTTGTATTTCAGTGTCTTGGTTGTGTACTTGTATGACATTTTGTTCTCTGCCGCATTAAGACCAGGCTGGCATGGTGCACCTCTCGATGGCTTACCTCTCTATTTTTGTGTTTGTCGTTAGTGGTTAAGGGTAGACATTCGCTAATAATAATAATAATAATAATAATAATAATAATAATAATAATAATAATAATAATAATAATAATATTATTAATAATAATGTGGCGTCATTGAGCCAGCACTCACCCCTGAGCCAACGTAGCAGGTAGGCATCCGTATCCGAGGCCCTCCTCACGTCGGAGACTGCCTTACGAAACTGCACGGTTCATTATAACATCCTACTACGTACACGCATATATCAACCCCACTAGTATAAGTAAACACGAAGTAGTCACTGTGACGCAGGTCGCTAAATGCCATGATCTGACACACATCGTGGCATGACGACAAAAAAAAAGTTCGGCAGATCCCACGTACCTAGGGCGACCGACGTTGTGCGAAATACGCGGAGGGAAGATGACCAGGCTGTAGCTAACGAGGTTGCTTAGGCGAATGGGTACATGCTTCACATAAAAAACAGCGCCAATAACAAGGGACAAGAAAAGGAGACAGATAGCGCCGTTGTTAGTCTCCTTCTTTTCTTGTCCTGTTGGCGCTGTTTTTAGGGGCGAAGCTCCTTAGGGCGTGGGCTGTGCGTCCCCTGTAGCCTGTATGTAGCCACCTCTAGTTTAGTTCTTGCAGTGTTCACTAGATGGCGGTACCGTCCCCTGTATGTAGCCACCTCTAGTTTAGTTCTTGCAGTGTTCACTAGATGGCGGTACCGTCTCCTGTATGTAGGGTCGGACGTGTTTTTGGAGAGCTCCGGAATGACAGCTACAGATAAGTGTTTTTGCATGTTTCCAGCTTGCCTCTGTATGTAGCGTTATGAGAACGTAAGGCGCTAGCGTAAAGCTTGATTAGGTCTAGTACGGTGTACGTTTTTTTTTTAGTATTCTGTACTATGTCTTTTTTTTGCTCCAGCCACCACGTGGCTGAGGCCTGCGCGTAGACCGACCACGTGCATGCGCAGGTGCTGTGAAGTGTAGCGTATTTATGTATTATTGTGGTTCTTTTTGGCTTAGACCAGTGTATTTTAGTACAGTTTTCTAACACGTGGGCATCGGTAAACTGAGCTAGCCATGGTCAAAAAGACCGTAAAGTGTTCAGAGTGCGGGGTAGGGCGGAAGGTGGAAATTAGTGCGGAAGAGAAAGCAGAAGATGACGCCAAGTGTAGACAGTGCGAGTTCGAGGAGAAAATGAAAAATATGATGGCGGTCCAGAGTGGGCTCATGGAGAAAATCGCAGAGCTGGAGAATGCATTGGCGAAGGAGCGAGAGAAAACGTCAGCCATGGAGGAAAGGCTCCGGGCAGCCGAGAAGGGCCTATCGAAGGTCGTGAAGGGGAACGAAGACGCAGGTGACGGCGGAAGCATTATGGCGACGACCCCCCGTGCGGGAGAGATGAGGGAAACAGGCATGACAAAGGCAGATACATTGGCCACAGGGCCCAGCTACCGGGAAGTAGTTTTGAGGGAGGGAGGGAGCAAACCAGCAGCCGTGACTCACGCTAGTCACCTAGTCAGCAGCCAGGTGCAGGTTTCAGAAGGAATGTCTGAACAGGTCATCATCGCCGGTGACTCAAATTTAGTCCGATGCGCAGGGGCAATCAAAGAAAGGGTGAAAGGCGACAAGAGAGTTGCGATAGGGACGTTCCCAGGACAAACGCTGGGGACAGTAATGAGTCAAGCGGGTGAACAACTCGAAGCTAAAGCTAACAATCGTAACCTCGTTGTAATTGCGGGAGGGTTAAATGACGTCCTGAAAAAAGAATCGTCAGGACTAGCGACGACCTTGGCGAAAGGGGTGGATGACATGCGCACCGTGTCCCCCCAGGTGCAAATTGTAGTATGCACAGTACCGGAAGTACCAGTACGCAACGTCAACCTGCAAAGAGCGGTTGTCGACGCAAACAAAGAGATATGGCGAATTAGTCGAGAGAAGGGTTTCGAGGTAGTGGATTTAAACAGGGAAGTGCACAGGTGGGGTGGATTCCAAAGAGACAAGATTCATTTCGATAAGAGGCTTGGACACGAGGTGGGCTGGCGACTGGCAGGACGCGCAGTAGCTTTTTTGGGGGGCTCACGGGCCCTTCGGAGTCCGGGGTAGCTCGTAACAGGGAAAACAACCAGGAGGACGCTTTGACAGGTAGAATTGCGAAAAACCAGAAAAAAGGTAAAAGAAAAAGGAAAAAGGCGCGTGTTGCAATTAGTTACATAAACATGCAGGGTGGCAGAAAGAAGGCAAAATGGTTAGAGATTGAGGAGCAGTTAAACAAAGAACAGATAGGCGTGTATGCGGTTACAGAAACACACCTTAGAGACTTGGAAGAGCCACCACATATTAAAAACTATGTTTGGGAAGGGTGTAACAGGACCATATCGGAAAGGAAAGGTGGGGGTGTAGGAATGCTAATTCACCGCGGAGCCAAATGGGTTAGAGTGAAACAGACGTGTTCAGAGCACCTCTGGGTTCTGGGCACAGTAGGTGGAAAGGAAACGTGGCTAGGGGTAGCCTACTTGTGGACGGGGAATAACTACAGAGAAAAGAATCAGGAGATAGTGGATTGCATGAGTGCGGATATTAAGGAATTTGGTAATGGGGCCGAAATCATCCTTCTAGGGGACACGAATGCCCACATACATGACCTTGACGGATATTCAGACACCAATGGGAAGTTATTACTAAATCTTTGCGAGCAACATAGTCTGGAGATAGTTAACACGGGGCCTAAATGTGACGGCCAGATCACATGGGAAGTCGGAAACAAGCAATCAAGTATTGATTATTGTCTCATGACTGAAGGAATTTACCACAAACTGACAGAAATGAGGATAGACGAGGAAGGCATTAACAGCTTGGGTAGTGATCATAAACGAATAACATTACAAATGGGACACGAAACTAAAAATATGAGCATGGAATCAAAGTCTGGCAGCTCGTATTTAAATGACAAACAAATAATAAATATAGCCGCAAGAGTCGAGGAAGAAGTAGGCGAAATACCAGGCAAGGACTGGGAGTATAGTGAGCTGTTACATCTAATGACGAAGGAGATAGGGAAAGAGAAGAAAACTGTTTGCTGGAAAGGAAAAAGGAAGCCAAAAAGTTGGTGGAACAAGGAAATCCGGGAGGCGATCGAGAAGCGACGCGAAGCATCACGGGAGCATAGAAAGGCAAAAAAGGAGAAGCGGCCGCAGGACGAAGTCAAAAAAATATGGGAAATATATTTGGAGAAAAAATCCCTTGTACAGAAATTGGTAGAGGCAAAAATTAAAGTTGAAAGTGAACGCTGGATGACAGAGATACACGAAAAAAAGGAGGCCGCGCCAGAGATTTTTTGGAGCCACATAAAGGCGCTAGGTAGGAAGTCTGTCACAACGCAACAACATATTCCAGATGAAGGAGGAAATCAATTGGAAGGGTACGAAGCGCTAGGTTACATCCAAAAGGTAACAGCCGATTCGTTTCAAAAGAGCGTCCAGGGGATCTCCCCGGTGAGAAAAAGTGTGGCGGAGAAAGCAACAGAGGAAGAGCTAGTACTTGATAATTTCAACTGGAAAAAGGCCGAAGGAAAAATTCCAAAGCGCACTGCCGCGGGTTTAGATGGGATTCGCGTTAGCCTCATTAACGAACTAGGACATAACACTAAAGAAGCATTGTTAAAAGTAGTAGAAAAAAGCTTAAAGGACGGACAAATACCGGACAGTTGGCGACAAAGTAGAATGAACTTAATCTATAAAGGCAAGGGAGAAAAGGACAAGATTCGCTCGTATAGACCACTAACCATTACATCGGTACTATACAGGTTGGCGATGCAAGCAGTAAAAATGAAAATAGAAACATGGGCCGAACATAACGATATTTTGGGAGAACTTCAGAACGGATTTCGAGTCGACAGGCGGTTAGACGATAACCTGTTTGTTCTCACTCAGTGTATAGAAATATCTAAAATAGAGAATAGGCCCTTGTACGTGGCTTTCCTAGACATCACTGGGGCATACGACAACGTTAATCAGGAAATTTTGTGGGATATATTGAAAGGAATGGGCATGGGCGACGACTGTATACAGCTTTTGAGGGAGATATACCGAGAAAATACAGTTTGCATAGAGTGGGAAGGAATGCGTAGCAAAGAGAACGTTGAGGTTAGCAGGGGTCTGAGACAGGGATGTCCTTTGTCCCCACTGTTATTCATGCTGTACATGGTGAGTATGGAAAAAGCGCTAGAAGGTAGCAACATTGGTTTTAATCTGTCACACAAACAGGGCGGCATGATGATTGAGCAGAAGCTTCCAGGTTTATTTTATGCGGACGATATCGTCTTATTTGCGGACAGTCGAGATGATATACAGCAGCTGGCGAATATATGCGGAAGGGAAGGTGAAGCTCTTGGACTAGGATTCAGTGTAACGAAGTGTGGATTGATGGTATTCAATGATCCCTGTGATCAGACGGTGTCCATACAAGGCCAAGAAATACCGAGGGTAAGTGAATACAAGTACCTTGGAGTATGGGTAAATGAGAGTGATAGATACATGGAGGTACAGGAAAAAGCCTCAGCAGCAAAAGGAAAGAGGAATGCCGCAATAATGAAGCACAGAGCGTTGTGGGGATACAATAGGTATGAGGTGCTTCGAGGTCTGTGGAAGGGTGTAATGGTTCCAGGGCTTACTTTTGGGAACTCAGTGGTGTGCATGAGGGCAGAGGTGCAATCGGGAATGGATGTAAATCAAAGGACTGTGGGACGCCTCGCGTTGGGTGCTCACGGGAAGACGACAAACGAGGCTGTAAAGGGCGATATGGGGTGGGCAGGTTTTGAGGCGAGGGAAGCGCAGAGCAAAATAAGGTTCGAAGAAAGGCTAAGGAATATGAAGGAGAGTAGATGGGCAGAGAAGGTGTTCCGTTATTTGTATAGGAAGAGCGTGGACACACAGTGGAGAAAAAGAACTAGAAGACTCACTAGTAAATATACGGCTGGTATTGTGAGCCATATGTCAACAAAGAGCGTTAAGGGAAAAGTCAGGGAGGCGGAGAGGATTTACTGGATGGCAGCTATGGAGAAAAAACCGGCTCTGAGTAACTACAGAAAGGGCAAAAATGAAATAAGGAGGGAGGCATTTTACGATAATTCAAGGGGAAGCGCTTTACTGTTTGAAGCGAGATCGGGTTGCCTTAGAACGCGTAGTTATAAAGCAAGATTCAGTAAAGAAGAAGAACAATGCACATGCTGCGGGAAAGATAAGGAAACGGCGGAGCATGTTCTGATTGAATGTGGAGATATCCACCAAGGTGTACGTTTGGGCACGAGCCTACAGGAAGCCTTGGGTTTTAGGGACAACAATGGAAAGCTGAACACACCCGCGATTGAAATAAGTAAGAGACGGTTAGAGTATTGGTGGCAGAAAATTAGAGAGAAAGGACAAAAATAAATATTGGAAAAATAAAATATGGACAGTGTGCCGTAAATGGCAGAGAACTTAAGCTGAAAATTTACCTTTTTTTCCATTAAGATAGAATTTATCGAAGTAGAGGCATTAGGCCAACATAAAAAAAAAAGAAAGAAAAAAAGGTTTTTTTTTTTTTTTGTCGAGCCTGGTGGCATACTTGTCACCACCCCGTTATAAAGGGGACGCTCATAGCATCCATCTATCCATCCATGTAGCCACCTCTCGTTTAGTTCTTGTAGTATTTACTAGACGGTGGTACTTGTAGCTGATGATGAAAAGATTCAAGATGTTATAAACTAGAAAGCGGTACTTGTAGTTGATGAAAGACGCGAGATCTTATAAAATAGGAATGATGTCACATATGGCGCGTGTCATTGGTTGAAGGCAATCGTTCGATTTAGTGCGGCGACGTACGCTAGGGGGAGCGATGTAAAAAATCGAGTGGGCAAAATGTACAGAGGATTCATGGTTTACCAGGTTTACCTCCGGAGCTTCGCCCACTCATCATCATTCACTTCGTGGATATGGCAGAATTTTTTTTATGAGGACCATGTTGTGATTTTTTATTGAGTGACACATCATGAAATGGCGCTAAATATATGTACAAACGGTGCACGCACAGATATATGTTGAAGAGTTGTAAATGTTTGTATAATGATTTCTTTGCATTTGTGCAACGATGCCAACAGGAGCATGAGTATTAGCAACACCAGAAGCGATGCGCTGATATGAAGCGCTGGTGCTCGCAAAAATAATAGCCCAGGACACTGCTACATGATTAATCTTCATCGGACTGCACCAAACTACAATTGACGTTAACCCGGCGTGATGGCTGCATCATAAAAGTGCATATGTAATGTTTATGAAATTGGATAGTCAGCACTGCAACCACAGTAGTCGTTTCACAGGGTCTATTTAAAAAGTACTTCTGAGACCTAGCATGGATCTGTGGTAGAGTGCTTGATTTCCTCGCAGAATGCTTGGGTTTGATTTCTTCTGGGACCCTGACATATATTACTTGCATTCGTTGGGTAAACACTGCAGATATAACGTTTTTATAAACGCGCACGTGTTAAAATTGGTCATGTGTGTTCTCGTCGTTCCTAGGTAGATAGCGTCAATCACTTGTGGCACATGCCTGCATACCAGGCACACATACTCGCCCGCGGGTATGTGACACTGTTTGGCGAGAAGTGTTTGACGGCGTGCGCGACAGGATTGGGACATTATTCACGTCTTTACCAGTGCATCATATTCGTCCGACCACCTTGCCCTCCCATACTAATTTTGGTCCACGCCATGTTAAGGAGATGATAACGACAGCCCCCAAACCTAAGCGGATAGATAGTTATGGCACAGATGCAAACTAACAATAGATAGATAGATAGATAGATAGATAGATAGATAGATAGATAGATAGATAGATAGATAGATAGATAGATAGATAGATAGATAGATAGATAGATAGATAGATAGATAGATAGATAGATAGATAGATAGATAGATAGATAGATAGATAGATAGATAGATAGATAGATAGATAGATACCAAAACTGCTTGCAGTACGCACAGAAACGCTTCACATTTGAAATGGGTGTGGCAACGCGACTTTCGACATTCTCCATACTTCACAAATAGAGTATAAAATCACTTTCACTTTCTGAAGCTTACCAATACCGTACTCATGCACTTGTTTCAAAAGGTTTTCTTTCAAGGTGTATGTACCACGATTTTGGCTCTGGGGCGTTGACGCACCGGTCAGCCGAAGCCGTGTGCATTGATACCACTTCCTGCTTGTCTCACCTGTTACGCCGATTTATATCTACATATGAAGAAAAGACGAAGATCTTTTTTTTTTTTTCGAGGGTATCGTTTATTTTGTCAGGGGCGACCAAAAAAATCCAACACACACTTAAGCGAAGAAAAGTTTATGCGGAACATTATTTGTTGTTTTATTTAGGACATACATTGAAAGGCACCTATATGCTTACTTTAATTAGCTTTTGTTGTAGTTTTTAACTGAGGGCCCCATTATCAGCATTCATACTCTAGGACCTTCATCTACAAGTTTTACGTAATTCATGCTGATGTAACGAATAAACTGAAACTTAAATTGGATGTATGCGTATGCACTAGTCTTTGCAACTCCATTTCTGCAGCGATCGCTTCTAAGTGACACGTGACAATGCGTGAAACTTGAAGAGATTTTTTTTAGATATATGGCGATTTTATAGTCAGTCACTCAAGCAAAAATACTATCAGGCAGCGCTCCATGTTGGTGAACATTTGTCTTATAGTTTCTGTTTATTGGGGCACACCCAGTGAAGACAAATAGTTGCGTCATTCTGCCTATAATCTTGTGCAGATTGTCCCGAGTTGTATAGCAGGTCGCGAAAGAAGTTGCATGCCACGATTCTGCCGAGGCGTATACCTTTAACTTTCAGTTACCGAGATCGTAGTGCACTGTTCGAACTGGTTGTCTTCTGCGGCTACTAATCTACATCGAAATAAACTATGAACACTCTATCTATTCATACACCGGCTTTAAAAGGCAGTTTGCGTGAGCTGGCGATCAAGCATTGCGTGCCATCAGTGCAGAAACACTTCTTCGAATTCCCAACTGCAAGGGGTAAAGACAATTGTAGTTATTGTAGACAAACTATGATAACTTTCCCCAAGGATCAAGTTAGTCTAGTTACGGTGACGATATTGAAGATCAATATGCACATAAGAACAATTTTTGAGAAAAAGTTTACCTCCATTTAAGTCCGAACTTGTTTTCATGTCCGTTGCGCTATTTAGTACTCGATTCTCCCTAACTTAGATACTTTATATAACTCATATGGGTGTTATTTCTAAAGTACCCCCGTAAAAGAAGGAGGAAATTGTGCTATTGTCTTATAATTATTGCAGCAACACCTCTTACCCTCTCCACTCTCGCGCAAGTTCAAGTACGTATAAAAATTTGGACCAGTTTGTGCGGTTTCATGTTGCGCTGAAATTGTAGCGAAATACCTACATAGATTGGAATATATAGACGAGACAAGGATAAGCGCCTACCCGCAAGTTGGTCCCATACTCACCGGAATGCCATTGTGCCATGCAGAATAAAATGTTCGCCATATTCTTTTGGAGTGCGTTAAATGCGCGAATGAAAGAGAAAAATTAAAGAGCAAATTAGCAAGTTTGGACAGGCGGCCCCTCACAACAAAGAAACTACTTGGACCATGGTCTGAGATGCATCTCCAAAAAAAGGCAATTATCTTCCTGACAGACTTTTTAGTGGAGAGCGGACTGGACAAGCGCCTATGATAGACAGCCCGAAAGGGATATATATAAAATGCGTTTATGCATTTACTGACAGCAGAAAAGGAAAAGTGTGCGTGTAAACAGTTTATGACTGTGTGAAATGCCCTAAGAAAACTGTATTGGCATGATATTTGAAACTGGTTTCAGTGTGCTATTATGTTTCTTTTTCGTATTATTAAGTTTTGGGTACCGTTCTGTTATATTCTTTTTTTTTTCGCTGCAGAACTTCGTGATAAGGAGTAGCCGAGGCAATATGCACCTCAACCTCTCCACAGAAAAACAGACAAAAAAAGAACAGAACAGAACAGGTCCCATACTTGAACAGTATGGCATCATGCAAAACTCTGGTCATACTGAAACGAAAAAAAAAAAAAGTTTGGTATCCGTGCGTATTTGCGTGCTATCCGCTTATTAACAACCATATCCACAAAGGCGAGAAACGTCCTTGTGGATGGGGAAAGAACGAACTTGAACGCACAATTTTCCTCCAGAGAGGCTATCATTTGCCTTTCCACATACAGGGACCAGGCGCTTCATGAGCGTAGGAAGAAAGAACAGTTTTGTATGGCGCTTTTGTGGCTTCGAACGGTCGGGCACGTTGAGTTCGGCCATCACCGTCTCCGCTCGAGAGTATCGCTGGTGTCGATGGCGTAATCCGGCGGTGTGCGCCGTGAGGTCACTCACCTGTCCTAATGCTGCTTGTTGGCTTGCATTCAAATTCCAAAGGTAGCCGCTCATCGTGGCTCGCTGCTTGTGAGGGACGCCGTACCCTCCGCATTCGACTGTAGCTTTCCGTCGACTGACTCTCCGTGCGCCAGCAGCATCGCTAAGCCGTTAAGTCACTGCTTCGCGTCGTCGCATCTTTCCGGCTACTAGACGAGCCAAAGCCTCATAGGTTACTCTAGTTTTGACGTCGTATAGTTAAGCTGATGCGGCTCCACATAGACGTGTGGCAGCTTGGGCTAGTTGGTATGGCATGACGATAGTTATAGCGCGAGAACAAAACGATGACACAGAGACAAGAAGGTGTCTTTCGTGTCCTTCTTGTCTGTGTGTCGTCGTTTTGTTCTCGCGCCATAACTATCGTCCACATAGATGTTTTTTTTTGTATTCGATGAACTCTCTCTTTACATTTGCTTTGGAATTTTTTTCTCTCAGCAAATATCTTAAATGTGCTTCCTAAATTTCAACTTTGTAAGACATTGATGTCATCTTGTCGGCGCTTGCGGTCCGTCTTCTTTGCTTCGTTGTTTTCACTTATTTGTCGCATCTTGTCGGACTAAATTTGTTTGCACACATGGTTAGAAATGTTCCGGTAAGTCTGACCTGAAAACGAATTTTCTGTATTGTAGACATGAAACATATTCCAGCTAGTATGTGCACTGTAGTAGCCGACGTTACACCCAGAATGCATGTGCAACACAACACTTTATTTTATTAGTGTGCCTTGCGTCATGAGCTGAAAGAGCCCATTTTGTGTTTCTTATGAGCATTATTGTAGCAGAAATCGTGAGGTATCATCGTAAAGCAGATCTTAACAATAAACCTTCATATTTATTTATTACTTTTCACTATGCAATGAATATTGAACATTCATCTATGCTGTAAAAATTGTGTGTAAACTGTAACTTTTTCATAACCTAAATTCTCAAAATATTCTGTGTCCATCAGTAGCGAAACTTTGGCGCCCATAGATGGCATTGAGAAAAATTTTAAGACTGCTGCGCACGCAGTAGTGTAATATTGGAGAAAATCAGAAATGTCGTGAGGGTACCAAATCTGATGAAAAAAAAAATGGCAGCATATCCACGGAGTGAATGATGGAGACTGGGGCGAAGCATTCGTCCGTACATTCGTTCTAGCTTCCGTCCGTCCATGCGTCCGTCTGTGTGACCGTCCATGCGTCTATCCGCCCGTCCGTGCGTCTGTTCGTGTGTCCGCACGTCCATATGTGCGTCCGTCCTTGCGTTCGTCCATGCATCCGCCCCTGCGTCCGTCCATGCGTCCAGCCGTCCGTGCAGCCATCTGTGCATCCGTCTATGCATCTGTCTGTGTGTCCGTACGTCCATCTATTCAACACTCCAAGTATTACCACCTCGCATCTTTTCATCATATATTCCCCATATAGAAGCACCGCCATCCAGTGGACATTCCAAGGACTAAACGAGAGGTGACGCACGCACTCTTTCCCACGGCTTGCGCTTCGTGTCTACTTGCCACCTTTAACCACCTCGAGTTCATGGTATATACTAGTTCACTATATTCATGGCCCTGCGGCCCAACGCTCGCTAAACCTTTCTAATACCGAGAAGGTTACGCCCAGCGAGTATAACGTAGCAATCCTTTCTTGTCGGATAGTACTCAATGTACATGCTAATGACGCTAACGGGGAATGAGACAGGAGAATTCGGCTTTTACTTTCTCAGGCTTGCGATTCGTATCTACTTCCTACCTTTAACCACCTCGAGTGCATTCATGGTATATACTAGTTCATTGTATTCATGGCACTGCGGCTCAATGCTCGCTAAACCTTTCTAAAACTGAGGAGGTTACACCCAGCGAGTATAACGTAGCAACCCTTTCTTCTCAGATAGTGCTCATTGTACATGCCAGTGGCTGCTAATGGGAATGGCAGCGTACGCGTTAACTAAAAGCCAAATGCTCCTGTCTCTCATTGCCCATTAGCAGTCATTGACATGTACATTAAGCACTACTTTTTATTGTTCAACAATGCACAGAAGAAATCTCTCACCGGCACCACCTTGGGGGTCAAAATGTTATACTTGTTACATACTACAATGGCTACGAGGGACGAACAAATTCCGTTATAAGAAGCTTCGCCCCTAAAAAAAATCGTTCGTTTTATATCGACCGCTATGTCATGGCTTGAAGATTCTTGTATTTTAGTTTTAGCAGAGAATTATTTCTGAAAACCTAAGTGTTGCAGATAGGTGGCGGTATTTAGGGCACCCTTCCCGAGTCCCACCTTATTGGTTATTACAATACATTGGCAAACTTTTGTGTTACATTTGGGCATTTAAATTGCGTGATTACTTGTGTTTCGACATAGAAACCATCGTGATTTGCGCAACGAGACAGGACAAGATAATGGGACGGTGGAGCACAGATGCAAACTAACAACTAATTCTATTGAGTACAGATCCACAGCTTTATATAGCAATGATCCACGCAGGCGCGCCGACACAACGGCCAACATATGTTTGAAGAGTATCGGACATGGCTTGAAATATATTGCATTTCATGAATTTACAGCTTTTTCCTGCTTGTACAGCATTTAAAATTTTTCAAACCACTTCAAACTTTTCATGAACTGTTTTTTACGTACTTCCTTCGACGATTCTTGTGCATTGGAAGAGCGGTTCACAATCCGAGCACGTCGTATACAGTCTTCAGCCAGATTACTTCCCTCTTGGGTATTTCTTTCATGTTTCCCGAGTCAGATATTGAAGCAGCGCCCCGTCTCGCCGATGCATACTTCACCGCAGGACAGGGAAATCTCGTACAAGACAATGAAGGCACGTTGAACAAAATGTTTTTCGTGGTTCTTTTCACAGCCCACTTTTTGCTCCGCAATGATGGTGCGACGTCACAGCTGAACATGCTGCTTCGTGGCTGAGAAAACCAACTGCACGTTGAACCAATTAGCCTCTTTTTAAGGTTGTGTAACATTGTGCATGTAGCGAACTAATTCTGGCCTCCAGCTGCCCATAAGCAACTTCGCGGCATCATTGGAGCCACCGTACTTCATCTTGGTAACAGGCGTCTCGACAACAGGTGTTATGTCGTTGTTACGCTGCACCTGCGCAACTTGTATGCATTAGAGCTGCGGATCTAGCTTCAATAAATTCAGTCTTTAGGTTGCATCTGTGCTCGTCTGTTCCTTTCTGTTGTCTTGTAGTGGTAATCATGATGGTTCCTTCGGCTAAACACCAACTAGTCTAAAAGGTAAAATTTAAATTACGGGTGTTTTGTCAAATTCTGTGTTGCGTGAACGGAGTTTTGTATTGAAGAAGTGAGAGAAGATTAAAATATTTATTGTGAAGAAAGTTTGCGCCCTAAAGTATGACCCGGCTACATAGTCGTCTCTAGTCCGAGACACTGCATGATGAGGCCCCATCTCGGACCCGTTTCACCAAAGTCCTTTGAGACTCCGGCGAGGAGCAATTGAAGAATACAGGTTCGCATGCCTCTTGGACAGGAGGAGGAAGGAAAAGAAAAGGCAGGAGTGTCAACCAGACGATGGTCCGGTTTGCTATCCTACGTGGGGGGTAGGGGAATAATGGAGGAAAAACAGACATAACGAAGAGCACAGAAAAAATACACTTGCAGGCTTAAACTATAGACTGCTGTGCTCAATTGTAACAGACGCAAGACTTACGGCGTATCAGGTTCCACAGTAGACCGTCGAGTCATGGGGCCTACTAAAAGCTTGCGAGCACTGAACGTTGGGCATAGAGTACATGTTGTGTGGACTCGGCGCGTGGTGACTTCAGCCTGCCGACGAACATTTGAAGTGTGTCCCACAGGCATTGAGAAACTATTTGGCTTGACTTGTCTTCTTCTGGCTACTCAGGAGGACTCTCAGACAGAGATAGAAGGGGGCAGGTGCAGGTGATGGGTGTTGTACTACGTGCCTTTGTATGGCTTCGTGTTTGTTCAATGAAACCATAGCGATGAAAAGACAGGGACCACAGAAAGGGGACAGGACCTTTGGATGGAAAGAGTCTCTATCTTTGGTACCTGTCTCATCAGCGCTATGGCTTCATTGAACGTAACAAACCAACTGGCACCAAAGTCAGTTTTTATTCTGTTTGTTCACTTTGTGACGGCAACTATTACGCAAGAAAAGAGGAGAAATTGGCGTCATGCATTGCCATCAACCTCTCCCTATATAATTTAGTTTAAAAAACATTGAAACTGAGCATCAGACCAGGAGGGAGCACTACAAATCTGAAGAGTTCCCAGTAGAGGAAAACGTACAATCCTTCTTTCAAACGTATGTGCGTGAAACCAATGCGGTTTCAGCAGAGAATGTAGTATTATAGTGGTGATGGGCGCCGCTTTAAAATACAACAGTGATGTGAGTCAATTAGGTTCTCATATAATAATATGTAATATAACTTCTGTCCCGTTGTGGGGTCTTCGGAAGTTTCAACCACATAGGGTGCTTTAACATGCATCCAAGTTGAAGTAACGGGTCTCTAGCGTGTAGCTTCCGTTGAAATTCGATCGCAGCAGCCGGTATTCCACCCACACTCTTCGGTTCAGCAGCCGAGCATCGCAACCACTGTACCTTCGAGGAGGCAATTAAAGCGTTCCAACTTAGCTGGTGATCACGATAACCTTCTATCAAGAGAAACTATGGAAAGTTCTGCAGGGGTTTATTGTCAGTCAAGGAAAGTGATCAGGGCTGTGCACGTTCACAACACACGCCAAGGTCTTGGGTGTCAGCCAGCTGTAGGTGTTGTCGAACTCGAGCACATCTGCGAAGTGTTTAAAAAGAGTAATAATAAATGCCCCATCAAAATGGAATAATACCAGTGCTACAAAAGAAAACAAAACTCGTCCTCTGGCATGAAGGACTATCCCTCGGCGATAATGAAAGTGCAGTGATTATTGTTGCTACGTAATTTCGAACATAGATAGATAGATAGATAGATAGATAGATAGATAGATAGATAGATAGATAGATAGATAGATAGATAGATAGATAGATAGATAGATAGACATAGATAGAGATATAGACATAGATAGAGATATAGACATAGATAGAGATATAGACATAGATAGAGATATAGACATAGATAGAGATATAGACATAGATAGACATAGATAGAGATATAGACATAGATAGACATAGAGATATAGATAGAGACATAGACATAGATAGAGACATAGATAGAGACTTAGACATAGATAGAGACATAGATAGAGACTTAGATATAGATAGAGATATAGATATAGACATAGATATAGACATAGATATAGATATAGATATAGACATGGATATAGACATGGATATAGACATGGATATAGACATAGATATAGATATAGACATAGATATAGACATAGATATAGACATAGATATAGAAACATAGAGATATAGATAGAGATATAGAGATATAGATAGAGATAGAGATATAGATATAGATATAAATAGAGATAGATATATAGATAGATATAGATATAAATAGAGATAGATATATAGATAGATATAGATAGATATATAGATAGATATAGATAGATAGACGGATGGATGGATATTGCATAAAAATGTGGGATGAGCTTCTAAATGGTAAATTAAAAGCAATAGGTTGGTGCACCGTAAAACAGAAATGCACAGACAGCCTTCATTTTTTCGTGGTTCTTGTTTCGCCTGGCTGGTCTCCTGGTTTGCATCGTGGTGAACTTTATGTTATGTCTTGTACCGTCGTTTTGCGTTGTTCGTTATATGGGACGTACACCAACTACGACTGGTTAGAATTCTCTCGCATTACCCAAACATCATGACAAACGAATAGCCATACGTCTCTGATGACGCTCACAGAGCCTTCTACCAATATAATTCAACGTAGTACTTTCCGTACACGTTCCGGGAGTATCGCATTGCCAGGCTCCCTCCTGTGGTACAAGGCTGCATGCTTCGAGTCGTTGCTGTGGAATCAGAACCTCCCCACACGGACTGCGCAGTCCGAAGGCCAAGTCACCGGCGGTGGTTTGGAAACGCCAGGTGACATGCGCGCCCGCCTCGGCCACGTCAACGGGCAGTTCCCAGCGCTCCCGGCGGCCGATGGTTTTCTGTTGTACGCCTTTTTCTTCGAACACTGATTCATATGATCCCGGTGAAAGTCCTTCCTCGAAGCGGCCTCCGTAGTTCACCTGAGCAAGAACCGAAGTTTGCATAACTGTATCACAGCTGATGGGTCATCCAGTGGCCGTGACTGTAATTGAACATATTTATACCATGTGAAGGGGCGTAGAAGAATTGCAAGTAGTTCACGTTGTTTGTGCGTCTTCTCTACATTTTTTTTGCGCTGATCTTAAGATATAGCAAGATGATAAGCATACGCAGAGCTCCGTGGTAAAAGGAGGGGGGTGGGGGGAGTGTAGTGGCTGAGGTGGTGGTGAATTTTTCAGAAACGCGTTGGTTATTTTTTCCTGGATTGGTAAACCAGACTATTCTGTGTTTCTGAAACTTCTTCGATTTTCATTTATCTTTATATAATTTCAAATATTCTAATGAAAAACATTCCCCGCTAGAGTTTTTAGATTGTATGTTGCTTTCTGCGATGTGGAGAGAAGGAGAGTGGAACTTGACTCATTTCTGTAATTCCAAGCTAGCGCATGTCCAGAAAACAGTTTTACATTTGTCATGCACTTGAATAATAGCAATAGCAATTCATGCCGAGAATGCATCGTTTAATGGATGTCACTGTCAAAGCGTCAAAAAGGTAAGAACGTAGCCTACTCTTTGTGGCTCTGCGCTTGTATATCGGTCACAATTGGCAGGTCCCAAAGTTTGGAGGTAACACGAGCAGATCTCATTGATACGACTAAATGTCACTAGTGCTGTCTATACTGCGGTGATTAAACTGGCTCGACTGAAATGGCCGACCTTGTTCCTGCACTTTGTGTCTCCGTCGGGCCCCGCCATGTTCCCACCATAGTGAACGGGAAAGATGTCTGCATCCATGAGGTCCCGGAGACGCTCCTTCCAACCATCATCTGCGAAATATAAACGATAATGATAATTTTGGGGGTCTTACACTGCGTGCCAAAACCGTTATACGGTTATGAGGAACGCCGTATAGGGGGCTTAGAAAGATTCTACCACGTGGGCTTCCTCAATGAGCCTCTAATGAAAATTACACGGGCCTCCAGCATTATTCCTTCTTCGAAATGCCACCGCCGCAGTCTGAACTCCATGCATCTTTAGTTCTACACTCGAGCATAGTAGCTCCTAGACTACAGCGATCGATTGAGAGATAAACCGATGCAGGTCGTACACACGCTTCCGTGTTACATGTTAAATGAAACATACTGAAGGCTATGTACGAGCTAAAAAGATAGAATGCAGAAAGAAATGAAATACGGAGGCCAACAAGAAAAGCACATGGTCAGCTACCCTACGCAATGGGATTAGGGAGGGCGAACAGAAAAACGGGAGAAAGAAGGAAATAAGTCGGGAAATGCGTGGTGTATTCACATTCACTGACTATAATGTGACATCGCGTGACTATGAAGCTAACCCTTGATTGAATGAATTTGGTTGTAACGATTTCTTTTATAACGACGTTAATGAGTAATGTTGTTTGCACGTTGATGCAGGGTCACCTCTATACGTGTGTAATCAATTTTCTGATATTGCAAAACATTGGCGTCAACCAGGAGTGGACCAAACCGTGCGCATGACCTCTTGCATAAGAATGTACAATCGTAGCACCGCGTGGTTGGACAAAATATTACCCATGGAGCGAAAAGGGAACATACACAATAACGTCAAGCAAAGTTATGCGCCATCACGTTGGCAAGTCGAACAAAATTCGACCTCAATATGGTGATTCCTGGAGTCACTGAAACCTTAAGGAGCCACCGAACATATCTTGCATACAATTGCTTAGAACTATCGCACACCGAAATTTCGAAATGTAGATACAGCAGAGATACAGGTGAAGATAGAAGCTTGAAGCAACGAAAAATTTGTGAACACGGTGTGTCACTGGAGCCAATTATTTGACAAGCAGTCTTGTCTTCCTTACTGCATTGAAGAAAGAAAAAACGCTGTTAAGACGTTCACTTCAGCAACAACTCGTGTTCAGGAACTGTTCAACTCATCAAGATTTTAGAGAAAAGGAACGCGTTACGGAAACGCGGCCTCACACAAATGTTTCCTGCCATTGTCTCTCTTTGGTTAAAGAAAAAGCTTAACTATGTTAAAGACTTAGTGAGCGCGTTAGAGGTCGCTACTTTCGACCATGCATCGCGGAGGTGCGGCGAAGTAACGTCGCCGTCTTTCTTTATCAGCGTAGAAAAATCATCCGGTAGATAACGCTTCGCTAAGAATGCCACAGTTAGATGTCCCTTGAGAACGCCTGTACATGCACCTCTTTCACCCTGCTAAAAGTAAAACACTTCCCATCACTAGTTGATTAAAATGTCAATAGCAGCCTAAACTGCTCATTGGTGCCAGTCTGTATCGAGAAGAATGATTGCTAGGTTGTCTTTGCGTAACATAATTCTTTTTTTTCTAGAACCATGGCGCACTTTATTGCTTCTATGTTTTTACCCGCCTAGGCGCGAGAAATTTTGATGCCCTTATACAACGGCTTATCGCAATAATTGTCCACATCTATAGACCCGTGAACTGGCGCTCTTGGCCATCAATCAAATGGCATTTGCGCCACAGAAAACCAAACATCATCATCATCATCATGGCCCATGATATTTGCCACAAGCAGCATAAAATGTGCAATAATAATGCATTTCTTAAGGCATACCCACCTTTTCCGTAGACTTCAAATTTGTCGGCTGTCCTCTGGGTAATTAGCGTACGCAAGAATTTCCATAGGAGAGGAAAAAAGCTCGGAGCTGCAAAAGCAACAAATTATGGCGGAAAGTAACGCGATCATCTTGCGCAAATCTGAACTAACACTCAGACGAATCTCGTGATCACGCGGTGGTGAAAACACGTAAAATACTGCATAAATTGCGCAAGAAAATGCTAATACCATTCATGCAAATAGTTTATTGGTGGTGATGAATGAACTATCGATATTTCAGCCATCGGCCTTCTTATAAGAACGGATACTGTGCAATTCGCCATTTTGCATATTTCTCGCAAAGTCCCTCGTCCGACAGAGAATGTTTAACAAAGAGAAGGAAGGGATGGGAAATTTTTCAATGGGGAATGTCATTGGCGCACACGTTTCAGCATGTACTTTTGTCTAAACGTTATCTCGATCGACTTCTGCACCGTCTCCCGAACTTCAACCTTATGTCAGTTTAAACCAAGAAATTTTAAGGGCTCTGCTAAATCATACAACTTGTCACACGTTGTGTGGAGGAATCAGCAAACCATAGAATATATTGCGAGCATGCATAGATCTGTTACAAGATAACCTGATCTTTGTAAATTAGTAAAAAAAATGTATCAACAGCAAAGGACTCTGCGATACGAGTGAGTCAAGTGTTAATACGAGCGAGCTTTAAACTTAAGAAGCCTGGGCTCCCGCAGACATTGACGGTTATCACGTGACTTGAGGTGTGTCAAAATGTTCTAAAACTGCTAGTTCATTTCTGGCTGCCTAAAAAAAGCACGGATACAATAAATGACAATGAAAAACTAATAAGAGCGATAAACTAATAAAAGACTTGACACTTACTGTTGATCACGATGAACTTTTCGATGGATTCGGGATACTGATCCTCCATAATTCGTAAAGTGTAGCCTGCAGCTTTTAAGACTGCGTAGACAGGCGAATAAAAGACGACGTCAGTAAATGTACGACATATCTCTTTAAAAATGTTGTTTCAAGTAATACATAAGCAGGACTTAAGTATAGGTGTCCGACGAGACATATTTTGAAAAAAGGTAAAAAGTGCGTTGCACCGGACGCCCACAAATGATACAATCTTGCTTTTGACCGTTGATTAATCAATTGCAGTTTTTCGAGGTGCTATCACCTCCTGTAAAGTCGTTTGCGCCTCGTGGCGCACACGTGTCTCGCGGATAAGTCGCATTTAGGTTTAACAGCCACGAGGCGATATATAGATGGAGCAGCGCTTGCGAGTGCTCACCGCCATCATCATTATGGTTAGCTTGGTATAGTGCCAGCAGTGACGCCTGTCGGCGAGGCTAGGTGACCGCACAGACAGATTGGGGAGCCTCTTTTCGGCGCGTGGCGGCGGCTGTCGTGGTGACCGTCGCCTGACAGAGTCGCGCGGGATGTGGCAACCGTGGGTCGTGGCCTGTGGGTCGCTCGCGATGATTCGAACATCGGTGACGCTGCCTTAGTGTTATCTGGGGGTTGTTGTATTGTTGATTGATTGTATTGTAATATTGTATAAGGTTGTTTTAGCGTGTCACTAGTGACGTATATCATTAGGTTGGTGATTGAGTTCATGTAAGTGTAGTTGAATAAATGTACACGATGTTTGGGTTTCTCCCAACCACGTCTACTTTCTCCGTGTGTTCCGAGAGCGGGCTCTCAATCCGAGACCCCCTCAAGCTTTACGTGGATTCTTTATAGTACACGTTTTTTATTGAAAACCAGCAGATAATTAAGTCAAGGTAAGTATTCGACACGTTAGCTCTATACTGTTAAGCGCATTGTAGTGATTGTGGTATAGATGGGAAGAAAGTGAAGTAGACGAAAAGACAACTTGCCGCTGGCAAAGATCGAACCAGCAATACGCTTGGTTTTATTATTTGAGCCACGGTGGCGTTGTACCCTCATTCGCATTACAGGGTATCTCTATGCATTAAACCAAGAAGTGTTAGTCAGTGTCGCTCATAATCATTGCAACAAATGTGCAACACTCGTTTGTTCGCCAGCTGGCGTCACGTAGCACGCATACCTTTAACGAGTGGAAAAATGACCAATAGGCCCTTGCATACCTCCTGAAGTCTTCATGCCACGTTGTGTTCACGTTAATAGCACCTTGGTATAATACCAGGAGGATCAAATAAAATGGCACATTATAGCTTAGCCTCGTGTAGTATCGTTTAGCGGGGGGGGGGGGGAGTAAAAAACGATTGTGAGGGGTAAAAGGGGTCCACCAAGGCCTTGTTAAAGCATTTCCAGTAATGCGACAGTAAAATACATGCCATATGATAGCCAAGAAAAAAAAACACTCGGAGAGAAAATTCAGCTGGCCACCGTCGAACCTCTCGGGTCCGCAGCGCTAGCGAGCAGGCGCTTACACCACCGCGCTCTCGTCGAACCAATGAACGAGGCTCCACGAACGCGCCTTCTATTTTGACACTTTCCTGTCACAGTGCTCTTGGTTCGAGAGGTGGTGTCGCCACCTGGAAGCGGTTGAGTGAAGTAATGTGTGGCCTCCGTGATTAATTCCGGGATTGTTCTGTTGCTAAGTCCGTCCCATTCAGCGCGTTTCCAAAAGAAGCATCGACGCCTTAACACATTGTGAGGTGGCGGATTCAGCTCAAGCCTCGCTTAAGGTATCCATTCATATTAAAGAATAGCTCTCCGACGCTCGCCTGTCTGCCACGCTGCGTTCTCCGTTCGCCCTGTCTGAAATCACGGCCACGCTAGCGAGGAAGCACGTCGCTCGCCGCTTGACATTAAGCTGTACTGCATCTCCCAAATACCAATGTACAAACACTCACTTATCAATGTACATTGACATTCCACTACTTCTGTGAATATGCTTTCCCATTTTGTGTGTTTTTTATTTCTTTATAACGCTAACTTTGTAACTTTAATAACGCTATCTCCGTAAGTATGAAGTAGGCGGGTATCTCGAACTACCCGTTAGAGGTCACGTGATCTTAAACAGCGCACTGGCTTTTCGTTCAAGGCTACCTTCACGTGTCTGAATAACCATATTTGATTACCTTGCCAAGAGTATATCTGCCGCAAGCCCAAGTTGTCCAGGTCAGCCACGAAGTAGTGACTGTGTATTTCCTTGCCTAACTGGAAAGGAGAGAGAATGAAATATATGAAAAGAGAAAAACAAGGAAAGGTCGAGATGAATTTGGTAGCAGCAGCTTTCTTTTCCATATTGGGAGGGGAATTGGGCTAGCAAAACAAATACAAGATAGACACTGAGAAACTCCGGTGGTTCCATGCCCTAATGCTAAAACAGCTCAGTTCTATGGTCTGAGGGAGGGGGGGTTGGTTCCCGGCCACGGGGATCGTATTTTCGAAGGAGACGAAACGCCAAGAACACCCATGTACTCAGATTTAGGTGAGTGCTAAAGAACCCCAGGTGGTCGAACCTAGTCCGTTGTATTTCACTGTGGTCGGACTCAAAATCATATGGTGGTTTTGACACGCAAAACCCCTTCAACCTTTCTGGGAATGTTGACACCCCCTGTAAAGTTGCTTGCGCCGGGTGGCGCACGGGTTTTTGGTACCCAAAATGCGGCAAAAGCCGCACTTTGGGTTACAATCACCGGGCAGTAGGTGGCGTTGTGTTCTCGTTGATCACCACTATCATCATCATGGTGTAGCGCCGGTGGTGGCCTCTGGTGGAAGGCAAGCCTTGGTGGCGGGCGAGAGTTGAGCGAGTCTCTTCTGCGCGCGGTGGTTGCTGCGAAAGGTTGTCTCTAGCGTGGGTCCCCGGTGCGTGGCACCACGGGCTGCGCATCGGTGGCCCTCAGTAAGTCAATCGTTGGCGACGCCGCCTTGGGTGTGTTATTGTATTTGTCATGATATTGTGTGTTTGTCGTGTTATTGTGTTTGTCATAGAGTGTATGGTAATATTGTGTACCGATGTCCTAGCGTGTTGATAACGATTGATGTATCAATTCGGCGGATGATATCGTCGTTCAAATGTAGTTAAATATGCGTATGTTGTTTGGTTTGTACCAACCGTGTCTACTGTGTCCGTTCACTTTAAAAGCCTGGGGCGCTCACCACCGTCAGACCCCACATCTTTAAATATCAGTTGCATCATGAAGTTGCGTTCTTTTTTTCCTTCATCCTCTTATGTCATCAGTGGGACAATTTGTGACATTAGTTATTGTACTAGTAACTTCTAGAAAAGAAAACATGCACGCATCTCTCAACAAAAAAGTGAAGATAACGATTTATTCATTTCATTGTTTACTTAGTTATTTGATTTGCATACAAGCATACACGAGGAGCCAGAGGAAAGAGGGAGGGAGCAAGCTGGAAACTGCCGCCTGCAGGAGCACCACGCCGGCTTACTCGTTCGGGAGGAGTAAGCAAGCGGAGGCCGTTTCCATAAACAAACGAGAGGGCATTAATGATCTATGGAATGCATTAAACTCATTTACTAACAAATATGAAGAAGAAAATGGCTAGGAGCCGAATCAAGCAAACAGCTCAGATACGGCTTACGTAACTGCGCTAAGGTTCCGAAATGCTTGCCTACACTGGGGAAAAGGTAATTTGGATAACTTCAAAGATTTCGAGCATTTGAGCTATTGCTGGAATAAACAGTGGTGTTTATCTCGCCAGTTAGAGGTCACTTATACCAGATTGCGCTGCGCAGTTCCACAACTAAATTATTACCTTAATAAAGCTCAGCTCAAGGCGTCACCGCTATGCATTTGGTGCAACGAAATTGAAACAATTGAACATTTCTTTTTATTCTGTCATCGTTATTCTTATCAGAGAAAAAGATTTTTAGTAGCCCCATTACAAAAGCTAGGAATACAAGTAAATTTACCAGTAATTTTATCACTTGGCGGAGCTTCATTTGGTTACTGCCACAGGGATGTATGCTCCGCTGTGTTTAACTACATCAACGCAACTAAAAGATTACCATGCTAGTGAACCACTACCTTTTCAGATCTTTAGTTTATAATTCATAGTAATGTCTTTCAAAAACAAAAGATGGTTTGACCGCTTGCTCAGCACACATTTTTGTTTTTCTGGTAGTATTATTTTACGCTACTTTTTCAGATTGGCTTCATTTTTAGTTTAGTTTCATTTAAGTATCCTGCCGCCCGGTTCTTGGCCCATCCCCCTTTGTGGGTAAGCGCCATCCATCACAGGTCATCAGCTCAGATAGCCAAAACATCCTTGCCGTTCTGCATGCGTTATGGTAGGTAACTGTCACAGCAAACCGGTGTGAAGATGTGGAAAGGGTAAAGCCATTAAAATCTACAGCTTCACAATGCTCTGTTGATTCTCTAGTGTCGGCAAAAAGCCATGTCACATCATCATCATCTTCATCGTTGCCGTCATGGCGTTGACCGGGTGGATGTTCCATGGAGCTCGTTGGTGTAACATAATACTTTCGCTCTTTTGCTTACGGAGTTCGTCGAATAGAATGTACGCTGCTTAGCTTATTGCACAAAATAGATTATACTAACTAATAAAAATAATTATATACTTACTTTCTTTGACGAATCCTTCTTTGCATGTTCTGATAGTTCCATCAGGTAGGCGAGGTGACGCCTGACGGCGGCGGGTGTCGCTGCCACTAGAAACGCTGTCGAAGATGTACAAAATACATGGTGACCTTTTGTTAGGCTGTATTAGACGCGATCATTGATAATAAAGAGTCAACTGTCGCCGTCCAAGTTTAAGCTTCCTTAGTAAAAAAAAAAATGGAGGCCACGCTAATCATTGACTCAGATGTAGTGGCACGTGCACCTCGGCATTCGTCTGTCCTGGTGTATTCATTGCGTTAATGCGGTATTTCGTCACACTGCCGAAGCTAATCACGGAGGCGACGCAGAAATAAACGCGTGGCTCAAATCTGCTCCGCCAGGTGCCGCGACGATCCCAGTTGCTCGCAAGAAAGAAGTCTGCTCTTTCAACCAACGCATTCAATTCATTTAATGGTGGCAATTAATTGCCCTTCGTGGTTGAAATCTGCTCCGCCAGGTGCCGTGACATATCCAGTTGCTCGCGAGAAAGCAATCTGCTCGTTCAACCTACTCATTCAATTAATTTAATGCTGACAGAGGCCACTATTTTAAGTAAGTTTGCGATCCGATGACGACAGTTATAGCGCGAGAACATAACGACCACAAAGAAACAAGAAGGACACTGTTTGTCTCTTTGTCGTCGTTCCGCTCGCGCTATAACTATCGTCATGTCATACCAACTAGCACAAGCTGCCGCACTTCTAAATGTGATCCAATGTCATATATATCCAACAAAACCCATGACTTGATATAAAACCACCAATCTCCTGCAAGTTTTATTTTTAGAACACTTTTTCTAAATATTCGGAAATCCAGAAAAAATATCAGGACAAGAAACAAGAGTGTTACTTGGTGGTCGGGCGGCTAAAAATCTTGTATTAGTGTGCCCTATGGGGCCTGTATTTCTAACTATAAAAATTATTCATTACTGATGTCGACCTCTAATTACTGACAGGTTAAATCATGAAATGGCCTCAAATATGTCTTACGCGTTGATACTTTTCTAATTATATAGTTTAGGGCTGGCTTATAATAGAAATGGCACTAATTAAAAGCAGTGATACCAAGTTGCCCGTTAACCTTTTTGTCGAATATGATAGTTCAATTCTTCAATGAACTATGTATCTTCGACATAGTTTGTACTAAAGTATAGTGTATTGCTTTCTATTTGCAGATGACTGCACCTGAGTTGTGAATGATGTTCAAAATTTTATCAGATGAGAAATAATCTGGAATCTTCACTATCACGCTTCCTTGTAAAGACTTTGTCACCGAAATGATAACTCCTTATAAAAGTGGGCAGCTTAGATGTACTTCGCCTTTTGGTAGTTGTACGGTATATAGCAATATTTCTATCAAAATGAAAAAAATAGTTGTCACCGGTGTTTTTTTTTTTTTTGCGAGGTCTGCTTCTTTCATTTATTTCAATATAACTTACAAGCCCCATGGGAAGCATTAGGTAAACGAAGGGGGGGGGGGGCGTCATGACACAACGCATATAATAAACACCGATGCATGACAGCCAAACACGTTTGGAAATATAACGTGCTTGTTTGGACCTATAACGTGCTTGTTTGGACCTATAACGTGCACGATAAATAAATGGTCCACCTATCCTCATACGAATAAAAAATTGAAGTTTGTACGGCATTATGCCAGGTAATATATGACACGTCCTATGTACAGATGAGTATATTTGTTATGATGACAACTGCAGGAACAAAAAGATTCTTGGTCTTGTTTACTTGGTTATTAGGAACGAAATTAAATTCAAGAAAAATTTTACATTCTGCGAGTACGAATACTTAGGTTTGAATGCAGTCCGATTTTGTTTGGCAAGCATAATCATAGCAGACACAGACGATGTGATTGAGTTCTCATTACTTAGAAAGCGTTTAACGACTTTATCACTTCACGGATAAAGTTTTAAGGCCACGCAGCTTGCATTTAGAGTCCAGTAAACGCACTATTATACAAGTATATATGTACTGTGTTCAGGACAGCCTAGCAACGGGTGATAAACATCCTTGATTGATTGATTGATTGATTGATTGATTGATTGATTGATTGATTGATTGATTTGCTGGGTTTAACGTCCCAAAACCACTATATGATAGGGTGATAAACATCCTCGTTGCATACATAGTGTAGATGGCGCACGCTGTATTCTCGACCAAAAGTGCTCTGCGTGCGAACTTTTAGCTTACCATGAACGTCTAGTCCAAATGGCGCTAACCAAACAGGCCGACCATCTTTACTTGATTCCAGTAATATCCCAGGAAAGTTCTCTTTCACAATCTGGAAAAGAAAATATGACCAACGATATCCCTTCTACACACTAACTGGTTTGCACTGTGGAGATGTTGAGACTTGTAATACCTCGGCTTCTCCATTTCTACAAGTTCTACAGAAAAAAAAAATCTGCGAGTACAGATAGGTTCATTGATGATTACAATATTGGCTAATGTGAAATATAAACGCAGCTTCATGTTGTGGCAAGGCCAACAGTCTTTGATGTTTTGGCACTCTGAAAGGTAGCGATCATGCCTAAATTATATTAACGTGATAGCGTTGAAGAGCTCGTCTCGCCTAGATTCTGGTGCCGGTGTCAGCATGGGCGTCGTTGGGTGTGCGTCAAAAATTATCATCTTGTTCATGACCACAAAGTGAAGAAAAATGGAATTAAAACAAATAATAAACATGTCCTGGTCTGAGTGAGGATCGAACCTTTGGACGTTTGCGTGGCAAGAAGGTGTTCTATACCACACAACCTCAGGTCTGCTTGGAAATACAATGAAAATAACTTCTCCCGTTTAAAAATGCAGTAAAAAATACCTTTCACGCTTTACAAACACACGCGTCCTTCTTCTGTCATCTTTACAAAGATGAGAAAGGGGAAATAGAAGAAGAAAGAACAGAAAAGTAAATTAAGTAAACTGTGCTTACCTCCGGCGCCTCATAGCTATGCAGCATATCGTCAACCCCGTTCTCTTTTCTCCACTCGAGGTGCTGTGATTAAAGAAATGAAAAGTTCGAAATCACTGAAACGGCTTGTGCCCTTTCGCCCAATTTTAACTGTATGTCATTGGCAGTCAAGAGTCGCATCAAGTCATCTACCATACGTGTCTAGTTAGGAACCTGGTATACCTTATTTTTTTAAATTTCGTTGACGTTGCATCATAAAATACTCAGCGGTCTTACATCGCTTTTTGGCTATATATAAGTAGATAATTTCGCAGCTCATGATTACGGAGTTGGACAAGAAGAGCAGAAGGGCAGGTCCTAAATCAATCTGCAGGAAACGACAGTAAGGTACAACAACCTCGGAAGAGAACAGCGCTTCGAGATACGTAATGGAGCACTTGAAGTTGCAAAATAGTATGTATACAAGTGACAAGCGCGGAGCCGAACCACGAGATTGAAGTAACTAGAAGTGTAAGAAGGGGGCGGAGCACATTTGACCAGCACTCTCAAATCACGACAGGTAGATTGCCACTATCCCTCGAGAGGAACGTATATAACAGCTGCATCTTGCCGGTACTTGGCTACGGAGCGGAAACCTGGAGACTTACAAAGAGGGTTCAGCTTAAATTGAGGACTACGCAGCGAGCAATGGAAAGAAAAATGGTAGGTGTAACCTTAAGTGACAAGAAGAGAGCAGAATGTATCAGGGAACAATCGTAGTCAAAATCAAGAAGAGGAAATGGACATGAGCCGGGCATGTAGCGCATAACCGCTGGTCATTAAGGGTAACTAACTGAATTCCCAGAGAAGGCAAGCGGGTTAGGGGGAGACAAAAGGTTAGGTGGGCAGATGAGATTAAGACGTTTCCTGGTATAAAATGGCAGCAGCAAGCACAGGACCTAGTTGACTGGTGGAACGTGGGAGAGGCCTTTGTCCTGCAGTGGACGTAGTCAGACTGGTGATGGGGATAGTGATGATGATGATGATGAACTAGATAATTTTATACCACAATAAATATATTTCCCTACCATGAGCGTGCCACAAGCCATCGCATGTGACAACGCGGGCCAAAAGTATAAATTAAGTAAATGATGTCTCATTTGATAGGCCTCGTTTGATGAAGTATTCAAGGAGAAACAGATGATACCACATTTGACATCAGGGGCCATGATATAATTCTAAAAACAGCGCTTAACTGCGATTGTAAGCTTTCGTATATCTATGCACCTGCTTTGTAGCAATAACTGTTGCCAGACAGTTGCACCAGCAGCTCCGCCGCGGTGTTCTAGTATATGGCTAAGGTATACTCGGCTGCTGACCCGCAGGTCATGGGATCGAACCCCAACTTCGGCGGCTGCATTTGCGATGGAGTCGAAAATGCTGTAGGCCCGTCTGCTCAGATATGGGTGCACGTCAAAGAAACCCAGGTGGTCGAAATTTCCGAAGCCCTCCACTACGGCGTCTCCCGTATTCAAGTGGTGCCTATGGGACGTTGTGAAGTTCGCATAGTGAGAAGTGAGAGAGAGAGGGTACTTGTTAGTGTACTCACTTGACGATACATTTTCTCCGCTTTGGTCACATCGAAGTCCCGCGCTACGAGCCGGTCACCACATGCGAGTAACAGGACATGGTTAAAGCAAGGGATTATGAGCATACTGGACTTCACTATTTGCACAACGCTGTTAAAAGCATGGTACGAGTAAGTTGAAGTAAGCAGGAGGTTAAGGTAATGCACCTATTCTAATCTGAATAATAATTGACCGGGCATTTGTTCTTGGACAAGCGCTTTTCACCAGAGGGTGCAGCGCGAGTTTACAGAGAAGGCATCTCGGATACTCTACTTCTGGTTTCCAGAAGAAGCCCCAGCAACAAAAAAATACTAGATGGCACATGGAACACTTATCCGTCGTCGCACTCTCTTATTCATCTACACATTTCAGCGTGCCAATAGAAGTCTACCAACCACTGCCAGCAACCCGAGAATTCTCAGAACAACAACAACAACGACGATGACGACGACGACTACAACGACACAAATAGCAATAACAATAATGAGAATGCCAATACCAATAACAATGACAATAACAATAATATCTGTGGTTTAATAATAAAAAATAACGATATGATTGCAAGAGACGCTGTGAGGAAGGGCTCCGAAAATATTGACCACTTGGGGTTCTTTAACGTGCCCCTAAATGTTAGTACACGGGCCTCAAACATGTTAGCCTTCATAGAAAAAAATAGTAACAGAAAAATATTGAGAAGGCTAGAGAACCTTATCGTATAGGCGGTGTACATATAAGGTACCCCAGCTATCTTTAGCCATAGTCTGAAAATATGCCGACTCGCGCAATGACGACTCGACCAAGCGCATGCTGCTGACCGTTGCCCAGACTTAGATTGTTCTTGTGTTCTAATTAATTATTTATAGGTGCCTTTAATTAGGTACCTTTAATTACCCAACTCTTGAAGGAACAAAGATGGGTCAAAAGCTTCAATGTGAAAGTTTTAGATGGTTTTGCAAAATGTTTGATTAGACAGCTTCAAATTTATATCTGCTATTTGGTAGTGCTTTTCTGTTAAGTACAAAATTCCCGCGAAATACAAAAAGAAAAATTGGCCCCGAATCTGCATGTTACACTGCAAATGTCGTCGAAAGACGATAGTCTTGATCCTAGAGAGAGTGAACAAAACGTTTATTTGATGATCTGTGCAAGAAAATTGGTGAATTTTATTGTGTAGGCGCTGCGTTAGAGTGCCTCGAGCGTGTAGCGGAGGCGAACAAGCGCATCGAGGCACGTTAGACACGAGCGCCATCTGGCAGTTATCTTCGAAAACGAAGGCGTGCGCGCCCGCGGAGAAAGATGCACGCCTGTCCCGGAGGTGATGAGGTGTTGAACGCAAAGCTACGGGCAGGTGTCACCGCCGTGTCGTCGTATCAAAGCGTTGGAAACACCTTTCTGAGCATCGCGTTGCACTGTCAGCGCAGCGCGATAAACGCTACAGTCCATAGAGTTACTTGTGTGTGCCTCTTCTAGTATAAAGGCAGACATACAAAACATCGACGTGTTCTTACGGGGCCTCAGATATGCGCAATAATTGCTTGTTAATTGACAATCGCACAACTATGAACGCTAAACCTTGAGCAATATTAGTGGTCGCTGTGGATGGTGTCGGCCGTTTGGTGCCGTTTGAGGTATCGGTAAGGGAGGACGAACAGACAAATGTACAGACAGACAGACAGACATACAGACAGACAGACAGACAGACAGACAAACAGGCGGATGGACGAACAGACAGACAGACAGACAGACAGACAGCAAAATTATTCCATTGAAGGTCCCCAAGAAAGACTGTCATCTTTAAAATACCACTTTACTGCGTGCGCCGTGATTCTGGTGCTCCCTAACGTTCCGCGTACAATACGCTTCCCTCGCGCCGGTTGATGACAGCGATAAATAGTCACAGCGGTAATCGCTTTTGTGGCCGATAGCAAAACGTGCTCATCGCAAAGCCGCCACCATCATCGCGGCCCTGTCGAGACAGCACAATCGGGTAAGTGTTATGGTCGTTCGCACGCGGAACGTTAGGAAGCACTAGAATCATTGTGTGGTCTGGCGCTCGAGCAGCGTGATATGTGCGAATGGTACATTACGAAGATGCACTATATGACTCTTCTAGGGGCACACCACCATTTACTGAAGACGTGCGGAGCTACATGTGTTCTGGGAATCCTGTCGGAACGTCCACTGATGGTGGTGCGTGTTTCCTACAACAAGTATAGACGACTGACACGGAATTGCAAGACGTCACAAAAGTAAGTTCAACACCTGTTGTTCAGTTCACATCAAGTTCTCATTTTTGAAATGGCCCCGTCGCGGTGGTCTAATGGCTAAGGTACTCGGTTGACCTTAGCTGACCTGCTGACCTGCAGGTAGCGGGATCGAATTCAGGTAGGGGTGGCTTGTCACGAGTCCCGTTAATTAGGGAGGCAATCGCCGGGCTAATTCCATGAGCCGAAGTATCGGCCCCCCTGAACCGCACCACGAAAGCGTGGACAATTTAGAAGTGGTCCTTTTTGGCACGCCAGTGGACACCGGCTGTGGCCCAAAGAACAAGTCAGAGCCGAGAGTTGATAAACAAAACAAAATTATATTCTCAATAATGGCAGATAAAAACGATACACAAATATGCACACTCGACAATAGTTGAATATGATATGATACCAATCAAACAACGTACAACACAGTAGAATCAGCCACACTCGAAACAACGGACACAAACAACAATACGCTCTACAATGCAGTCACATGCATCGAACAACCAAGGCACTCAAAGACGAAAGAGTTCCAAAACTTATTGAGTCCAAAGTCCTTGGGACAAAAGACTGAATGATACTCTTCCGAGAATCACTCACTCAATGTCCAGCGTTGTTGTCGTTCCGCTGCCCCCGAGGTTTCTCTTCCAGGAAACCTCGCGTCTTCAATTGGCCGCTCTCCAAGCTCCAAAATTCTTCGCTGGAAACTCGTTGGTTTCTCACACGCAGCTGTTGCCACGCGTCTTCGCTCGATAGCGGTAGACACACACTCTTGCCTGTAGCTCGAGTCTTGACCCCTCAGGTGGAAATCCTCTTCTTCTCCTCCTTTGTCGCGGAAGACAAAAGGCATCGCCCACAAGGCGGAACACCCTACGCACTCTGGCGCATACTTTCTTCTTCTCCTGCTTTGTCACTAAGGGCAAAACCTTCGCCGACAGACACGGCGGAATACCCTACGCAAACTGGCGCTAACTTCCTTCTTCTTTTGATCTCCCACCCCTGCTCCTCGGTTAAATACCTTCCGCGCGAGATTCCAGAAAATTCTCATCATTTCGTCGGCGAGATATGCAGCGAAGACTGGGGAAAGCGCTAGACGGTACGAGTTTGTCCGCGACGGATTACGCAACCATGCATCACCACGCCCCTTTCCATCGAGAACGTTCCAGGGCTTGCTCGGGCACCGATGAGAGGAGGTTCGTCGGCGAACCCATGCTTCCGAGGAGAGAGGGACGCGCGCCCGGGGAGTCTTTGGATGCTTGTTTTCTTTCTTTTTTTCATCGTTGACATCGAGGCATCCTTCCGGCGTTTCGTCGCGAGAATTTGGCGGTGCGCCCTTTTTGAGCGCTCGTTTTGTGACATGGCTGCATTTACGATGGAGGCGAAAATGCTGTATAGGCCCGGTGTGCTCAGATTGGGGTGCAGGTTAAAGAATTCCAGGTGGTCGAAATTTCCGGAGTCCTCAACTACGACGTCTCTCATAATCATTAGTGGTTTTCGGACGTTAAGCTCCACATAATAATTAATCAATCAATCAATCAATCAATTGTAGAGACAGTATAGCACTAAGCTATATGCACAACAATTAAATCACCCCCATAATCACTTTTATTATAGTTACAGTTTTCGCATGGTATCGTTACCTTTCACTCTCGGCAAATCAATCAGGAGTCTACTTTAAAGGGAAGACGATTCACTTATTTTAGCGAATATGTGATTTACTGGAGCGTTATTTACTACAGCTTATTTTTTTCTAGATATGCCCCATCTCGATTTCTTGTGGTGTCATAATCAAAGGCGCTCTGGCGCAATTTTGGCATTCAATTGATTGATTTGTGGGGTTTAACGTCCCAAAACCACCATTTGATTATGAGAGACGCCGTAGTGGAGGGCTCCGGAAATTTTGACCACCTGGGGTTCTTTAACGTGCACCCAAATCTGAGTACACGGGCCTACAAATTTTGGCGTTCAAGGACTTGCCCAACATTATTGCGTAACCGTAAAGTTTGGTTGATTTTTTTTCTTTAACAGAAAGTAAGGCTTAAAAAATGAAATCAGGAAATAAAGCACGGGATAGACCTGTAACTCTGTACTAGCAAACAAATAGATAATTAAAAAAAAGAATCAGATAAGTGGAAACATCAATAGGAACATGGACTGCTAGAAATGAAGCTCACAAATACAGGAAGTGTAGACGTGTGGTAAGCTTTTATCAAGAGTGGTTAAACCCTGACATAACTCTAGCTCGAAAATTTTGTGTTTTTTAAATCATAAGCATTGTTCGCGTAACTGATTTCTCAAAGGGCCTCGCCAGAAATTTGGCTTGTTCAATGAAGGTCGTAAATAACAAATTAATAGACATCCATATTCATGAAGATTTCAGGCCAAATTTACCCACAGCTGAAAACCAAATGCGGTGACTGAAAGGCGCGTTGATGTGGTGTGTACTCTCTGTAGAGAAGCCTACGCCACTTCACCTCGATAACTACTCACAAGTGACATTTGTTTCGTCATTTGTACAGGCATGGTTCGCTTTTCTGCTCCCCAATAACCGCAGCAAGCGAAGCGTGCGACGTATAAGTTAAAATATGTGACGGGACCACTGCTGGCTAACCTTTTCCGCGAAGGTGCACACGAATTCAGTTTATCGTCCAGCTCTTTCTGCAACGGATGAAAGTGTCGCCCAGTGAACACATGACAGCCACCCTTGAGAATTACCTATGGCGCTTGTCTGTGACCAACAGCTAAACATGTTGAAAGGCATTTAAACAGAACTGAGGCAACCGTCACGTTCATCAAGTCTCAGAGAAATTGCATCACTGCTAATCATTCTGCCCCGAAAATCTGCATGATGATGATAAAATGTTCTCTTCATCATCATCATGCAAATTCTTGGGGCAGAACCATTTGCAAAAATACCAAAGGTTGTTCTTACTGTTTGAGGGAGGGGGGTAGGAGAATGTCTAAGTGAAGATGACAAATGATTTGCTCATAGTTGAAAAGGAATGTGCGCAGCATCAGACGCGTATAGATTGATTGATTGATTTGTGGGGTTTAACGTACCAAAACCACCATGTAATTATGAGAGACGCCGTAGTCGAGGGCTCCGGAAATTTTGACCTCCTGGGGTTCTTTACCGTGCACCCAAATTTTAGAAAACGGGCCTACAACACTTCCTCCTCCATCGGAAATGCAGCCGCCGCAGCCTCAGACGCGTATAGACGGCTTCAAGATTGCATGCGTTGTCTCCCAAAAAAACTTCCGGTCACCTCATTTACCAGCTCGTAACATAAAAACTAAAAGGGCATTTTCACCTTTTTTCAATTATAAAAAAGTTCCTCATTATTTTTTCAGATAAAAAGAACGTGCGTAATGTTCAAGACAATATCTTGTTTTTATGCTGCTCAAAAAGCATATATTTGAACATATCTCACCAAATAAGGAAAGGAAAGTGTATAAAATCAGCGGGCTATTTTCTAACGCTCTTCTTGCCCACCGATGCTATTGAGACACATCGGTGGATGAAACCGGATGTTACCCAGGGCCTGTGTTTGTGAGCAGTGAAAAAGTCTATAGTGTCAGAACATCCTCTAAAAATTCTTTACTATTTTAAAACGCGTCTAGCAGTAATTGTTCATATAACGTGTGATATCGTTTTCACAATATTAAAAATATGCCACTTACAAGCATCCAACAGTAATTTTTGCATTAATTGTTGCAACAGCAGTAATACTGGACATTATTTTTACGATGTTACTAACAAACATGCTACAAATGATTTTGTCTTTGATTTTTTTGTGTTCAGTTTAGCTTGTCCATTTTATGCATTTTATTTTTGTTACGCGCACACTTGCTGTATCGAACCTGTTATGGCCAAGGCGGCTAGCAGTACTATTGGGAAATAAAGAGTAACGAAAATTTAACCGTGCAAGAACTTGTGTAAAACAACTCAAAACTTTTTTGCGGAGATGAACAAGTGCTCAACGTTGTCTAGTTTCTAGGCTCACAGCTACACCGACGGGCCTTTTTGCGCTAGCCACATTTTGTTTTCTCTCTACAACTATCCGCGACTATATTCGTAACGTGCAGCTTACTATTTTTTTTAACATATCTCGATTTCATAAGCGTACATCTTTCCAATGGTACACCGGGCACGTCCTGTAGCGGCCGAGCTGTTTGTGGCGTAACGTGGAAAACCGGACCGCACTTACGTCAACACTGCGAGCTGGCGAAATCCACAAAGAGAAAGCATAGACTCGTTGTCTCGGAGGAAAACCACGCAGCCAAACGACGTGTTATTGAAAGAGTTAGTGGTTCGAAGCTTGAGCGTTCGATGAGCCTTGTACGTCTTTTTGCCCTCCCCCCCCCCCCCTTTTCGCCACTTCGTTTTATGGTAACCGACACTATTTGAGCATAGACGTTCAATAATTACACTTTCTGTAGCCCATTTAGGTCACCCTCGGCTATCCGTAAAGCCGGTTTTACCAGTCACTCCATTAAAATAGGGGGTTTGTTTAGTTGAAGTAAAAATAACTTAAGGATTGGTCACTATTTTGACAGTGGTTTTCCCATCTCGCTTGCTTGTGACAAAAAATGCAATTTAATTAATACGCGTGGGCACTCCAGAACAGAAAAAAAATGTCGACTAGCCCTAACGCTTTCTGTCCTCTATGTTAATTTACTCATTCAGATGGCTACTTTTTGCTTTATTCGATTAGCATTCCTGCCTGCCTCGTTTTCCTTCATCTGCCAGTCATGATGTGAATTGTTTTGCTTGTTAGTTAAAAAGGGAACTGTGCCCCATGACGTCACCACAGCTGACTTCAGTGTAACTCGTTTGAAGGACGACACCTCAATGCAGGAAATATTGTACCTCGCTATTTCAATGGCAGTTGATAGCTTAGTGTGCAGTGCTAGCTTATTATTTTCTTTTTTTTTTCTTTTTTACCATGGCGGCGACATTATAGTCAGCCAACTGCGATATTTTTCATGCACTTGAACAAAGTTACTGCACTTTAGCGGAACTGCGCTAAATAAAACGCACGGGCAACAGAGAAGTCAACACCCAGCACAAACTTTCAACAAAACCTATGTTGCAACTGAAACTGTTCATGTACTGACGCAGTATGCATTGAGGTTAAACGATACTTTTTTCCCTCTTACTGCTGCGCCCGGGCGCCGTGAACTTAGCTCAGTAGTGCAGAAACGTTGGCGACGTTTATTTGTCCATTCACACAGCCCTTAGATTGAAACAAGGTGTTGTTGGTAGCAATTTTCGTATTTATCACTGCTTCGTTGGAATGTTAGATGTCATACGTGTCACAGTTCTGAAAGGCATGTGATGTCAAGCGTGGTGCCATTGCTACACTGTCGTTAACTGCAGCCTTTTCCCTGTATTAGATTTCTTCCTCGTGCCCTCTGCAGCCGAACTCAGCCCTCGCGTATTTCTACTTGACCTCTTCTCTTCCACTCTTCCTCCATACCACACAGAATTAAATATTCACAGAAGAGTGTCCACACCCAATCAACTACTACGTATGTGTGATTGCGCGTCACTATATCGCACGTGTTAATCGAGCTATACACCACCTGCTACTTAATGAAACTTGTGAGCAAGCCCAGCGTGCAGCATACGGATTTGTCGCAAAACTTCTCTAACCCGTCGGCGGTAATTTGCAATGTCACGGGCCCATATTTAATCGGGAGGGCATTATACGCATAAGTGCTTTTTCGCTTTGGGAATACAAGTTTTTTGTTGAACCGTTGCGTTAAAATGTTCTTTTTCTAATATAAATATTTATTATAAAACCTGGCACTGCATTTCTGTGCGACGTACCCAAGCGTGTATATATATATATAGCGTAAATATCATGATATGACGACAGCGCACTCTGTGAGGGAGAAATTTGGAGTATCTACGCCACGTTGTGTATATAGTCGTACGTACGTCTAAATATACGCGAACGAGCGTTGCTGCAGTGATATCCCATTGGAAAGTGGCCACTACCTAAAGCATCGAACCCACGACCTGGAGCTGTGCATCGGAACTTCGTAGGCCCTGGCATACCGATGTGATTGTCTTGCAATCGACCCCGCATGTCCACAGGCAAGAGATTCCTCGCCCGTACTACCTGCCTGCCGTTCTCAAGCACGCCATAGCGCCTCAAAAGGGGCGTACTATTTCCAGTACATAGTTTCTACAAATGGTCCGATATGCAGTTACGGTTACATCACGCGCGTCGACCTATGTGCGGAGAACATGGGCTTACCTCTCAGCCATCGAAGCAGGAAGGCGTCCGTGTCGGTGGCTCTTCTCACGCCCTCCACTGCTTTCCGAAACTGCAATGCGAAGGAAGCACACTGAGACATCTTCCAGTTGTGCGGTGTGTCAGTTTGATACAAAGCTTTGGCGTATGCCTTTATAGAAAGTCGAGGTGCACATGTCCACCTTGACACCAAAATTGGACAAGCCTCGTGCGGTTCCCTTGAGGCTCCTTCGAACGACGAATTGGCGAAACCAACTCCAACTGGACAGCGTGTTTTCGGAGTTCTACTTTATGGCCAAATGTCAGTTAGTGTTGGAGGATGAATCCAGAGGTGTGTACTCTGGGATATCGAAATAGTTAAGAGCAGCACTGATGAAATCACATTCCTAGGATCAACTTTCGGTGATCCAGGCCCGGAAGACTGCTGACGTATAGGGTGTCTGCAAAGCCCCCGGCGCGGCGCAGACCCAGACGATCAGTTTTCAGGATAAGTTATAAAGTTGTCTACAACGCACTGCTGAGAACCCCTTGGGCCAGTTGCTCGTAGATTTCAGAAAACTGGCCCCGATTGGTTCCCTACTGTACGTAGCCCTGAGTCGTCGTCCATGCATGCATTCATATTCGTAGAACAAAACTGAAAAAAGACAGAGACACAGAAGGAGCACATAAATAGGGCGGGCCCTAGTCTTGTTCCTTCTGTGCCTCCTACTTTTTCTGTTTTGAGCTACGATAACGAATGCAAGTGACCGAAACGAACTAGCCCGCATCACCTCCTTGACCGTCCCTGTCTGAAACGCTAAATTTACTCAAGCGAGGCTGAATTAGGTTCTCTTATGTTGAAAGTGGTCTTCTATAATATAAAGTTATATTAAAGTTTGTTTGCCAAGTGAAATATAGTTTCAGTCAATGAACAGACAAAAACACAAAAACGGATTCGCAGATGAATTTTGCTACTGTACAATCTCCTTTATCACGGTGGGATAACGTATCAAGGGTTACACAGATACTGTATACACAGATACTATGCTGTTCTCCGTACTCTAGCTAAACAGACATACATTTACTAATAAAACGCTGCGTCTAACTCAATAATGGCGCGTCAATTTGAATGCTTGGAAAAATCTTTAGCAAGTGGCCTTGTTTACTGCTGTATTAAGAACGCAAAATCTCTTTTATGTAAAACTGCGGTCCTTCCCTGATGAAATTTGTTAGCCCCGCCTTCTCACGTAATGTCACTGTCGACTGAAAACATGTTATAACCGTTGGAAACACTCACCTGATCTAACGCAGCTTGCTGGCGGTCGCTCAGGCTGCCGAGGTAGCCGCTCATAGCGGCTCACAGTTGTTCTGACGATCCCGAGCACAGGCCTGCACGCTCGTCTCGGCAATCAGCGGATCGAGTGACAGTCGACACTCCCGTGTTCCTCCTCGCTCGTAGTGGAGGGAGCCCTTTCTATCGCATGGGTCACGTCCATGCGCCGTGCTCGTGGTACGCGTTGCACAAAGCAGGCCGGTCGCCGCACTGTACGCTACGGTCGACCAATTACTAAACCAAATAGTGTTGTATCAGCTGTTTTTACGGGATTAATGTCGTACCAACTCACCCAAGTGACCACGTTTAGCTGTATTAGCTTATCGCTGGGAAACGTCGTGGCCGGCACGATAAGTTTAACGTGAAGCAAAAACGGAGAACGGAAAGACGGGGAGGCTAACAGGATATGAAAAAAACAAAAGAGCTGGTGTGCAAAGTTAGATAGAGGGGCATATGAGAGAGTGGGTGATATATATAGCGGCATGCGGATAGGGACGGAGAAATAGGGATCACAAGAAAGATCGCACTGTTGTCGGTGACGGTGACTGCGTAATAATGTTTATTTACTCGAACGCACCAGATGCCTGCCCTATATGGAACGGTGACGGCTGGCCTCAGCAATGTCAACGCGATATAATGCAAAATTATCATTACGTGAAGGCGTCACATCACATCTTCATGATGCTATTGTCGTATAGTTTTCTGTAACTACACTAGGGGGAACTCTGGCGCTATAGTGTCTATGGGAGCAGCATTGCATGGCGCTTCCGCCAGCATGAGAATCATGGGTAACACATTAGGTTTTTGTAATCTTCGTTGTTGTTTTTTTCCTCTCAGTTTAGTTCTCCGCTGGGGCCTTATTCCGTTTTGCACAAATCTCCACAAATGTCCAGCAGTTACGCTTTACACCTTGACCTTAATAGGCTCACTGATTGAAATTGGGTCACACATTTTATACATTTCCATTTTTTATTCAAGACAAAGTCAAAACACAGCAATAAACAAAACCCCAATTGTGTTGCCCTCAAGCACGATGACTAGGCAACAGGAGAGCGAAATAAATAAAAGGAAGAGACAGGAAGGTTAGCCTAGAACTGAGAACAGGTTTGCTTCCCTGTACTGCGGTGGGCGAATAAAGGGCGGAAAGAGTATAGAGGTAGAGAGATATAAAATATTCATAAAAAAATCTCATGCACACACATTTCTGTACCCCACCACGGTGGTCTTGTGGCTAAGGTACTCGGCTGCTGACCCGCAGGTCGCGGGATCGAATCCCGGCTGCGGCGGCTGCATTTCCGATGGAGGCGGAAATGTTGTAGGCCCGTGTGCTCAGATTTAGAAGCACGTTAAAGAACCCCAGGTGGTCGAAATTTCCAGAGCCCTCCTCTACAGCGTCTCTCTTAATCATATGGTGGTTTCGGGACGTTAAACCCCACATATCAATCCTCAATCACACGGTTTTGTACTACCCATGGTGGCTAAACGATAGCAGCGCCAAGGTTTCGTTTAGTTAATTAAGGAAACTCTATGGCCTCTATGTCGTCGCGTAACATGACGACTTATGGTGACGCCATCACTGAACGTTATCGCGTGGTCCACAATAATAATAATAATAATAATAATAATAATAATAATAATAATAATAATAATAATAATAATAATAATAATAATAATAATAATAATTGCTGTTGTTGTTGTTGTTGTTGTTGTTGTTGTTGTTGTTGTTGTTGTTGTTGTTGTTGTTGTTGTTGTTGTTGTTGTTGTTGTTGTTGTTGTTGTTGTTGTTGTTGTTGTTGTTGTTGTTGTTGTTGTTGTTTAAACCTGCTACAGTAGATTGGTCACTCTCAGCTGCAGTTTGGACTCATGAGGTTAACGTTCCGAGTTAGTTTTTGTTATCACGTTCCTGGATGGCAAAGCAGCTTGTCCGCAAGCTCTGTATCGATATCTTGACCTGTGACGTAGTGCATCTGTGGCGGCTTGGCATAGGACGTAACTTTTTTTTGTCCTTGGTGATAAATTTAAACTCCTTCATACAACTTCTGGTCGTAAGTGGAGTGGTAAGTGGCGAAAAGCGTGGTGTTCTGGTCAAATTGTCTGTCCATATTATCATCTTTATCGACTGGACTTCGATCACCGAATGATTTTATTTTCACCTAGGTCATGCTTGGACAACCAGACAAGAGAAAATGCATTGTGCATTCTATCGAGGTAACACTCGTAAAGACACTGCAAGCGAAAGTTCGGGGCTGTCAGAAATGTTCCGTATACCATCGGTGTGTGATACCATCCCATTATGCTACCGCACGCTGTACGCCACGAGGAGAGAGAGAAATAAATAAAAGGAAGAGACAAGGAGGCTGACCTAGAAGACTCCGTAGAACTTGTAATGAAAAGATAGTTCGAAAATTTGTATTTGTCGCGCTTTTTGAAATAATGTACGTTTAAAGCGTGACGCCACGCGACGGGAAGAAAACTGAACACTATAGTTATTACTGCGTTGACAAGACTTCAAAAAAAAAACGAAAAAGTGACAGCAGTCTTCAACAAATAAACAACCTTTATTTTTTTCCGAGCATGAAACATAAGTTAACAACATTGTTGTTTAATACCCTATAATGTCCCAGCCACAAAATTCAAAATCCTGTATATAAGCTTCGCAAAATTACTCAGGCTTAGTACATCACGGACAAACGTTCGGTCATAACGCAGAGGCAAGTACAACTTGATGTAAGGCAAAGAGGTTGTTTATAACACCACCTGTTGCTTAACTTTTATTGGAAATAAATGAACAAGGTGTAGAGCAGATCAGGGAAAAAATTTTAGGGGCGAAGCTCCTTAAGGCGTGGGCTGTGCGTCCCCTGTATGTAGACACCTCTCGTTTAGTTTTTGCGGTGTTCACTAGATGGTGGTACAGTCCCTTGTATGTAGCCACCTCTCGTTTAGTTCTTGCAGTGTTCACTAGATGGCGGCACTTGTAACTGATGACGAAAAGATGCAAGGTGTTATAAACTAGACGGCGGTACTTGTAGTTGATGATGAAAGATGTGAGATGTTATAAAATAGGAATGATGTCACATATGGCACGTGTCATTGGTGGAAGGCAATCGTTCGATTTAGTGCGGTGACGTACGCTAGGGGGGAGCATTGTAATAAAATCGAGTGGGCAAAATGTACGGAAGATTCATGGTTTACCAGGTTTTCCTCCGGAGCTTCGCCCACTCATCATAATTCACTTCGTGGATATGGCGGCACTTTTTTTAGAATGTACATGTACCCGCGAACAATGGCAGATAGCGTGAACATTGTCAAGATCATATCAAGACTCCATGTTATCATACTTATCGTCAGGTACAGAAACAAGAGTCACACAATGAACGATTTATAGCATTTCGCCTCTTATTAGCGGCGCCTATGGGTCAGTATGTCGTCATATATATTAAATGTCATTTATTAGTGCATAATTTCAGGAACATTCACAGATTTAAAGAGTCCTCTGAAAATGACAGGAGAGCGTTATTATTTATCTTAAGCTAAGTTTTTAGTGATATATCATTTGTTGCGGACTCGATGGACGCTGTCAAAACTGATCATGCGGCAAGCTGGTGCGAACGTTTAGAGGGGGCGTTGTTCCAGTCTTCGTTTCATAAACCTCTCTAGGTTTACAAGCTTTCTCACTCTCTACTTTGTACTTCAAAAGTGCTGCTGACTAGCACGGCATAACTTTCCTCTTTGAATTCCAGCTGAACAGTACGAAATGGCAGCTGTCTTTATTTGGTACATCCTGAGGTGCTTAGCTTGATGAGGTGGAACGGTGGTCAAGCACTCTCACTCGGCGACTGCAATTTCACGACGTAGGCCAACTTCTTTTCCGTCAGCCAACTGTAGGAGTTGTCGAACTCGAGCACGTCTGCGAAAACCACGCACACACACAAAAAAAAGGCAAACTGTAGTTTTTTACTTGGCGTTGGGGTGGCGTCCGGCTCTACTGAATCTAAGTTTCTGAAGAGTCGAATGAAAATCGTGTCACGTGGTTGGAACACCCGCCTGAATTGGAAAATAATAATTTTATGGCTTCCCTTCTTATATACACATTATACGAGATTTAGCAGTGCATGAGCGTGAGAATCAGCCTTACTTTACTAATTTAATTAGATGGTTTCTCAATTCTGTTGTGCATAAGTGTCTGCCTGGATTAATAAGTGGCTATGGGGCTCGGCTGCTCACTCGAAGGTCGAGGGTGCCATTCCTGGCCACGGCGATAACAGGCTAAATGGTAGAGCCTCCTGTATGGTGCAATGTAAGCGCACCCTAAAGAACACCAGATGGTCAAAATTTCCGGAGCTCTCCACTGCGGCTTCTCTCAAAATCATCTCGTGGTTTGGGGATGCTAAACCCCCCGATATTATGATCTGCATTAGCGGCGAGATCACATAAATGTCACTTTTGTACTGTGGTTACGCGCTGGCACGTTTTCCGACGCATAGTACTACGACTGCTGATTGCAGCAAATATAATATTGAGGACAAGACGCCAACGTAATTGTATACATTCTTCAACGTCGATAATCACCATGATTGTGGATTAATTCTAACACAGCAAGCATACTTATTCATGGTGAATTCCAGCGCTTGAAAAATACGAACGGTTAATGTAGGGACAAACAAACAGTGTAGAAAAAAAATTGTTTCTCCCCTACTCCTTGTTCTTATCTCTTGTTTTTGCCAATATATTGCCATAAGTTGTAAAGAACTGCCCCGCCACGGTGGCCTAGTGACTATAAGATACTCGGCTGCTGACCCGCAGGTCACGAGATCGTATTCCGGCTGGGTCGGCTGCATTTTCGATGGAGGCGAAAATGCTGTAGGCCCGTGTGCTCAGATCAGGGTGCACGTTAAAGAGCCCCAGGTGGCACAAATTTCCAGGGTCTCTTCTCCCCTTCATCCCTTCCCCCAGTGCATGGTAGCAAAGCGGACGTGTGTCTGGTTAACCTCCATTATACATTTCCTTGCATCTCTCTCTTCCTCCACTATGGCGTCTCTGATAATCACATGGTGGTTTTGGGACGTTAAACTACCACATATCTGTCTAAGTCGCAAATGACAAATTACTACGTTTTGTTAAAGAAAAATTACGCGACACAATCTTGTCTGTTTCGTTAGCATTCCCAATGACACTTTTAGTGAGAGAAGCACTGTCTATTTTTTTCTAGATGACTTGGTTTCGAAAGTTTTTTTTTGTATGTTTACGCAGAGGGCAACCTATAATAATAAGAGCGGGGTTTTTAATACCCAGAACCATGGTATGTTTATGAAATATACCGTAGAGGGGGTGCTCCGGAACATTTCTACAACTTCTTCGCCTCCATTTAAATGCGGCCACCATGACAGGAATTCGATCCCGACACCTTCGGGTCAGCATTCAAGCATTGTAGCCTTCAGGCAGCCGTGGAGGGTGCAAAAAGGAGACTTTATAGGACCGTTAATGAATAAATACAGCAGAAAATAAATCTGTATTTGGTTTCCCTCGCTGTAATTGGTATATTTGGTTTCAACTCGATGCACGGAACTTAAAATACTAAGAATTATGGGATCAATAGTCACGTATGCGTTTGTACGAAGCGCTGAACAGGAAAGTCCCTTCGAAGAAATCGAACTAGAGGACCTTTCGACTGGAGCGTACTGAAACCACTACAGCTACGAAACTAATAAAAAAAGAAAGTAGTCGTACAAGAAATGCTGCTCGAACCAACGTTTAGAGAGGGGATTTTTTTTTCCAGGACGACGGCTACCTTTGTAGAAAGTTTTATTGCAGTGACTTGCGGTCAAATATGAACTGTTATTACGCCTATATAGGCTTCTTCTAGTTCCTCCGAACTCCTTTCTCATTAGATTTTTGTACAACCTGCTACACAATGTGTAAACGACATATTGATGGCAAGCACAACAAAATAGAAATGTGTGCGAATGATTCCAATGGGTCGAACTCTCGCTTAAGCTTTTAGATTCGGCAAAAATTTTAGTGCATTGCGCTGTGCGTCGCCATATGAGAACAGGTTTTCGTCCAACATATCGTTTCCCGTTTCATCAGCCCTTCTGGAGCCGAAGTAATAGTTAGGCTAATAACTGTCGGGTTTATTACGAGCCAATGCCACGCTATGATTATTAGAGACACCGTATTGGAGGGCTTCGGAAATTTTAAGTTGCACCTAAATCCGAGGCGTCGAAAATTTCGACCTTTTGGGGTTCTTTAACACGCGCCTAAATCTATAAGCAGATGGGCCTCTTGTGTCTCCATCGAAATGTGGCCACCGTACCGGAATTCGAACCAGCGACCTTCCGATTACCGATCAGGCACAAAACCATTAGACCCCTGTTGCGAGTACCCCCCCCCCCCCCAGGAACGGAATGCGCTTACCAATAATTAGATTGGACTAATTGGTACGGATCTATAACAAGTATAGGCAGCGCGAACTTACGACAAGGACAAGAGCTGACTTGCCGCTTCTTATTTGTGTGCTCGTCGTAAGTTCTCGCTATACTTTCTGTAATGTAACATTGCATAGGGCGTAAGGCGTCGTACATTTTCCGGCCTTTGCGCATCGCCAGCTGCCTTGCTGCGGTATTTGGCTGCTGGCATCCACGCGTTGCACGGGCAGCAGGGATTCTCCGTCGCGCATGCGCAGTCCGAAGCCCAAGTCTCCCACCGCAGTCTGGAAAGACCAGTTGAGTTCCACGCCCTCGTCCGACACGTCCACCTCGAACTCCCAGCGGTCTCGCCGACCTATGGTCTGCGTCTTGACGCCCGGCTCGTCGAAGAGCGTCAAGGCCCGCGTCTCGGGACCCTCTTCGAAGCGACCGCCGTAGTTAATCTGTGCAAAGGAACAATTAAAGTGATTAGAAGAAAGTGCATTTTACTAAAACGAAAACTTGGGTATCATTACTGTGTTGCAGTGTGATATTTTGTTTTTTTTTATTTTTTTCCGGATTGTTCATTTTTGGGCACCGTTCTGTATTATTTTTTTTTCGCTGCAGAACTTCGTGATATGGAGTAGCCGAGGCAATATGCACCTCAACCTCTCCACAGCAAAACAGTTTAAACAGAACAGAACAGAAGAGAAAACTTGGGTAAAAACTCAATCATTAGGTTAACATTGGGTGAAAATACTGTTGCTGCTACAACAATAGCTGCTCGCAGGATCCTCCATTAGAGAGATCAAAGTTTCGCCGAAGCCACCCCCCTCTACGTCATCCACACCTTTATATCAGTCAAGCCTGAAAAAAAAATCAACGCGCTTGGCAACAGGCTACAACAGGCTACAACAGACACGGTTAGAACAGGTGAAGCCTAACGAATGAAACCGTGCGTATTCGGCAAGGACGCAGAAACGACTGTCGCGTGTTTCGTTTTTGTCGCTGTCGGGTAGGCAGGAGCACACTTACCATGTGCCTGCATCGTGGGTCTCCGTCAGGGCCGACCATGACACCACCCCAGTGGGCGGGGAGGGCGGCTGCGTACACGAGGCCAACAAGACGCTCCTTCCAGGGTTCAACTGCGTTGGAATCGAATCACTATTTACAACTTTCAAGCGCAATGACACCTAGAGGCAATTGCACCAACTGAACTGCAACACTGCTGCATTATTGTTTGAATAGATCATGATGCCCTCGACCAGCATGAGAAAGGAATAACGGCGGGGGCCAGTTCAATTCAATTGAGCTGGATTAAAGCTCGTTGTGTCACGCAGGCGCATGTTTACACGTGAGTTGAAAGACCATTTAGGATTGCGTATAGCAAAAGTTGATGGCTCAATGAAATGTATCGGTAAGTAATCGCAAGAAACCTTCTCTGGAAAGTTCTTACAAAGAATTTACTGTGCTTTATATCTGCCCGTCATTGTAGTTTGAGCAAGGTAAAATACTGCGCATCATAGACAATAACCTGTAGTAAGTGATGGCATTAGCCTGTATAAGTGTATGAGCTACTTGCAGGCATATGTTGTATATATGTGGCTGGCGGGGCACAGGAGATTGTGGTCGTTCTCGCTCATATACCGCTGTCAAACGGTCACTGTTTATCACGATTAGGCCTGATCGAGACCGCGCTTCTTAATCGTAATCGACTCCTTTAGGCAAGCTGCAAAAAGTAGTCAATCACTGTTGACAGATTTGATCCCAATCGGGACAAGTAATACAGTGTGTGACAGCGGTATGACTCGCGTTTCTGTAGTCAATGGATGCGTATCCGTTCAAGAAGCCAATGACCTTTATAGAGCTTAGAAGTATACAAAAGTTGGCAGTGCCTTACACGTAAGCTGTAATAGATGACCAAACAATAATGAAGCTCTTAAAATATTGCGCGCAATTGTTGCACATTACAGGAGGTTTTACTCTGATACAGAGGTGTTGCCGCTACAACATCGGCACTGCAGGTCTGGATAGAAGTCCCATTTCGTATGCTTCTACTCACCCTTTGCGTAGATTTCCATTTTGTCGGTTGTCCTCTGCGTCAAAAAGGGCTTTATCAGCTTCCACACGACGGGGAAGAAGTAAGGCGCTGCGTGAACCAGTGCGTAAATTTATTGCCAACAGTTGTCTTTATCATGAGAACGTTTTCCTATAACTACTCAACCTTGTGCGCGTTTCACAACTTTGAAGGCGTATGATATGAACGTTGGAGCCAACCTAAGCTTGAACCGCACGATTTTATTGCACGAGATAACTTGAAAGACACTATAGTTATGATCTGCAGTCTTATGAAATGCCCGGAAAACAACCCAGTTTGTGGGCCATCAGAATGAGAAGTAAAAGAACGGACGTCGCAAAGGAGGTGTATATAACAAATGTTAAAGATTCCCCTCCCCCTTCACAATTTCCTACAAAATTTCATCGAAAATTACCGACTCCACACAGTTACCAGATGTTATTCATGGAAGTATTGCTTAAAACCTTACACGTTGAAACAACAGAATTACCAAAGGTTCATATTGTAAAGATATCAGTTGTTGTTCAGCCGTGCAAAACATTGTTATAGTGTCCTTTTATGGCTTTAGGTTGTAAATGAGACACACCACCAAGCTTGGAAGAGACGCCTGCTGAATGCCATCCATTATTTGTTTCTACTGAACCCTCTATCACTTCTTCATCAGTGAGATATAAAGTCAATATAACTGCAGGATGGTTAACCAAAGGATATCAATATTTCTAGCTCACTTTTGCCAACCCCCGTGTAATCTATTAGAAAAATACATAAAGAAATTGACTACCCAACATCACTACAAACAGCTTAATAAATAACTCGACTAGGGACTATGCTACGTAGTCAGTGACGGTAACGTAACCTTGAGGTTATTTGTTGGTTGCGGGGACCATGTCAGCCACATGAGCCCCAGCTATATGATCACGTCAGGAACTATCAAATTATGCTTCATGAATAAAAATGATAACTTAACAAACAGCCGCACGTGCGAAACGTGCCACTTTTTGGCTTTTGCTCACCATTTACGATGATGCACTTCTCCAGACACTCGGGAAAGTGGTCCTCCATCATTTGCAGCATGTCCGTGATGGTCTTCACGGCTGCACTGCCAACGACCAATTATCAACAGAGTGCGGAGCACTTCGCGCAGAAGAAACGCGTATATAATGCTTTGTAAATGTTCACATGAACATCGAGTGAATATTTTCGTGTAGTTGAGTATACACTCGTTTCGCCGCTTACCTTGCCAGCTGTACACCTGACGCAGGCTAAAGTTATCTACGTCAATCACCAGGTAGTGCGTTTCCAATTCTGCAGTTGCCTAAGCGAAACGAAATGAAGAAAAGGGACAGACACGATCGGATTCAGGAAGAAAAACAAACACACATCAACGTATACAAGTGCGGTGAAATTCCGCCCGTAATCCTGCCACGGCTATCCCGTGTATTGGAGAACCCAGCACCCACCTATGCCTATACAAGACTTGCAATAACTGCGGTGGGTTGTGCTACGGTAGTGCATAAAGCTTGGCTCACCTTTATTGAAGCTGACCGCTTCAACGATTCCGCATATTCCAACATGTAGGTGCAGTGTCGCTGTACGACAGCTGGGGTGAGGGCCGCTACAAACGCTGCACACAGCGAGAAACGAGATAATGTGAAACGTTAAAAAAACAGAAACTTAGTTTTTGTTGATTTAGTTCAACGCTTTGAAGTAACCCTCAACTTATTCACATGGCGATAAGTAAAGCAGAAAGGATCAAACTAAGGACGATATGAGATGCTACCCTGGTGGTGCTGATGGGGGACGTTGGGATTATGGGTGGGCGTTAAGGAGCTAGAATTGCTGATTTTCTTCTTTGTTTTCAAGGGTTTCGCTTTTCATTATCTTTTGGAATCAACGCCCAACAGCCATAAATAATTATTATAACCGCTAATGTGGTATGTGGGCAATGCTGTAAGAGGATCATTTCGCCTTAAAAAACATGCGGAACATGACGTTGCAGCATTATAACCAATATATTGTTGAAAACGGTATCATTATTAGTGGGTTCAATTGTATTGTAAAAACAGGAAGATCATTCAATGATTAAGCCCTGCGTAGTTTGATTATTTCCGTTTAGCTCGTAAATCCATGCACCTGCATTCTCGACGAACCGAGAACCATTCCTACGGATTCGATTCGGTCAAAGCATATAGAGGGTTACCTTTCATGTCAATTCCCGCGGGAATAATCCACATCGGTCGTCCATCCTTGCACGGGTGAAGTATGGCACCCGGGAAATTCTCCTTCACCAGCTGCGAGGAAGTTGTAGGTACGTTGACTAATAGCCACGCATTCAAGTTATAGTTACTTATTGCGCAGATAAAGTATTCGGCGTAAAAGCACTGAAATTTGGGCTGGTTTGTACTTGAACATAGCGGTGTTTTAAGCGCGTGAACCGACAAGGAATAAACTTTATTTTACAAATAAACTGCGAATAAAGTTTAGCTGAAAGTAAGCGCTCATCTGTCTACCTTTGTCTGTCATTTCTTGTCTGTTTACACGCTCAAAATACCACTATATTCGGCCTAACTTCCCGTTGAGAAGCAGAACGTTGTCACGGGTAGTGAGTCAAGCCATACGTTTATATTTTTCACGCGCTTGTACAGGAAAAATTGGGCGCCATCAGAGCGATCGTTAGTGGATACTCTGCGTCAAATTGGCTACTTTTCGACCCGTTTCAGTTGGCGCCATGCCTATTTACTGACTACTTTTGAATATACAGTCTTACTGATTCAAAATGGTTTTCCTTATTCATGAATAGTAAAAAATTGGTTCATGATACCACTCCTGCTCTATTGGGCTAACCATTTGGCAATAGTAATAAATGACATGGCTACTTTGACTCCAGTTATGGCACCTTTTAAATTTCACCCAACGGCAACTCTTGCCGCCATCCCACCCTGCGAACATGAGTATCCGGTGAAGATGTATCAAACACTATACGCAAGTTCAAGGAAGGAAAGGGTATAGCGATAATCGCTCTGTAGTCTTTGTATTAGACTGATGGGTTCCGCTACCGTTTTCAGTAAGATAATTTTGTTCTTTTTACCAATAATTCCATTTATGCTGTTCTTTTATTGTCTTCAATATCCGTAATATATACCTTGGCAGTCTTATAACGAGATGTGTGAGTTAATATACGGGTCTCCCCTGTTATATATTTCGGATACGGCGGATGACTGTGAGCCAGAGAGCCGGAGGAAAAACATATACTAAATGACAACTGAAGCTGCGCCACCTACAAAGTGGACAACATGCCCCAGTACCTCTCAAACGTTTTGTAAAACGCAAGATAAGGTTACATCAGAAGAGCCACGGCTCGGGTTAGTTGGCAGTTCACTGCAATAGCTACAGCGCAAGCTGAGGATGCAGAAAGTAGCAACATGTGCACACAAAGATGAGCGCTTCTACTCGTGTGTAAAATATGTATGTCATCCGTGACCAGCTTGCGCTGTAGATTTTGTTTCAAGGTTGCACGCTCAAGCAGGGAGGTAAAAAAAAAAATCGGCAGATCCCACGTACTTAGGAATCGATGTTATGCGAAGCATGTGGGTGGGAGGTGGCAGCGATGTAATTTTTTTATTATGCAAAGTGTTACAGAGTAGCGCTAAACATTTGTACAAGTGCACACACAGACGTATGTTAAAAAGCCGCATATATTTTATGTAAGCAGTTGTTTAGAAATACGTAAAGATTCCTACAGCAACATGGATATTAGCAACATCAGAACAGGGGAACTCATATAAACGCCGGTTATAGCGAAGATTGTAGCCCTGGAAACTGTCACATAAATGAGCTTCAGTGGATGGCGCTTAACTACAACTGACGTTAAGCCGACATGACGGCTGTATAATAGAAGCACATATGTAACGTTTAAAAAAATGGATGACCAGCACTGCAGCAACAATGGACATTTCGCAAACAATATGACCTATTTGAAAGATAGTTCCGAGACATGGCGTGGTTCTTTGATCGCCACGCAGAAAGCTAAGGTTTGATTCCTGCTGGGACCCTGAGATTCACCTGTAATTACCTTAGCTATAACTATTACTGCATGCATGACAGCTATTCAGTGTGCTAAAAAAACAAAAAAAAAACGCACCGCTGGCGGTTCGTAGCTGTTCACCAGCTCGTCAACGCCGTTATCCTTCCGCCATTCGAGGTCCTGCGAGAAAATTGTGGTTTCCTGTAAACAGCTGACGAAAAGAAATGAAACAACTGTGATGAAAGCAGGTGTCTTTAATCATTTTAACGAACGCGAATGAACTGTGGTGCATATTTTAGTTGGTAAATTATTCGAAAAAAAAATAAAATAACTACTCCGTTAACAGAGAATGCCATATGTCTAAAGCACTGAGAAGTATTGTGGGTGGATTTATTTTTGTGAGGACATTGCGTGTGACGATGCGTCTAGTATATTCATAGAGCATGACATATTATCAAGCGATGCATTGAAAACGACCGAAGATATTTTTATTGAAGCTGTTTAGTGGCTGAGGACGGGCTCGCCCATTATCCCAGGACTCTCTCTTGAGAAAAAGGGCATTAGCGAGTGGGCCGAGAAAATAGCTTTTCATTATCCTTACCCGAATACGCCTTGTATACCGGGTGTTCAAAATTAAGCTTTATGATTTTTTTAAAATTAGGCGCTCGAAGGCACGTGAGAACCACTTGTGCAAATAAGTTAAGCGGCCAGGGGGACAGAAAGTTAGATGATAATTATCGCTGTCAGCAGCCCAATTAACTAAAATTTAATAATTAACTTTTTACTGGCTGCGGTAAGTTGGCATGTTTATATTGAAAAAATGTAGGCAGTGGTGTTTGTACACAGTTTCAGTTGGAAGATTTTTTCTAGCACGCCTGTGTTCCGAGATATCCGGCTCCAAAGTTTAATTGTCTTTCGCACGATTACGCATGCAAGAGGGTGAGGGTCCGCGCAAAGCTCCTCCCTAAAGTGACGCATCTGTTGCGTGTGGTGTTTAGTGTGTGAAGAGGGTGGAAGCGTAGGCATAGGTGATAGCAATTACCCTTGCCCTCTTCGGCCGTCGAAATCAAAAATCGAAGAACGCTTGCAACCAGTGTCGTAACACGCAACTGCAGAGCCTCTAACGATAGTGGCAGATACCATGCCGAGATAATGGTGCGAGCGGAGAATCTGGATGCCAGTGCGCGTGCGTAATAATCACTAGAGAAGCATGCGTGGTCGTTGCCTGGGCTACGCGAATAGCGTGACTGCTGATGTCCGAGTACTGTAACTTTTATTGAAACAAGAGCAACAACTCCACCAATAATAACTGAAACAGTTTTATCCTTGCTAACGCATATTTCCTGCTGCTACATAAGCATATTTCGGTCATGCACAAATCTCATCGAAACTCTTCACCTCTCAAGACGTCAATGCCCCAAAAAGTGTTCAAAATGCCTGCCTTCGGCAGCAACGCAAAGCATGAACCGCTGTCGCGTCGACTCGATGACTCGGCGCAGTACTTCTGCAGGAATACTCGCACAGGCAGATGTTATCCTGTCCTTCATGTCATTAACATCGCTGGGCTCTGTTACGTAAACTCGATCTTTAACGTAGCCCCAAAGGAAAAAGTCGAGCGGAGAAAGGTCAGGTGATCTTGGTGGCCAAAACATCGCTCCTGCGCGCCCAATCCACTGTTGTGGAAAACGTCTGTCCAACCAGTTCTTCGCCCTGGTAGAAAAATGTGGTGGTGCTCCATCGTGCTGAAACCATACTTGGCGCAGGTCATTCAGGGAAAGACTGCAGACAAGATCATCAATGACAACACCTAATATTTCTTCTGTGTACATCTTTCCGTTCAAGTTGTCCTCAAAAAAGTGAGGTCCGATGATCCTGTCCCCGAGTATGCCGCACCACACATTCACACTCCAGCGAACTTGATGCTTGTGCTGCCTCAGCCAGTGTGGGTTTTCTTGTGCCCAATAATGGGCGTTGTGAAGATTAACACTTCCATTTCGGCAAAACCGAGCTTCATCAGTCCAAATTATTCTGTGCAAAAAGTCATTTTCTTGATCAGTTTTGATGAGGCCCCAATTGCAGAAGTCAACTCGCCTTTCAAAGTCCGCCTCATTTAGGTCCTGATGAAGGTAAACGTGATATGGATGGAACTTGTGCTTTCTTAAAACATTTGTGACTGTTCCGATGCTGCGACCGCACTGATCGGCAATCTGTCGGATGCTGAGCTCTGGCATCGAGGTTACGCACGCGACAACGTCGATTTCAAAGTCTTCATCGACGATTGCCTTCCTGGTCCGTCTCGGAAGGTGGACAGAGCCTGTTGTGCAGAAGCGTCGAAACAGGTTTGTGAAAGTGGGCCTTGTTGGAAGGGGACGGTGTGGGTGGCGAGACGCGTAAAGCTCCATTGCTAACGAAGCGTTGCCATTCATTTCAGCCATTGCAAGCACCACGTCTACTTTTACTTTGGTAGAATACCTCACGCCAGAAGCAGCCATATTAGCTCGAAAGGACTCCACGTGGATTTCCTTGGTAGACCTTCAATGCAGAGACGCTGTGCTCTAACCGGAGGCACCCTAGTGCAGGACGGTCCTGCTAACGCGTTCACAAGAAGATGTCTCAGTGTGATCTAAAGTCACGAAAAAACGTCGCGAAAAATGGTCTCCTGTTATCGCGTTCATCAGGATCATGCGTAAGGCTCATGGCGCACCGCGCTGTCACATTTTGATTTCGCCGGCCGAAGAGGGCAAGGGTAATTGCTATCACCTATGCCTACGCTTCCACCCTCTTCACACACTAAACACCACACGCAACAGATGCGTCACTTTAGGGAGGAGCTTTGCGCGGACCCTCACCCTCTTGCATGCGTAATCGTGCGAAAGACAATTAAACTTTGGAGCCGGATATCTCGGAACACAGGCGTGCTAGAAAAAATCTTCCAACTGAAACTGTGTACAAACACCACTGCCTACATTTTTTCAATATAAACATGCCAACTTACCGCAGCCAGTAAAAAGTTAATTATTAAATTTTAGTTAATTGGGCTGCTGACAGCGATAATTATCATCTAACTTTCTGTCCCCCTGGCCGCTTAACTTATTTGCACAAGTGGTTCTCACGTGCCTTCGAGCGCCTAATTTTAAAAAAATCATAAAGCTTAATTTTGAACACCCGGTATAGGAGCAATACTGATCCAAGAGTGGCGACGACAGTACGCAAACGATGTCATCGGGATCTGCTGTAATTACCTTAGCTATAACTGTTACAGCATGCGTGACAGCTATTCTATGCGCTAAAAAACAAAAAAACGCACCGCTGGTGGTTCGTAGCTGTTCACCAGCTCGTCAAAGCCGTTATCCTTCCGCCATTCGAGGTCCTGCGTGAAAATTGGGGTTTTCTGTAAACAGCTGACGAAAAGAAATGAAACAACTGTAATGAAAGCAGGTGTCTTCAATCAATTTAACGAACGCAAATTAACTGTGGTGCATATTTAAGTTGGTAAATTATTCGACAAAAATAAAATAACTACTCTGTTAACAGAGAATGTCATATTTCTAAAGCACTGAAAAGTATTGTGGGTGGATTTATTCTTGTGAGGACATTGCGTGTGACGATGCGTCTAGTATATGCATAGAGCATGACATATGATCAAGCGATGTACTGAAAACGACCGAAGATATTTTCATTGATGCAGTTTAGTAGAAGTTAGAAGTGTCACAAAACTGTTGCGCATGTCCGGAAATACTCCTGAAAGGAACGCCCATTCAACGTTGAAGCATGCACATGGAGGCTGATTATGCTCAATGCACTACTGTACTGATCTGTAAATGAGCAATTAGAACTACTTCGATAGCGCAAATATATGTGTATTCATTTAACGACATTCTTAATCGCTTACTTCTATAGTGTGACTTGTCATTTTAACCATTTACAGCCGCCTACATAGTGCAACGCAATCATTTAATTTTTCACAATTACCTCGCGCGATTAGTCTCTGGAACAGTCTAGCGGAAAACATTGTTTCCCTTAGAGACCATGACGCATTTTCCCTTCACTTGAACCAACATTTTCCCACGCACTGAGCTTAGTTTCACCTATTCTATATGGGAGTATGTATGTGTGTATCTATTGCTATTCATTCTGATTACGTTTGTCTTTCAATAGCATCGTCACATGCTTTCCTTTTTATTACAAGGTTCAAATTACAAATGACGCAATGATATTTTGGAGGCATTATACTATGACTGTAACTGCAATCTGTATTTACTCCTGCGCAGTATTTTCTGTTATGTCGCGAATTTCTGATAATACGCGTATTTAAGGGATTGTACTGCACTGTATGCCCCCTCACCTTATGCCTCTTCCGGTGCCTGTGAGGTATTAATAAATAGATAAATAAATAAATACATAAATAAATAAATAAATAATAATAAATAACAAAATAAATAAATAAGCAAATAATAAAATAAATAAATAAATAAATAAAAATAAATAAATAAATAATGCCTGAATTATGAAAGTGCCGAAGAAAATAAGAATTGTTTTCTTTTTCCAGCTTTAAATAGTGACTTTTAAATGATTCCACAGTCAAAATATCTAAAATGCGCCTTTAATGCATACTTTTATGTATGCCACCAGTTCTCCACATGCCATAGAAGCGAGGGCCGTGCAATGAAAAACGTGCTTCAGAACTGCGAAACACGTCGTGTGCCACGTATTAGGCGTACACACCAAATAAACCAAGTTATTGAAGATAGAACTTTTGTCAGCCAGGCGAGAAACAACGGATAAGTACACGATTTCAAGTGCACTCTCCGACATCAGCTGCAAAACAATTGGTTCTGGCATAAAATACATTACACGAGATAGCGCTATATTTTTTCACGCTGAAATCTGCGTTTCCCGTGAGTGCTTGGCAGCAGGCAATAAAGGCATCACAGATTCTGTGAATTGCTTACTCAAAGTTTTTCGGCATACTCATGAATTCACGACATTAGTCAGTAAAGGGTTAATAGCTCCACCTTCGTGCAAAAAGTGTGCCTAAATAAAGAAACGATACGCTCTACCAAAGAAGGCTAAAAAAAAAGCATACGAACCAAGTACGAATGGGTGAAAAGGGAATGCGAGTTATCCTATTGGCCCATAAGGTATGTAACTGCGCAAAAAACTGACGGAAACAAGAAGGAGAGAAAAAGAACTTGCGCAGTCTGTAAAAAAGGCGGATAAATTGCAGCTTGAAGTATTTTACACTGCAAAAACGCATAAGATTGGGATGCCTTTTCGCGCAATAATCACGGAACGCGACACGTGGCAGTATTGTGTGTCTGGTTTCTTGCAAACATGCTTAACGTCTCTATATATAGACGACCCGTACATTGCACCTAACTCGGAAACGATTGTCCAGTTCCTACGTGATGACAACCCCGTTGATTGTGACGCTGTGAGCATTGACGTAGAGGACCTTTTTTATTCTCTACCCCATAATCACCTTTTGACCGCAGTGAAAGAATGCATTACGTATCACAATGATGAACCTGCCTTCATAGGTTTAAGTGGTATGTCAGTTGAATCTTTCACGGAACTTTTGTTCTTTTACCTGGGGTCTTTATTCATTTTTTTCCAAGGTGAGGTGTACCTGCAGAGGAAGGGTGTTTGTATAGGGTCTAGGGTGGCACCGGTTTTTAAGTGATATTTTTCTAAGTAGAGTGGATCGGGCGCTCCAACCGGTCTTGCAGGCTTCTGTAATCAGAGTTTTTCGTTATGTCGATGACTACATTGTGTTTTTCCGTAAGGGAACTGAAGATATGTCGGCAGGTATTCTAAAGAGGTTTGAGCAGTGTGGTCTTGGCCTGAAGTTTACTTCAGAATACCTAAAGGACCAGTGTATCCAATTTTTGGATCTGCAGCTGCAGTTCTCGCCCACCCATGTGTGTGGTGCTATGCCCCTAGGTCCGTAAAACCTGTGCTGAACTACAAATCCGGCCATACGAAACTGGTTAAAAATGCCATTGCACTCTCATGTTTTAGCTCTGCACTGAAGAAATCCTGCACTCATTTAGTCGGTAACAGTTTTTCTGGGCAGGTGCAAAAACTGAGACAGGCAGGATATCCACGGGACTTATTGGTAAAGGTCTGCGAGAAGTTGATTAAGAAGTATAAAGGAGGTCCAGGTAATGGTTGTGACCTGGATGAGAAGGCGCAGCATAAAAATTTTGCTGTTCTTCCTTATATTCATGGTTTTACCCACCGCCTGAAAAAGGTTGCATCAAGATATGATGTCCAAGTGGTTATTTCTGCCAGGAACAAGTTATCCACTTTATGTGCCAAAGTAGATAGACGAGTCGCGAATCAGCGAAATGTCCAGCAACACACATGCAATGTTAGTCATATTCATAATTATGTATCTTGCATCACCGGTGTTGTCTACTCCATACCCTTGTCATGCGGTCGTGTGTACGTGGGACAAACAGGTCGCTGTCTAAATGTTAGACTTCGAGAACATTTTAATTCTTTAAAAGGCCACTCCGGCCTTCATCTGGCAGCCCACTGTAAGAAATGCGGCTGCGCTCCGCTGTTCGGTGATACTTCTGTGTTGTTCCGGCATAAGAACCAAAGAGTGCGCGAACTTATTGAGGCTGCGCATATTCACAAGAAATCTGTGTCTTGTGTTAGTGTTCCCTCTGTGGCCATACATGATAAGGAGTTAAGCTATCTTGGTTTTGTATGACGGGTGTGCTATGCTTGATGTGCCTAAGTTTGGTGATTTGGTCCCTCGTGTTTTTTCTCCTCCCCCTTTGCCCCCTCTTGCTTTTTTCTGCCTATTATATATATTGCCTCGTTCTTCCAATAAAGCGTCAGTTGATAGTCTGCGCTTGTCTGTCCTTTTTCTCTCCTTCTTGTTTCCGTCAGTTTTTTGCGCAGTTACATACCTTATGGATCAGTACCAACTAGCCCAACTTACCATTCTTCTGATATCCTATTGGCAATGAGTTCATTGATTGATATGTGCGGTTTAACGTCCCAAAACCACCATATGATTATGAGAGACGCCGTAGTGGAGGGCTCCGGAAATTTCGACCACCTGGGGTTCTTTAACGTGCACCCAAATCTGAGCACATGGGCCTACAACATTTCCGTCTCCATCGGAAATGCAGCCGCCACAGCCGGGATTCGATCCCGCGACCTGCGGGTCAGCAGCCGAGTACCTTAGCCACTAGACCACCACGGCGGGGTTATTGGCAAAGAGTGGATCTCTAATTGTGCATGCTGGCTTTTATCGGAAAGGTTGGTACTCACATGGCGGTACATGCGTTCCGCCTTGGTCACATCAAACTCCCGGGCTGGTTGTGCCATCGGATATGAGATGTAAAGAAACGAAACGTAGTTAATACGCTGATTTGGTTTCAAAAAATGTGTTAACATGTATGAAATCATCCATTCAAGTAGCTTAACGCGTTTGCTGTATGTAATATGGCAACAAAATATTAGTGCCCGCACTTCGTATTTGAATATCTTTAAATGAATATGAATACGAAACTGTTGCACTATGTCTTTATTGCTTTGAATATGAGCAGTGTTATATTTTCAATTGGTTAAGTACAGAATAGGTTGAGGTAGTCTAAAATCAAACCATTTTACATGTTTGAAGGCGAGACTACTTGGCACATGATTTGGTTGCAGCACCATAAAACAACCCATTATGTATTAAACGTTGTATTGACGTGAATTATGCGAGTTGATTTAGTTTGGAAAATGGTGCGCGTGCTCACGGTGAAGTTTATATAATATTTTTATAAGTTATTGGCACCATCAACTAAAGCAATTAATTTCAATGTTAGAAAAGCCACAAGGTTTTCCCCATAACAAGTTACACGCAGAAACTTGCATATAGATGCAGATATGTTCTACCAAATAAAATATAAAGATATGTTCACTTTTTGGGAGTTATGATGGCGAGTACAGCTGGGACTGCATTCGCAGTGTGACCATTCGGATGTGCAGCGGACGCCAAACGCTAACATTGACACAGATGGGTTATTACAAAACACCTGTTTACGGTGACAAAATGTCGTAGCAGTATTCTGGCTTTTTTATAAGCTCATTTGTGGGGACGCGACCTTCCTAGTTTGTTATACCTTGAATTCGACGTAGCTACTCAAGTAATCTTATATGCGGCTGTGCCGCTTGGTGCACCCACGATGCTTGCACATGTTTATTCGCTCGCTCCACGTGTGTCGATTCGCTACGTTGAAGCGCGGAGTCATAAAAAAAGCACACGCAATGCCAGCGTTCTGTATAGTAGTTCACATCTAGCACAGCTGTTGGTGATAAACAAGGATCTAAACAAAACAGTGGTCCGATGATTGTATCTTCTGTTCTGTTCTGTTCTTTTTTAACTGTTTTGCTGTCGAGAGGTTGAGGTGCATATTGCCTCGGCTACTCCATATCACAAAGTATCTTGAATTATACGGAAGGATACTCACTTTACTTACAATCGAACACTGACAAGTTATTGGTGGCTGACCAATGTAATCGTTCGTGTTTCAAAAAAGTAAAAATTGTAACATGCCGCCATGCAATCCCAGTGATCGTAGAGACGATTTATGTGTTTACATTGAAGACTTCCAGGATTTTCCGGGTAAGCACGCTAAACAAGCTATATATCGGCGTGTATATTAAATCACCTGTTTGTCATTACACCTGTGGCAACCTAAATATATATCTCAAGGACTTAGACTTCTGATTAAAAAAGACTCTTGCATTATAGTGCTCTTATTTTACTGAATATTCCACACAGAAGTTCTTATCCCAGTTAAGTCGGGCTTACAAATTGACAACATTGCTTTGAATATAACTAGAAACACAGCAAACCGAACTATTATCCATAAAGTTTTACACCAGCTATGCAATCCTTCAGAAAAAAATGAGACAAACAAAATTACTTTGAGTGTAAAATAACGGCAGTTTGTTCAGAAACAAGTTACAACAGTTCAAAACTGCTTTAACTTTAATAGGCAGCCCTGGTTTAGATAACTAGAGTTGACATCTGCATGGGCTGCCTGCGCTCTGTTCTGTTTGCTAAACGCTGAAAACTCCACGCGCATTCACTGAAACAAGCTACATTCATTGGATATTTTTCATCTACGATCTTCATGGGGACCTGAGAGGTTTATCTTTGAAATATCTTTTATACGTTCGCAGAACAGTAGTTTACGAGACACATCAGCAGTCAGTGCATAGAGTGGTTTGCTTACGCGCGCTCTCTTCCTAATCGTCTGCTCGACAGTCAAATAGAGATGCTTTAGAGCCACTGCAGCTAGGAACAATGGCGCAAGATATGGACGTCCTATACATTGTTTTGACGAGCACGACAACGGAAACATTCGGGGTAAGCGCTATCGTTCTCCACGCTTCAACGAACACTTGCGACCTTGCCTTAAACAACACGCTTGCATCGTTTTAATTGGCACCTTGATTGCAAACAGGTGGGGTGTATACAGGTGGAGAGTTGTATATTCGCCTCGTGTTGAGGCGCATTTGCCGTTTTCAACGCGGCCTAATTAAAGGCGGAAAATGTTTACCCACACGAAGAAACAGTGCGGCAAAAGCGCAAACAAAACATGGTATCAGAGAGCGGTACAAGCAAGCGGAAATGGTGGTTGTGATGTGTTGCCACGGGTGGCGTTATAGCTTGCGAGAATCGGCCAGCAATCAGCTTGTCTCACCTTGAATCGTTTAAACTGCTTCTGGCACAAGACGTAAAATAGTAGCAGCTACTTCCTTTCGAATCATGCCCACACCTTCAGGAAGCACGACGTCTACACAGAATCCATGGGAAAGGCGCGTTCTCTTCCTACTGTCCGCTAGTCTTTCCCTTTCGGAGCAAAACTTTTGATGCAGTGGCCTGTGTCCCAAACTTCATTGCACCCCATACACGACACAGAGGGAGTGTCCATGAACTGTAGCAACTCTACGAGTGTGCAAGCCAATGGTGTGCTTATTCTATACAGTAAGGTTGATCTGTATTGTTTCGCGGACACGCGGGCATTTTCGAATGCGATCAGGGCAAATCTGGATTGGTTGCTGCTGTAGAATCTCTTTTAGTCACAATCATACCCAATCACAATGCATATTATTGTAATTTGCGCCTCGTGGTCGGGCTCACACAACGTGATTTGACAGACGCCTGACGTCCAGATTTGTTTAGACCGGGTCTAGAAAATACGGGTCCGTGGCCCATGGTCAACGGGAATCTCTCTTTCTCTCTCTCTCTCTCTCTCACACACACACACACACACACACACACACACACACACACATATATATATATATATATATATATATATATATATATATATATATATATATATATATATATATATATATATATATATATATATATATATATATATATATATATAGTGTGTGTGTGTTTGTTTATTTATTTATATAGATTGTGTGTCGTTCATATGACTCCAATGCCCCAAACACTAATGTCGTGACAACTGGACCACATCCGAGCACGTCAGAACAATGTACCAAGTCTCGATACTATCAGGTATGGGCTCAGCATAGCTTTTTAGGAGTTGGAAGTGACAAAACTGAAGTGATGTTGAGGCACGTATAATCTTATCACAGCACAGAGTGCCTTTCGACAAAATTGACGCGACGAAATCCATGATGCGAACATTTGTTGAGAAGTTTCGTCGGCTCACCTCGTAGCCAGCGCAGCAGGAACGCGTCCGTGTGTGAGGTCTTCCTCACGTCAGCCACAGCTTCTCGGAACTGCACAGCCAAGGACACGAATGTATTACTCGGTTCAGCACTACACTCTTAATGATGAAATTGTTGGGGCTTAACGTCACAAAACGACAATGACCATGATGGACGTCATCAAGGCTCAGGAAATTTCTACCACCTTCTTTCTTTCTTCTTATGTGATTCTCAAAGAGAAAAGAAGAGAAAAGTGAGCTCCGTAACTGTGTGCATCAGATTACGACACCTCAACAGTATAGCTCACAGGGGACGGGAAGGGAGGAGGTATTAAAAGAATAGGATTAAAAGGTAAATAGATAAAGGAAGGAGAGAGCGAGGTGCAGGGACAGCGAGCGACAGAAAACGACGGAAGTAAAGAGGATACAGGAAAGACGGACACGGTCGCAGGAGTCCGAGGACGGGGCACCACTCAACGAGAGCTCATGTCGGCGGCAGGAGATGGCATAGGGCGAGCCCGGTCGGCCAGAGCTACGCTGTCGTCGAAGATTGTCAGTAGATGGCGTAGGGCGAGCCCAGTCGGCAATAGCTGCGCTGTCGTCGGAGATCACGTGGGCACAACCGGTCGGCACGAAATCCAGAAAGCGAGTCTTTCGTGCACCGAAGTATAAGTACACGGGTTTCAAGCATTCTCGCATTCATGGAAAATGCGACGGGCCTTCGGGTCAATGCGACGGGTCTTCGGGCGGTGATATATTGAAATGGCCATTCGCCTTACATGCTACTCCAGGTGCTGGTGGGTGATTATGATACGCCGGTAAACACATAACATCCTAGACTTGCACACGCATGCAAACATCGATTACACATTTTATAACGTTTCTTTAAGGCTCTCAGCCTGCAAGAACGTCGACAGTGCATTCGAGGTACGTACGGCAGATAATTAAACAAGACTGGTAAAAGAAATGTCGATGTAGAACTGCTACGGGGTGGTATACAGTAATTTATTTATTTATTTATTTATTTATTTATTTATATACCCTAAAGGCCCATTTGGGCATTACATAGGGGGGGGGGGGGTAGTTACAATACAGCAGGGTTATGTGCAAAACAGAAATATGTACACAGAACACGAAAAAAATATTAAAAAGGTAAATGCAGAAACAAATTTCGCACCAAAGAAGACATAGTAATGTAGCACTCAATATGGCATGAAACGATGTGTGCGATAACTGATGTAATATTGGCACTAGACTAAACGAAAGAAAGCCACAAAATGTTACGGTTCTACATTCCACATCTCCATTAATCTGCGGACAAACGTGTCGTGATCACGCACAGTTACAACATCACTTGGTAGTTTATTCCAATGATAAATCGCAAGAAACAATGGTGAGTCACGGAGGAAGTTAGTACGGGCAAACATGGGCTGTATTTTGTAAGCATGATCCACACGTAAAAAAATGCGATGAGCTGGTTTAATCTGTGAATGTAAGAAAGATGACTCACTGAAATAAAGCTTGTGCACTCAAAAACAGATACTTTTCTGCACATCAACTTCATTTTGTCACTCAAAAGCTTCAGTGAGCGTGAAACTACTAATATTGAATTCTGATGAGAATAAATAAAAACAAACGGTGTTCTGAACTAAGGTACGTTTGAAATAGGCGTATTTCGTCATTAAACAGACTTTTGAGTCAATCCCTTGCCCAAAATGTATCATGTCGAAAACTTCAATTACCGTGTTCATGCCCGAGAAATACTCAAATATTCATTATAAATGATTTATTGAACTATCTGCGATATCAGCCTCTCTTAGCCAGCTAGTTCTTGCGCTCCGATGGATGGCATTGCGACACCATATTTCCTTCAGCATATTTCGAATTCGCGAGATGTCGACAGATGTTTCGACTTGCAAATGAGTTTTGTAAAATCCAGAAGGTGACTGAAGAGTTGCGAAAAGGATAATTGCAATACTCGGCGTCCTTGTGCTTCCAGTTGTTGACTAACTCGCCCTGCCAATTTGTAGCATCCTGATTGGCTTAATTGGCAGAACGGCCACGTCGGAAAGGTCAGGTTCGATTCCCAGACTATATAGGATGACTTTTTCGTTAAATAGACGCTTTTTCTTCTGAGATATTAGTATGAATTTTCTTTTAGGCTATGTGCTGCAGACTGGTGGTTTTCAGTTATTCGATTCAGCATTCTTACTTATTGAACTTCCAGAAATGACAGAAAGTTTCCTGCGCAACTTTTTAACTATTATAAGGCTTTACACAAAGATCTCTTCCTCCCATGCCGTGCGGAGAGACGAGGAACAATTCCCCGTTCTCGCGACGAAGGCTGTACAAGTGCGGGCACAATGTATGCAGAGCTTCAGGAAAGACGGTCGTAACACCACACGTGCCTCGCTAAGTCCTCCAGCTAATTTTCACCGAAGAAAACAACATTGCCGAACGTCGCGAATGATGTCGTATGAATGAGAAAAACAGCTATCTAACAAGAGGAAAGATTCGCCCAGTTAGTTGTTCACGTTGAAACGAGAAATGATTGTCTTTTTTTTTTCTCCATCGATTGTCCTGACCTTGGGGTGCACTAACAAATTTTTATTGAGCATTTCAAGGCTGTGAAATGGCACGCGAAGTACGTGAATGAATTCTTTAGCCTCTTTGGTGATTTGGTATTCCGTAGTGTTCCACTTTATATTTTCCCCTGAAAGAGCGAAGTGGTCGTTTCTAGCAAAACACTAGCACCGCCTTAAACAGATTTTAAAAGAGAGAAAGAGAAAACAATAAATTAAGAGCTCGTATCTCGCAATGTTCCAACTTTCGATGCAAACCTAACGAACCTCAGTGATTGTTGCCCAACGTTTCGTTTAAAGTCAAGCGAAGGCCCGGTTGCACGTAGAAGTGCGGTCGGATGCACGACAAACGGAAAAGAAACTTGGAATTTTCGGTACCGAATCGTACCACACCAAATACGGTCTCCGTTTCGTCCTATAGACATATAACGGTATAGAGAGAAACACGCAACCTAGTTTATGTGTTTCTCAGCAAAGAATTTCGGGGAAGTCTTTGTCCAACTGATTGATGGATATGACAAAATTATACGGTGCCAACACGTGGATGGTTGCGAAATGCACAAATGCCCGTGTGCATGCATTCATGTTTCATGTTGAAAAATACCAGTAGTTAAAGTAGGTTCTGGGTTTCTCATTGCGGCTTGCCTCGTAATCACACAGTCGATCCGGTACGCGAAACCTTTCGAATTCACTTCGAATAATTTGTTAACGATCGATTCTGAGACGCAAATCGGGGAGAGTTCTACGTAGCGCAACTCGCTGTGGAAGATAAGGATTGTGCATGCAGCTACAAATTTTTTTTGAAGAAGTACGTGAATTTTTCTGAACACCATATCGGTTTCAGTTATTATGCATCCCGTTTCTTTTGCATATCGTTTACTTGAGGTGCAGAATTTGTGCATTCCGCTGAGCTCGCCAAATAATTTCTCCCAATTGCGCACTTCGTTCAAAATTTCCATAGCCACGACTTGATTTTCGTTTGCTAAAACGTTTTACTTCTATAACATGTCAAATTTGAAGAATGTATTTTTCTTCATAAATTGTTACTTTTGTATCACCTTTTCACACTGTTGCACTGATTAACGTTAGTTATGCACGATTCTCAGAATTTTTACACGGCCACCTGTGCATCTTGATGGTCGTCATTGAACGCTCTCAATCCCAATTTAGAGGATTTCCGTCCAGTTCTTGCAACATCACTCAACAGTGCATGTCGACGTTGAAAAAAAAAATTAGAGCACCTTACTCCGGAAGCACAATGCTGAAGAAACGGCGGAGCCGCTGGTAACCAGAGTTGCCATGGCGGTTACAGTGTTGATAAATTTTGCATATTTATTCCTCTATTTCTTTCTGTTCTCTCTTCTCTCTGTTTTTCTGTATGTCCTTTTTGTCACTGTTTATTTTTGTTTCTCTCTCTCCATTCTTTTCTCCTCATTGGTCTTTCTAACGCCTTTCTTTATCTTCTCTTTCTCTCTGTGCATTTCTCACTTCCACTTTTTTGTATCTCTTTTTTCTCTCTTTCTTTCTCTTTCCTATGTTCTCTCCCACTCCTTACTATTGTTTCAGTCTATCGTTCCCTCTATTTCTCTCTTTCTTTCTAACAATTTATCTTCTATCTTCCTTTGCGTCCTCTCCTTCAACTCTGCCCTCGTCCCCCACAATCCTCTTTTTCACATCATCGCTCTACTACGCTATAAAATGCTACACTATGCTCCCTGGACAGCCGAGTGGTTACGACACACGCCTTGGGATTGCGGGTGCGCATGTCGGAATCTCGTTTCCCGAAGAACTTTTTCCCAGCTAAAATTACCCTCTTTCTCTATCATTATTTCTCTATTTTTTCCCCTCCATCTCTACTGGTTGTCTCCCCGCCAGAGTTACTGCATCGCGTGCCGGCGAAGAAATCGACGCACGTAGTTTTGGGAGCGAAGCGAAAGAAGGTGACGACGGGGATTCGGGAGAGGACGAAGAGAACGCGGGTCCGTTGATAATTATGACGCTTGATAATGTCAGTTCGCATTTGACGAAGGCAGGTCTTGCGAGACACACGAAGTTTGGTCGTAGCGGAAGCTATAGGCGCGGCCCTTTTATAGCTCGTCGTCCAAACTCTACTGGTCCAAGCAGACTCGTGGCTGTGTAGTAGAACATCCATTTGACACGCAAACGACCCGAATTCAGTCCTCACCCTGTCCAGGAATATTTTTGCCCCTACAATAATGCCAATCAGGCGATGCAGGTACAGTGCCTATTTGTGTCTATTTGCGATGCATGTACAGTGTCTATTTGTGACGCAGTCCTAAGCACCAGCGTACGTGGCTCAGAGGGCCTGACTACGACGCAGAGGGCCTGAGTTCGAATGCTGGTTGGTCCTCCGTATATTTGTTTCCCATTCTGCACGATAGTGGTTACTGACACCGCTGGTGGACAATTATACGCCATCAAAACCGAATCTTGTGATCTGATAACAGCTTTCGCTGCAAGAAAAACTTGAATGAACCTACCTTGTCGAGCGTAGCCTGCTGGCGCATGCTCAGGTCGCCCAGGTAGCCGCTCATCCTTCCAACTGAGGCGAGTGCGTGCTCCACCGCTCCGGCCGACCGACTGGATGCGAGCGGCGCTTGTTTGTATCCGGCGCTTAAACGCCCAGGCTGCGGCGTGCCCTTTCCATATTGCCCTGCTTGCACAACACAGCTGAGCTCCGATGCCAGCAGCCTTTGCAGTAGCGTGGCTTTGTCAGCCGTACACCCGGCGCCAGCCGATAAGCTCCCTATCACATTCTCCCCAGGCTCTCAACTTTGAATTCAAGTTTGATAACGGGACGGACAAAGCTCACTGATGCAAGCCATATATGACATCCTCTTCGTGGCATGGTTGACGCCAGAAGCTTGTAGTTTCCCAAATGATACAAAGAAAAAAAAATGATCAAAAGCACTCTTTGATCTGTGAATACGAACGCAAGTGAAGCCAGCGCCTGCGGCTTCGCGTCATTTTCGAACCGAACCGCATCTTGTCTGCGCGTTGGCGATCTATCGATTCTCGCGGTTCTTCCTAAGAGCGAACGACTTGCATCCGTGCAGCCGCTGAGTATCGCGACACTTGTGAAAGGAGCACAGGCGTTGCCAAGAGTGCGACGTTGTTCTTCGTAGGCGTCTCTCTCTCTCTCTCTCTCTCTCTCTCTCTCTCTATATATATATATATATATATATATATATATATATATATATATATATATATATATATATATATATATATATATATATATATATATATATATAAAGAAGTGTATACTTGAGGACGTGAGGGCTCGTTATTCTTCGGTGTTTTGACAAAATATTAATGAGATCTAACAGACAATAATGCCAAGGAAAGTATCGGTTGAGGTTATTAGACCAAATTGTAATGCAAATGTGAAGAAAGAAAAGTGGGTGAAAAGATAACTTGCCGGGGGCAGGAACCGAACCTGCAACCTTCAAATTACGCGTTCGATGCTCTACCACTGAGCTACGACGGCGGCTATTCTCGCAGCCACTTTATTGGGTTTATTTGTGGATTTAAACATGGGAGTGTCAGGGCGCTGACTGACACTCCCATGTATGGTCATGGGTATATATATATATATATATATATATATATATATATATATATATATATATATATATATATATATATATATATATATATATATATATATATATATATATATATATATATATATATATATATATATATATATATATATATACGCAATTTCACTCCTCTCGTCACCACCATCATGGTCAATCATAATGCAATGCTTATCAGCCTGACCACGTCCACAGCAGAGAAAAGGTCTCTCCCACGTTTCCAATAAACATGGTCTTGTGATTGCTGCGGCCAAGTTACAAACGCGAACTTCTTATTCTCTTCTGTCCGCCTAGCTTTCTGTATTCTCCTCGCGCGTTTGCCTTTTCTTGGAATTCAGTTTGTTACTCTTAATGACCAGCGGTTATCTGGCGGGCTGGATGCCCTTCACATGCATATTTATTGTAAAAGTAAATATAAATATCAATTGACAGGAATCTATCATGGAGCGATCACGTTTCGTACATGAACAAACGGTTAATAGACATCTGTAATATACTGAAGTCATTTGCAGGGAAGACTTGGGGAATGTCTCCCTGTGCAATGTTGCAGGTGTACAAGGCACTTTTTCTCGGTTTTCTGCGGTACAGCTTACCGGCATTGACCAATGCAAGCAAAACAAGCATTCGAACGCTTCAGAGTGTTCAGTCCCAGGCACTCCGGATTTGCCTCGGCTTGCCTCGTAGTGCGTCGACAATGGCTACTATAGCAATCGCCGGTGACCACCTCATCATGACACATATCGACGTTGAGGCACTCAGGACACATATAAGGCATATTGCTTGGACAGCCTGTCACCACCTAGCCTCTTTACCAGCAGACAGACCACGTTCGTCATTTTTCCAAACGGTAACCACATATTGCAATACTTTGCCAACATGCTTCAGTGCACCCACCGCCAGGCCTTCGACTCCTCCTTGGTGCCTGACTCAGGCTAACATCCGGCTAACTATACCTGGCATCCAGAAAAAAGCTGACATGTCGTCACCTGCTCTTAGGCAGCTTGCTCTGCTCTTGTTATACGAGACGTATCAAGGCTGTATACACGTATACACCGACGGCTCTACATGTTTTACAGAAGAGTTCGACGGCATCATTTGTTATACCATTAAAAGACACGACAAGAAAATTAAAGACCTCCCACCTTACGGCATCAACGGGAGCAGAGCTCACATCTCTTCGTGCCGCGTTGCAATTCATCAGCGATCAACAGCCACAAAAATGGACAATTTTCATTGACTCAAAGGCGGCACTGCAATCCCTTCTATCACCTTTACGCCACGGCCCATACGAACAGCTGGTATTTGAGATTGCAGAAAAGACTTACCAATTCATTGAGAAAGAACATGAAATAGCCTTTCAATGGCTTCCAAGTCATTGTGGAATAATTGGCAATGACCGGGCCGATCTAGCTGCCCGTTCTGCTCATACTGAAAGCGATCAAATATCAATTCCGCTTTCCAGAACTGACCCTGTACGGAAACTTCGCATGCTTGCTCGCAAGCGCACCACGTCACAATGGAACGAGTCACATTTCATCTATGCACGGTTATCTACCTTAGACCGAACTCTGTCTCCGGATTCCTCCAGAATTACGCCGACGAGACGCTACTATGCTGTGCAGATTATGGTTGGGCGCCGCATTTACCTATGCGTACGCGTTCCGCATAGGAATGGTTGACACTGCTGCATGCGACCATTGTAGCAGTGACGAAACAACTTGGCACATTCTGTGTGAATGCTCACAATACTGCTCGCAGAGACAGTCACTCTGCAATGCACTAGACGAACTGGACAACCAGCCTCTTTCGGAAGAAAAACTCTTGCGCTACCGACAGGACTTTAGGTCGCAGAAGAAGGCTGTGAAGGCGCTCCTGCGCTTTTTGCGTTCAACCGGCCTGCCTAAACGACTGTGATCGGAACTCCCTGAATGTGTGCGCATGTGACTTTTTTTTCTATTTTATTTTATATCTCACTATTTCTATCCTCTTTCCGATCCTTTTTCCCACCTCCGTACAGGGTAGCAAACCAGTTCTTCTAGGTTAACCTCCCTGTCTCTTCCTTTTATTTTTTTTCTCTCTCTCTAAATATAAATAACGCTGCATGGCGGGTTCAGCTTCCGCTGTGACATCACGCACATGTACACGAGTGACTTCATCACAGAGCATACGTAAAAGGACAAACGCAGCAGCCAGATTCGAACTCTGAGCCTTTACTACGAAAGCCACACACTATGGACATTACAACATTAGGGTCTGTCTCATCAGCAGGCGGCATATAAAATGAATTTAACAAATTCAACAATTCACGTTGCACTCATGATTTATTTACGCGTCTATATATATATATATATATATATATATATATATATATATATAGAGAGAGAGAGAGAGAGAGAGAGAGAGAGGGGGGGGGAGAGAGGGGGGAGAGTTAGAACACAGGAAAGAAGGCAGACAGGTTGTCTAGACTGTGTCCACTTCGCTGCCATGAACGTGTGAGAGAAATCAGGTAAAGAAAGGTAGATAGAAAACTCGTGATATTAAGACGTATACGCTCTACATGCCGTACTCCTGTTTTTGTCAGATGCCATTGGACGAAAATTTTAAACGCCAGGACAGTTCGCCAAACTGCGTAAAATGCTGCAGTCTTTTTTCTGGTTCCTTTTATATGCGATATTGAATACGTCTTCACATTTGTAACTCCCAAGCCATGAGTGGTTAGGCAAACTTATTAATTTGTGAGCAGCAGGAGATTACAGTAACGCCCCTACTAAGATTCCCCTTTTCACATGACGTAGTGTTTTATTCCAAGTATTCCCTGACATCGTTCCATTACGAATGCTAATAATAATGCACTTCTCAAAAACAGACGTTCTTCTCGATGACCGCTTTGATTTACGTATGCAAGAAAGCCTTCCCTGATGGCGGCGATTTGCTGCACTAGTTGATGTGACGCAATCCATGATGAAACCATCTCTGGGTGCATCTGTCGATAAGATCATCACTTCTCCACGAGTGTCTTATCAGAAGAAAGACAATGACATGCCTGCGGGTATATCGCCCTTTAGTCACAAGTAGCTACTCGCACAGTATTTATTGATGAAATAATGACAATGATAACAAACTGCTAGCTGTCGCACTTTCCAACCTCGACCAAATATTTGTCTTTGGGGAAGGGGCGGGGATGTAGATTTGGACGTTTGCCTCGAAACGTCAGCATGCAAAAGCAAGTTCAAGGCAACCGCCGGGTGCAAATTGTCTTCTCGTCATTTGTTTACTCTGCGGCAGCAGTTATACGACAATCGGGGCCAGTATTTCTTGCTTCGTTTTCAGCTATGTCTTTGTCGGGTCACTTAATCATCAGCGTCGTCTTGTGAAAAGCAATACTGCACCAATTAGGGTTTTCTAAAACGACCAATAGAGGTACGTATAATGCTAATTTCTGAGGAAGCTGAAATTATGGCCGTTGGGCCAACTTGGGAAGCGCAATTTATATTTAGAGGAAACCTACCTTAACGCCGGCCTCCGCTTACTTGTGTGTTGTTGGGTTTCCATTGGAAAGAGCAGCGATTGTGTCATGTTCTGCAGCAAAAATTAAACAAAAAATGTGAATTCTTCTTCCTCAGCGTCAGAGAAACGATGGACATTATTGAAGTTCATTGAAGCGTCCTGAGGATTGCACTGTTACCGTTACCGGCTGTGGGGCATAATTCTTTATTGTGAACGCCTATCAATTTCCTTCTGTATAAGCCACATGAGACCACTCTATATGCTTTATTCGCGTCAATAAAAAAAAACACATTGCTACACAACCGTGTCAGATTACGTTGCCTATATAACGACAATATAAGAATGCAATGTTGACTCCCTTTAGTTAAGGTAAACTTTAGACATGAACATGACACCATGCGTTACAGTGACCTTATCTGACTCCTTTAAGGGCAAATGCAACAAGGGAAGGAGAAGTTCACTACTTTGAAATACCACTGTAATGTAAGTACGATAGCCACAACTCTAAAAAAATGCCAAGAGAAAAACTTGACGCCTCTGAGAAAAGAATGATTCAATTTTCGTGCAAGCTTGGCTCGTAGGGCCTTCAAAATCGTCCGTTGGTCATACGTATATCTGTATAACCGCTCGAGGGGCTCAGCATTAAAAAATTCTTGAAAGAATATTGCAGTTACATTTTCAGAGACAACAAAAAAGAAATGTAGTGCATG